AAATATTAATATTCAATGACTTTCCTTTATTGAAATTACACTTAATTACATGTACATGATTCTTGATTATTGATGTGACTTAGTTGTCATATAATAAATCATGCAAATTTAAATATTTATAAAACTAAAAAATATTATTTTTAGATATTTAGATATATTTATGAAAGAATATAGCTATTATAATTCAATAAAAGTTCTAAAAAAAGTGGAGATTTTTCAAGTCGATCATAGATATTTATATAATATTGGATAATATTTTATAAGATTCTGTAAAAAATATTTTTTTTAATAATTTTTAAATTAAAAACATGAAAATAAAATATATTTAAAATTCATAAAAAAGAAAAATAAGAGAGCATATGTCATAATGATGCCAGCAACTTAACAAACGCAAATCAAATAGAAATAGAGTTTTGTCATCTGATTCTTACGTAAGTGATTACAAATGATTTAATTTATCAAATTAAGATCTATAAAAGTCAAAATAATCATATTTGGCTGAAGAAAATTTTTAAAACTTAAAATCACACAAGTTACCACTAGATTAAGTATAAATTAAGCTTAAAATAGGAAAAGTAAAGTTTCAATCTTGCGACAACAATCATCAAAATTCTATATATTCAAAAGAATTATCATACAATGTAGACAACTTCAAAGACTTTTTATGGACAAAAATGGTATGAATAATCTATAGATCTTTTTATGAAGTTTAAAAATCAATGAAGTGGATAATCAAATCATCTCTATTGCTTATCACCTAGTGGAATAATCTATAGATCTCTAATAGTTGTCACAAAATAGAGATAAGTTGGTTGAAGATGAAGCATGTCTTAAAGAGATTCATCCTCAAGTCTACATAGTAAAAAGGGAAACTCTTCATTGCATTTAGTACGCTCTCAAAAGGCAGTGACTTATCTCCTAGTAGATCATCCTCTTCTCAACAATGGCTTGCTTGTCAATTAATCCAAAATGATTTATTTGATAGATTCATGATCTTTTTATCCATAATCATTTGGTAATTTTAGTAATGATGTTCTACGAATTATGTTGATGAGATTTTTATCAATGATTGAATGATTTTAATAGCTTAATTGTTCACTAATAATTTGTAAGAAAATTATGATTTAATCAAATAAAAATATGAGTTTTGACTCTAACAAGATTTGAATCATCATTGATCACCCACCTATATAAGAGAGAGTGAAATAAATATGTAAATACCCTTATAACCTGACATCATAAGAGTATGTCATTTTCATAAACAAAGGATATTTAAAGTATTCAAATCATTGAAAACCTTCAAAAAGTTGTGACACCGATTTAGTCCTACATTAGTTATTTTCTGACTTTTGAGGCATATGTATTATAACACAAGAGTTTGTCACCAATAAGTCCCTCTCTTATGTGTGCACAACTACTTCTCGCCCTACGCCTAGTTGGCCATTAGTGACGTGGAAGGGGAGTAACGCACACATGTTTACTGGTCCCTTAGCTGCTCAAGCCCCCTACTCATGGCTCCTCTCGACTATGCTCTCAACCCTCTTGTGAGTTGATAGGTCCACCCCTATTTCTATATTTTTTTTATTTTATTTTTCTTCATTTATCTCAAAAACATGATTATAAATCATATAATTAGCCAAATATTAATATAAACTAACTAAAAATTACTTTTCATAATTTAACATATATATAAGTCTATTTATCAACTATATAATTAATTAATTATTAACTCATGATAATGAAGACTTATCAATTATATACATAGTGAATGTGTCAATACATGTGTTAGCATAATAATATTAATCTATGTGAATATGTACTATCTATTTTATCATAATAAATGTCACAAATTACATGTCTATATTTATGAATCATGTTCATTATGGATATGCAAATACAAATATATGTTTATTTATGAAAACATGAGTTCTATGTGATTAATATATATATTCTACATATTGTTTTTATTGAATGCACAAAATAAATTTTCTCTAAAGTGTTTTGTAAGTACCAAAAAGAGGAAGATTGTAGATGTCCTCAATGTTGACACACGTAGTAGATTTTGGCATGTATAGTAAAAAATTATTTCTGAATTATTTTTGAATAAGTTAAAGTATAATTCATCTTATATGCATCATGAATATTATCACCACAAGACAAGTGTTATTGATAAACATTCAAAATATATATATTTATAATGTTTTGTGTAATTCTATGGCTAACAACAAATCTAACGAGTCACACCCTTAAGATATCTTTTGTCTTGAAGTAAAGAAGTACAATATTGTCCAAATATAAGCACAACATAACATGTGTCAACACATGTGACAAAGTCTCACAAATATTTTAGAAAATCAAAGTCACCAATGAGATTCAAATGCAGTACCTGATTTTTTTTAAAAATTCTGATACTTTAAAAAAACTATTTTTATTCCTCTCATATATAGCATATATGTCGAAATTCTTTAGGTTCAAATCAATTTGAAAAGAACCCAATATCATGAACACAAAACTGATGTTATGTGTCTTGTTGAAGTAGACATTTAATAATCATAGCTAATTTGAATCACCGAACATAAAATGTGATTATGAAGTATACATATTTAAACACCATCTCAAATTATTAAATAATTTTATTTAATAATTCATATTATTTAAAATTAATTTTTAAAATATAGTCATTAATATTCAAAAACATTATAGGAAAAATGAACTATATATGATTTTAATCAATTTTAATTCAAACCTAGTGATATGGATACCTATGTAGATAGAGAGTTAGTAAGCTATTAAAATCATATTTAACTTATTGAATTCTTATTGATTTGACTGGCTTAGTTGTTCCAATTCTTATCACATTATTTTATGTAAAAAAGACAATTTTAATAGTAATATTGAAGTAATAATTTTGCTTAATGAGATTAATCAAATAAACAAAATCATTAATTTTTTATTAGGTCATTTAGTATACTTACTTTGAATTATATATATAAACACTTTATATTCAGTTGTATATTAAGCATATTTACAATTTGGCGTAATTTGATATTCTAACTGACCTTATAATTATTTTTTCATCATCAAAATATTATAAGTTTAATGTTCCAACAATGTGGATGAAAAGTTTTATCTAAAGTTTATTTAAGAAGTGTATCATCTAATTTGAGAAGTGTACAACTTAGAGATGAATGAAAAGCTATTTTTCTAATGAAAATAAGTCTTTTTTGAATTATTTGTTGACCAAATGTTATATGTACTTTTATGAGAATGATGAACTTGTTTTAAAAAATTATTCTAAAATTATTTATTATTTACTTTGATGATATTTTGGTGTACAATATTAATGAAAAATAACATATCAATCACTTGAGATACATAAATTTGAAGAAATATTGCTTCATGATAAAACAATTATGTTTGAAGAATAAATTGTCAATACAAATGATAGATAGACAGAGAAAGTTGGAATGATAAGAATAATAAAGAATATATCATAAATGTTATATATTTAAGCATCTTTCAATTAGGTGTGTAATTTGTATAACATTATAATATTTCTATAGAAGATTCATTAAAAAAATAATTTCATTATTGTCCCCATTAAGGAATCTATGAAAACGAAAATTTCACTTAGAATATGGTAAAAATCATATTCAACTCTACTTTTAGTATTACCAAATTTCAATAAATGATTTGAGATAGAATGTGATGGCTCCATAACTTAGTTTGGAGTAATGTTGTCCCAAGAAAATCATCCTATTACTTTTGCCATGAAAATATTTCTAATGCTAGGAAAAAATGGATAACATGTAAATCAAAAATTTATGATGTCATTAGAACATTACCTAACTGAGCGAGAGTTCATATAGCCACTAATCATCAAACTCTTATATTTATCAAAACCTTAGCAATTGTGAACATAATGAATATAGAAATTCTATTGTTGCAGCTCATAATACAGTAGATGAAGAGAAGAATGAAAATGAAGGCCCAAACATTTCACAAATAGGCTGTAAGAAAGAGGATATTAAAAGACGGCCAAAAACGTCATCAAATCCTACTTAAGTGCAAGAGGATTAATTCGACCCCAGTTGATCATCCAAAACTTTCTTTTACAATTTATGTTTTCATTGCCCTAGAACCAATTTTTTATCCCATGTGATAACACGTTTTCCTTTTTAGAGTCTATTTACTTTTCAGGCTATTGGTTCTAGTCATCCAAGGATTTTAAGTTCACTCCAAAGGCTAGTGTTTTCTAACCGTTCAATTATCGTAGTTATTTTGAAGCTAGTTAGAATTTAGTATAGACAGAGGCCAATGACCCGAGTCATCTGGTTGGTGTATAGAATTTAGCTTCAATTCCCCCCTGTTCTGCTGAAAAATTCGAAATTGCTTTCTTACTCCAATTCGATTATTCCTCGTATCAGCCTCCACTTCTCCCCGCTGGCCCTGTGGGATATTACTTCTGCTTTAGAGGCAAGCTCGGAAGTTCGTCTATTTACCGCTTTTTCCCAAGGAGGGATTCCTCCCTCCAACGCTCTGCCAAAGGGGCCCACTGCTCTCGTGCTGCTGCTGAGGCTGGAGACCGTCTGCTGCTTGCTGCGTCCACGCTGAAGGGGGGAGACGATCTCGAAAGTGAAGGGAGACGATCTCGAGCAGACAAAGGAAGCTAAGGCTGGTACGGAGATGGGAAATATCAGGGAAGTAACTTGAGAAAGTGTAGGCAGGCGGGGAGTGTGAAGAGGATTAGGGAGTTCCTGCAAGGCTGGTACACTCTCTCCATCTCCTTGTACAGCACCTTGAACCCAGCACCATCCCCGCCCTTCGACCCAGCTGCTCTTTCAGAAGACAGACAGAGCGAGGTGCTAAGGAAGAGAAGGGGTGCTTTGAACAGTGAACAGTGAGAGAGGAGTTGTTTTTTGGGCTATGAACAGTGAGAGAGTCTTAACGTTGGAAAAGTACCTCCAGAGGGGGTGTGGGAGGGGGGTTTCCTCCGGCGTTCATCGCTTGGTCTTGTCGAGGACCTCGATGAACCTCTTGGGAATTCCGTAGTGGTCCACCAAGTGCCTGGCGAGGTCCTCGATCACCCCGCCCTGCACCAGCACCTCGTTCTGCCCCTTCTTTCCTGTTTGTCGACACAGAGTCAGAGACCGAGAGACCCGATAGAGAGAGAGAGAGAGAGAGATTCTGGGTGGCCGTGTTCCTCCTCTCTTCTATCTGTCTATTTATCTACAGACATCATTGGGTACCTGGGAGCTCTGAGACGGTGGTGCTGCAGGCGAACTTCTTCTGGAGCTCGGCGGCGAGGGCGTCGGCGTCGAGGAGGAAGGTCTCGAGGCCGGAGAGGCGCGTGACCTTCTTGTTGCCCTGCCTCCACTCCGTCATGATCTGCACAGCTCGCACCGCCCCCTTGCGGACGGTAGACTCGGCTCCCCTCGTCACCAGGTGGTGAACCTGCATCCGCCCCAGGAACGCCGGCCCCACCTCCCTCTTGTGAACCTCCGTCGGGTAGCTGCTCCCCTTCTTGATTGCCCCCTTGTACAGCGCGTCGCACAGCGTCGCGTCCAGCACCACCATCGACTTGTCGCTTGGCTTCGCCAGCCTCCCCTCCTCCACGTACCTGCCCAACGCACAAAGACCCCACGACCATTCAATAACACTTCCACCGCCAAGACCAGCACCCTCTCTCCCCCTCCCGCCCCGGTGTACCTGAAGACGACGTCGGTGGCCTCGGGGGCAGTATAGAATCTTCCAGTGTCCACGCCGACGGCGGCGAAGATGGGGTTGACATGCGATGTTGGCTTGTAGACCTCCACCACGTCGAGCTGCACGGCGGCTCCATGGGGACCCTGCCCGGCCGAGGAATCCGAGTTCGGACGCCCTGCCTCCGGTTCCCGTTTTTTCTCCGGTCTGAACGACTGGTACTCGCTATGGGCGCGGTTGACCGAGAGCAAGATTATCTCCTTCTTGTGCTTATCCTCCTTTGCTGAGATCTAAACGGTGAAACTCTTGAAAGGTTAAAGAGATTCTTTTGCCTTTAAAAACGGCCACTATGACAATACGAGACAAGTATATGATCATTTACATAGCGATCACCTGAACTATTATTAATTAAAATAACCGGATCGCAAAAAAGAAAACGAACTGGATAAATATGGGAGAGTAATAAAAATACCAGGCCGGCGGATGACTTGGACTGCAGCCACTTTGAGAGTTTCTTGTAGGACGACTTCTTGATGTCCAGTGTACTGCCCGGGGGCCTGCACGGCAGAACGTGACCCGACCTGTGTAACACGGGAATAACGCAGAATCTGAGATGTGCGTTATTTAGATACCACGAACTCTTCCTTCAGCTGGAAACCCATAATCCGATACATTTACATAACACTGTATAATAAATTTTTATTAGTACACATGTAGAGAGAGAGAGAGAGAGAGAGAGAGATGGCAAGAACCAGTACCAGATGGCATGCAGGTGAAAATAGACAAACATCTACACAAGGGAAAAAACGTTCAACTGTCTGGGGTTTGCCATCATCAGCAAAATTACTCAAACGAATGCTGCATTAGAGGGAACTAAAAGGCCTTCACCAATTAGGATATGCAGGATAGAAAGCTGGCCTAATATGAGGCTACGTCTCTCTATGACATGGGAATCAGGCATTCACGGGATCATCAATTAAGCAACGTGGCCAAGGGAGAAGTACCATAATGTGCTACCGGGCATTGGCAGATCTTTGTCTTTCAAAGATGTATGCAAGGCCTGCAGAAGGCATCTATCCAAAAGGGCGTCCACTTCTGCGCTGGACAAATTGCGCTGGTCCTTGTCATCATTTGCCACCACCTCAGCAGATGTGCCGTCGGATATGTTCAAACCGCTCAAGTTAGATGACACGTCGTCAGAGGCGCCATCGCCCAAAGCGGGCTGCGCTGACGAATCAACATCTCCCGGAGGGATCTCAGAAGCTTCGACTCCCTCTGGACCTTCCTCACTCCTCACAGCGTCATGCTGAGCCCCTTCGGACGGTTGACACATGGAAGACGAAGCAGGGTCTTCAACCACTATATCCTCGAAAAACCCAGCATTGGGGACGTAGTGCCCTTCGGCAGACTCCCTGTAGGATTTGAAAGCCACAAAATCGTAAGGGTCACCGCCCTGCACGAATCGAAACCAAGAGAGTCTTTCATGTCTCACTGCAAGCTACACTTACCACAATGAATCGCGGTAATAGTGTGTTATTCGTAAAGCCTTGCCACGCAAACCGGCTTTCATAGCCTGCGCACTGCTCATTGTAGTGGTTCCAACCTGTAAATTCCACCAGACCTCTCGTCATACCCACGTCAACATCTGGGGATGATCTGGATAAATCCAACGTGATACGACTTCAAATACACATAGCCTCGGCCGACCAAGCCCATTCTTTTATATCAACAAAGGGCTTGCCTGCACGGATCATGTAAGCAGAAGGTTGGAATGCACGCCTGCGCCCAGGGAGGACCTTGAAAAATCGGAGCCTTGAAGCAATGTCGTACGAAGTTGATTGTAAATGTGCATCTTAGATGAGAGGATAAAAGCACTGGTATCATTCATATTTTCCTCTAGTTCTGTTAGCTTGCTCTACTCTTCGGGTAATTTACAGACTGATAACGTTTGTATTTTGAACCTGAAGCTTTTTTCACCAGATCTTTTATTCCATCTACAAAGTATTATTGTATCAAACAGGCAACGCTTGTCCTGTTCCCTTAAAACTGTACTCTTAGCTAACAAGGACATAAAACGCCAAAAAGAAGAAAAAACTCTTAGTTAGTTAGAATGGCTTACAGCAATTGGAGCTGGATTGCCGGGAACTTTCACTGCCCACGGCTGTCCTTCGAGAAAGGAAGGAAGACCCTCTGGGGGTATGCTAATACCAGGGAACATCAAATCAGCGCCCCCAAGGACATAGCGTGACACTTCACCCCCTTTTAGTTCGAATGAAGGCAAGAGATGGGGAACCTTCCAGAGTGCATAAACTGTCAGAAAAAAAAATATCCCTAAGCCAATAAAACATTCAAAATATCGACCAGTCTACCCGATGATAAGAACTTGTGGAATAATAAACAGCCAACAATTCTGTGGACCCAAAATGCTAATGTGTTCCCTATGTAGGACTGCACTTACATCTGACGCCAATTTTCGATCACAACAAAAAACTCTGCTAAAATAAAGCAAACAATCAATGATTACAAAAAACACATTGAATAATCTGCTATGAACTTCATGAATGACATCGAGTAGCAGCTTTTCACGTGAGCTCAAAACTCGAGATGCCATGAAGTTCATGCCTCGATAATGAGAAATATTACCATATCGCCATCTGATAAAATGTGTATTAAACTAAAGAGACCATCATCGTAGTCAGTGCCAGTCAAATCCTGAGAGTTTTCAACACGTTTTACGGACAACTGTATGTTTCAAGCTGGAAGAATTGTTTGAGTGCTCACAATTTCAGAATTCCCATTGCCTGTTAACTTAATTCGCCATTGATTCGCACCGCCAATTTTCATTCGAAAATAAATTACTCGGAAAGAATTATTTGTGAGTTGTAGCCTTAAATCAGCAACGAAATTAATCAACTGCCCATCAGAAGGAACAGAAGTAAGGAAGATGCCAAGTGCAAGAGAACCCTCTTGAATGGAGCGACAGTCAGCACCATCTTTCTTGTAGACCACAAATTAGTGTGTATAGTAACACAAAAGGAGGCGTATGGGAGAGACATCAATTCCCATGTGAGAGTCAGGAATGAAACCTAAAAGGCCCGCAGGTGTAGGCCGGACCGCTGATGATAATCTGTCCCAACCTTATTTGACGTGACTTCGATTTTTATTCGAATTTTCAAGTCAACAGAACATGCCTAACAAATGAATAAGTAAAACGATACCATAATAAAAGCAAAGAGGAGTGATCGAGTTGCGTTCTATCATGGTTCACCGGGAAAGGGTGGTATGTAAATCGCCAAAGACTAAAAACTGACGACAAAGAATCATTTTTCCATGAAGTGGGCACCTTCGCAATCAGGTGAGGCCAAAGACCTTTTCATGAAAGAGTGTATGAACAAGTGTAAGAATTCCAACTCTGTGACGGCCACAGTGCAAGGGAAAAAAAAGACTCCAGAGAGAAATGACATCAGATGATTATCCAACAGAAGATTAATGAAAATACATGCGCAATTGAATGCATATGATGATGCGGAGAAAACATTTCAAACTGGGATAGGTTTCGTGTGGGCAAAAGGGGATCCATACAATAAGTGACTCCGAAATAATGAATAACCTCCCTCCCCTCCAAATTCCGAGCACAGTAATCAACCCGTGAAGGCACCAATGTAGGTTGCTGGAGAAGAGGCACCGAGGCTCCTCTTAGAAATATGGCACCAAGGAAATAATATAGGAATTAACGACTCACAGAGAGGAGAGAGATCAACACAAGGAATTAACCAACCGTACATCCCAGTTAGGTACAGGACAGGGAAGGCAACACTTCTGGACAGATAGTTGAATCAGAGCTTCTTCTAAGGGAAACTTAGAATTCTTTGACCTTTTATTCATACAGTGCAGAGGACTGAGGTTTTCACATAATGCCTATTCAGCGTTTTCTTTTGTTTGAGGTTGTTTGATTGGTTCAGGGGAGTGTTCTGACTCCCTTGTATGCTTTCCCAGTGGAAGACACAAGGACAGACTAAATCAGATAATCTGGGGGCTGAATCATTATCTTAGAATCAATTCTTAGAATCAGTGATTCTTGTTAAATTGGCCAGAAGTTACCATCCAAGCTTGACTGATTGATTCCCTGTCAATCTGACAGGGTCTGGCTGGCCCAAATGGCTCAGCAGACAGGGTTAGGAAGGTCTAATTTCCGCCTGATCAACAAATTTGGCCGATCCATTCCTTCTCTGGATTAGGCCTAGCCAGTCTGACTACATAACCCGATCCTTCGGACCATGAGACTGTTCTTTCTCTATCGAATTAGTATACTGGAGGAATACATGAGGTCTCGTCAGGGAGGAAATCCTAAATATAATACATACGAAAATGTGACACTTGCACACTAGATGTTTTGCACTAATGAAATGTACAGCTTAAGAAAAATGACAAAATAAGCCATATAAAGAGAAACCTGTAGGGAAAATTTCAGAGCCTCGTCCATCAATGTCAAACAGCATGGGAAAGCCACCTTCTACACCATAAACATGGGCACGATTTGGAAACTTCATTACTGTTACCTCTGCCTAAATAAAGAGAAAATGTAGAATTAAATGTCAAAAGAACGCAGATGAAACCGAGGAATAAGGAATTGAAAATATGCAGAAGAACTAAATATTAAACATTCATGAGCAAAAGAAGGCCTCTACTAAACAAATAATTTTAAAAACAAATTCCATTGTTTTATAAGAAAAAATAATTTTTTGCAGCTGACAACAGTTGATCCAAGAAGGGAATTTACGGTAGATATTTACTTTCTGTGTAGACAACATTACTATAAGCAGATATTAAAACTCCCAAATTAACATGTCATGTCACCTTTCTAAGACAAGAAATGAGGTCAAGAAAAGAAAAGGGACCACAAAGAGAAATGTATCAAGTTCAAGTTCAAGCAGCAATACGTATTTCTAGATTGACTTGAAACAGCTAATGCTTGGGAAATGATATCGACAGTCAAAATGTCTGAAAATGAAAATCTGGCTGCCTCGTTTCTTCGTGTCTGGAGCCCTCAAGCTGGAACTGCTGGTTTTGCAGAAAGTATTTCTAATTGGTGCATAATGATGAGCTGACACTTCATTGGTGGACTATGAAGAATTTCTGAAGTACATTGTATTTATCAGTCAGAAGTTGGATAATAAAACATTAAGAGATGATTATCTCCTTTATGCTCGTTTCAATGTTTAGTTAGCAGCACTATTCTTACAAAGTTAGACAACAGCAGCAATTGTTCCACGTTATTTTCGTAATAACCACGCATCAGGCCCCAGATTCCAATCAGAATGTTCAATGAAGTCAAAGGAGTAGATCCTTGGCCACAGAACGAATATTGGAATACAGAGTAGAAGAATCTAAAGGTGCGTTTACCCATAAAGTAGCTTTGATAAAGCAGGGAAAGAACATAGTGTCAAAAAGACTCCAAATTAATTTAGTGAGTATCGGCATTTCTCATGATCGAGCAAGTCTGACTAACGGTATCCATTTGCATCCAAGGAACAAGGAATATTTAGTTCCTGGTGGAAAATTAGAGGTGCTGGATCATCATCAGCGGTCTCTCGGGTAACTAGAATCAGCAGAAAAAGCCTGGAGGGATATGATACTGTTCCTCTGTCAAATGTGATTCTCTTCACACACAGTTGACTGGATTGTAGAGGCAATCTAGGAAAAGATGTATACCTAAAACTCCTCATTACTTAACCCTTCTATTTGGGCATCTTCCCTTTCTCATTGCGTACCACATGGAGAGTCATGGCGAGGGGTTCATCTTAAATTTGTCAGAGTACACTATACTAGGGATGGCTCAGCATTGTGCATGTTAATGAAGAAATCCTTCCTTTAGCTGTCAATCATAAAGACTCATTCGAGGGAAGAAATTACAATCCACGAAAGGAAATTAATAGGGGTATCACTCAAGAGGAAATTAATCAGAGCTTCATTCATAAATGGAAATAAGCCTGCCCATTAAAGGAATATGGGGAGCCCAGTAAAGGAAGGAACTGATAAAAACATAGAAAATAGACACGACGAGATGAAGCATATAAGAAGCTTAGAGAAAGATAAACTTGGCTCAAAGGAAGGAATTAACGACAGATTTTCAGTCGATTCCTACCTCTAAAGGAAGGAGCATTTGATCTGACAAAATTTTGGCCAAATGCTACTTTGTGGGGATGAGAAAATTTATACACAAGTTATTTTTTTTTAACAATTTACTGGAGGAATAAATTTGGCGACCTCAGATGGAAGGCAAGAGGATCTGGAAAATAACTGAAAAGCATGCTGATTAGAAGATCAGCCATTTCCCGCATGAAAATGGCCTCATCCCGCCCCCCGGCCCCCAACCTACCCCCCACAGAAAAGCCAAAAGAAGTTCCCTCCCTCTGGTCGCTTCTCTACAAACAGAATTTTCCTCTTCTCATCTTCTCAGAAAATAACTTTCAAGATTATCCCACAAAACAATTTCCAACATCCAAACCCTCAGTCATCAATTCATTGACAAGTAACTGTGAGCTGGTTTGTTGTGTAATATTTAGAACTGTTACGAACATCAAACCTATACCTTCAGCAATGGTTGTCATTCAGATGGCTACAGCCATACATAAAATCATCTACAACCCACCGTAGTAGAAAACATTGGCCTAATAAGCCAGAGTAATATCTTGCGCTATATTTAAAAATGACAGCAGAACTTATCAGCGCATTAATTCTTCCATTATTATCTTTCCTCTCCTTCCATAGCATAAAAAAAGCGAACCATAAATTAACTAACGGACCAAATACGAGGCCAAATTAAAAGGAGGGAAATGAAGGCATCCATCAGTTCCCTTTTGATTCACTAAAAATCCTCCCTCGTCTTTCTTTCATGAGAATTTTTTCTCCAATTTCTCATGAGAGAAAGATTTGCTGGCGCCAAACCCATTCGCAAGAAATTATCTTGAGAAGATTGTCTTCAGGGGACATATTTGATTTTTCATGGACCACATCTCAACAACGAGATTTTATCCAATTTCCATCACGAGTCTGAATATATATAAGAAGATTGCAGAGAAACGAATCAAAATGAACTGGATGTTGACCGCCATTCAGCAGAAAAATGGATACCATCGAGCTTGACAAGATGATCACGGAACATGAGAACAATCACAGAATATACAGGAAAATTCTCTGTCAAAAAAAAATCATCTCATTTTGATTTGAATAGCATAAGTATTGGTTATGCACTTGACGAATGGTGACCTCCATTTTCCATTTTGCATACTCGTTGACAACATATTTAAATCAACCATTGGTACATCAGTACATGGCTTCGTGAGTTAAACAATGAAATCTCAATAGATCAATACTAATATTTTATTTAAAATACCAGACGCAACTCGGACATTGAACAGAAATACGGTACATGAACAGCCATTTGATCCCCCATCAAAGTCAATAAGTTTCACCATAATCCAGCGATTAAATCTTTCCCAAGCTACAATACCAAAGGCTGAACGACACATAACTCATAACTGTATCTTTACCTTGGCAGGGAAGATAATGTCTACATCAGTATCAGAAGCCTGAGGGAAACGCTCCTTCATTGTTCTTCTCAGCTTCTTCCTGTCTGCTCCAGATAGCCGTTGCAGTGACTTTGCTTCAGCCGATTTCTTAAACATGTTTGCCTAAATTTACCAAAATAAATATGATACGTCCGTGGAATAAGTAAAGCAAACACTCGACAAGAAGAAAAAGCCATTAAACAACCTATGCTATGAGCTACACGGCTAAGATCTACCAAGGTACAGCAGCATAATGACAGTGATAAGATAGGCGGCGTCTTCTACAATACACAAACACAGAAGCGATCAGCAAAAACGACAATTGCCAACTACATCTTGAAATGATTAGAGTGATAATGGCACTACCACTCGAAATAAGTAATAGTTACAACAAGTACCGCAAGCAATTTGGTCTCAGGCGGAATCTCCTTGAGTTGCGTCGAGGATGCATATCATGCATGTCGTACGGTAAAGCGATAATCCCGTAGCGATACCGCCAAAAAAGCAACAGAAATAGAAAAGTAAACTAATCATCTGACCAGACTACTTGGAGGCCGGCAAGAGGACGGAAGGAAGGGAATCGTACGCAAGCACGCACGACCAAGTAAGGCCGGTCTGAAACAACCCAGAGACGAAAACCCAATCAAAACAGGCCGAACAAATGACGATCGAAGAAGAAAAGAAACTGAAGGGGAGGAGGAGAAGATGCCATTCAGGAGAAGATCCACCGACAGAAGCCAACCAGGAACAGGCGAGGATGCGAGAACCTCCCGCTTCGGCTGTGTATTGAGGAATCGACGAGCTCGTCACTACCTCTCAGGCGAGACGCCGCGTCCGCACGCAGGGATAGCCAACCGAGATGAGGGATATGCTAGAAACTACCAGAAACAGAGGCTCTCACACTCTCTCTCTACCTTTTTATAGGCCACGTAGGCGAAGGGATGAAGGAGAGGCCAAGAGGGCATTCTAGGTATAACCACAATTATTTTTAATTGTAGTCCAAATAAAATTTATTTATTTAGATAGCCTGTTCATCATAACATTTTCGTCACCATTAGGCATGTTAATTTACTCTTGCCATCCCATTTTTTCCTTTCACTATACTTCCGAACACTGAAACAATGCTTAATTTCTAATATACCTCTTTTTTATGCTTCAACCTTTAATGTTTCCCCACCTTGAAACCATGATTAATTTCTTATATGCCCTTTTTTCAGGGCCCGTTCTCGGCTAGGATGAGTGAGGCCTTGGGACCCTCGCAGCGGCGGCAAGATTCGGTTTCTGGAATCGATTCGAGTCGACTCCGGGCAGTTAATGGAAGAGGCGTGCTTTTGGGGGAGAAAATTGGATTTCCTGTTCTTCGTGGTTTGACCGTATTTCAGGTCCCATGCGATCTGCTTTCCTCCCCGTACCCCTTTCTCTCACCCGGTGGCCGGAGTTGTCTCTGTGAACTCGCTAGCAACGGCGGCGAGGCGAGTTCAGGGGGGCCGCCGCCGCCGGAGCTGGCGGTGCCGCTGGAAGCCGGGGACTCCTCAATTTCGTCCTCTCCGCTGGTCCCCTCCCTCACCGTCACCCAATGGGAGTCCTCGGAGAATGAATCCCAGCTGGGCCAGCAAGAGCCCGCCGTGAGGCACCGCAGGCGACTCGCCGGCGCTGGAGAAGACGGGCCGCCCTGCGACCGTTGCAGCGGCGTCCCGGCGGAGGCCCACGTTGGGAAGCCGAAGACGCTCCTCGGAGAAGCCCACGGGGAGCCCCACTTTCCGGTCACCACCACTTCGTCGTCGTCTACGTCGCCGAAGACCGGCACTTGTTCCTCGCCGGAGGATTCCACGAAGGAGTGGCAGAGAAGCATCTCCGCCGTCCACCTCTCCCCGGGGCTCCTGACGAAGCACTTCCTCAGGAAGTCCCTCCCTTGCTCCGACAGCACCTCCGGGATCTCCGGTGAGGACTCACCGGAGCCGATGAGGAACATCAGAGAGGCGGCGTCGGCGCAGCCCTTCCCGTGCCGCCATGCCGGTTCGCCGGAGGCCATCTCCGCCACCACGCAGCCCAAGGCCCAGATGTCCGCCGGCGGCTCGTACTCCCCCCTCTGCACCGACTCCGGGGCCATGTACAGCGGCGTCCCTCTGAACTGGCTGCTCTCGGCGGCGCTGCCGCCGGCGGCCGGCTTCGACAGACCGAAGTCGGCGATCTTGGCCCGCCCATCGCCAGTGACGAGGAGGTTCTGCGGCTTGATGTCGCAGTGGACGAGGCCGGCCTGGTGAATCCGACGGAGGCCGCGGAGGAGGGAGGCGGAGAAGCTCCGCAGCGCTGCCTCCGGGAGGGGCCGCCGGCGGCGGTGGAGGAGGAGGTCGGCGAGAGAGCCGCCGGGGAGGTACTCGAGGAGGATGTTGTAGAGACGGCGGCCGTCGGGCTCGACGGTGACGGCGGCGCCGTAGCAGGTGAGGATCTCCGGGCAGCCGGCGAGGCAGTCGAGAGCCACCTTCTCGCGGCGGAGGGAGGCGGATTCCGCCAGCGGGCATGATTTCACGGCCATAACCGGCGGCAAGGCTTCCACGCAGGTGGACTCCGCCGGCGGGCACCTGGCCAGGTGCACGGTGCCGAAGCTTCCCCTCCCCACCACCGGCCCCCTCACCCACCCCGTCATCTCACTCTACCACCACCCTTCCTTCCATGTTACAGAGAGAAATATAGGGATAGAGAGAGAGAGTCGTTTACTCTGGAGTTTGTGATTCTTGCCTTCTCACTCTCCGCATTCTCTGCGGGAACAGAGAGAGAGAGAGAGAGAGAGCGAGGAGGGAAGGAGGGAGAGTCTGCCTGTTCTCTACTCACACTCCCTCCTCTCCACGACTCCCACTCTTGCGAGATAGAAAGAGAGAGATCTAGTGAGAGAGAGAGAGATTCGGGGATGGATCTAGCTCTCCACGGCATGGTAGAGACGGGCATATATCTCCATGCAGAAAACACACGTGAGAGTGCTCCGGGGGGCGTGGAGTCTCCCCCTCGTGTTCCTCCTCTCCTCTGCACTCCTCGTCCTCTTCTGCTTTCGGAAGCTACTTCTCAGTTTCCTCTTTTGGCCGGCAGCCGACGTCCCGGCGGAGCGGGCCCACCGACGGCGACGCCGGCAGCTTCCGGCGCCGCCGGACACCCCCAATCCTCCTCCTCCTCTGCCTCCGCCGGAATATAATAAATCATCACCAACGTGATCTCCCCCGCCGATTGGGCACGGGCGTGCGAAAGATCCCAGCTTTTTGGGCAGCTAGGTGATACAAATCCAACCTTTCCCGGGGGGCGGCACGGATCCTGTCCTTGATCCTCGTGTTCTAATTGCCCACTAGATTCAAGCACATATTAAAGAGAATAAACTGAACAAATATGAATCGAAAATTGGAAGTTATACGAACACAATTAATCGAAGCATGGGGATCATTGTGTAGGGAAATGTAGATCTTTTTTTACTGGGTAAGATCAGGCCAATCCGTCCTTACATGCCTGAGGAAAAGGCCAATGAAAGAGCTAAAAGAATCACTTAAAGAACAGCTGAAGAGGAATGATTGCCAAAAGAGACATCATAGAATGAAAAATCTGGCATAGCACATTTTAGGTATATGCCACTTTTTTTTTTGTTAGCAAATATTATTTTTCTAAACACCCAATCTTGGGTGATGGGTGTTTGTGCGAATTAGGCAGCTTAGCTAAATGGGAGGAGCTGTGATGGGAGAGGGTGACTAAGTAGGACCCCACTTTTACTTGCTTAATTTATTCACAAATAAGAATTTAAATCGTTTATTTTTATTAATTCCCCTGAATATACCTTTTTGATTGATATTCCACATAAAAGAGATGATAAATTGATGAATTTAAGGTGTTCGGCATGGTGTTGGAGGATTCCTTGGAATTGACTATGAGGTGGCTCCGGTTGATGAATTATTATCGTATTTAACGATTATTTATATAGGATTTAATTGTTTAATGGCGTAGGTATTTTATGTGATGATAATTCGTGTGATGTGGCTTGAATGACCTTCTTGGACATGCACGTGCAACATGCCTGCGTCAATCGCCGGTGTTGGTGCCACGTGAGAATGACCCCTAACGTTTTCTACTCTCTTTCTATCTATCCATCCATCTGTCTCTTTCTCTCCCCCATTATCCGTCTGTCTGTTCCTCTCTGACCCTCCGTTTCGTCTCTCTCTCTCTCTCTCCCCATGTGTACGATACAGAATACCTCTCCGTCTCTCCCTCTCAATCTGTCTAAAACAAGACACGCGTGGCGAGCAAGTCCCACGTCCTGCACGTGAGAACATGCAGTGGGGCTGGCGGAGAATCGATCCTAATCCAGAGGGAGAAAGACGACAACGGCCGCATGTTTCGCCTTTTGTTTTGATGGTGAATAAGACGGTCCGTTAGCGACATCAACGGGGAGGGCGAGCGTCAGAGTCAAGGCCCGACTTCAGACCTTCCCTTCCCCCCTACAGAAGAGCGAGAGAGAGAGAGAGAGAGCTGGATTCTCTCTCTAGATTGAGATACAGGGGGTCTTTTTTGCATGGGTTTCCACAGATCCTAGCCGTCGACATCTTTATGCCTATTGTTTTCAATTCCTTTCGCGTGTGTTTTCCCTGATGCCTTCGGTATCTCTGAGACTGTGGAGAGGTAGATAGGGAAAGAGAGAGCTGTTAGGAGACTGTCTGCTGTCGAACATTTCTTTTGCATGCTCTTCAAGGATCTCCTGTGAAATTCTCAAAATTGTGTGTTGGGGTGTGAGAATGTGAGAATTTCGTTCTCTTTGGCATGGTTTCATTAGATGCCTTGCCGTAAAGATAGATAGATAGATAGAGAGAAGCTGACATTGTTGCTCACACTTCCTCCTCTTTTGTAATGCGTTTGTAAGATGTCTTTCGTTAACTCCATGAATTGAGAGAGAGAGATTTTCCAAGATCTTTATCTTCCCGGGTAGAATCATCTGTGCAAAAGTCTACACAAGTAGATAGATAGATAGATAGATAGATAGATAGATAGATAGATAGATAGATAGATAGATAGAGAGAGAGAGAGATAGATAGGTAGATAGATAGATAGATAGATAGATAGAGAGATAGATAGATTGATAGAAAGATAGATAGATAGATAGAAAGATAGATAGATAGATAGATAGATAGAAAGATAGATAGATAGATAGGTAGATAGATAGATAGATTGATAGAGAGATAGATAGATAGATAGATAGATAGATAGATAGATAGAGATAGATAGATAGAAAGATAGAAAGATAGATAGATAGATAGATAGATAGATAGATAGATAGATAGATAGATAGATAGATAGATAGATAGATAGATAGATAGATAGATAGATAGATAGATAGATAAATAGATAGATAGAGAGATAGATAGATAGAGAGAGAGAGGGAGAGAGTCTCACACGCCATCCCCTCAGCGTGTGCCTTCTCTCTCTTGTCTACCCAGTCTTAAGCTCGCACCCTTGTAAAAATATCAACAAAGTTCTCCATGGCTCCTCACAAGGTAGTCCATGAATCTACACACCTTTGAATAGTCGAAGCAGATTAAAGCCTCCAAGGAGGATCAGACCCCACCTGAGTATATCTCAGACTCCACAAATGATGCCCATGTGTTCATCTTGGCACCGTCTAATCCTACCTCCTCCTGATGAAATAAAAAAATATATCTCTGCAATCTTCGGGGAGAAAAAATCACTTTTATTTTTAATTTTCATGCTTAATCGGATCCAAGGGTCAAATTAATCTCATGACAAGAGTCCCATATAATTCCAACAAAATACGCACTGATAAAGAAGTTTTCATGATAATAATATCTACACCGAGAAGTCAAATCATTTGAATCCCACTTCCCAAATATGCACATCCAGACACTGCGGCTTGCCTGGGATTACTGAATGATTTCTGGTCCCGAATCAAAAAATTATTTACCATTGGGGGGCTGATCATGGGACAAGGTTCTTGTGTTACAGGTTAATTTCTTCAGAGCTCCCCATTTTATTATGATCCAGAAACAGATGATTAGCAATCCCAGATTAAGGAGCCAAGGGTGGTTTCGGTGGGCATCAATTCTCAGGGCAAACCAATTAGCCGCTCAAATGGAGTGATCAAGTGTTTATGTATGGGGCCAAGGATCAATGATCCGAGAAACCAACTTGAGGACAAACCTACTTAGAAATAAGTTACCATCGATATATTTCATCCCTCTGTCCACAAAATTTTATACAATCTCGCAATATATGTTGGTAATGAAGCAACGATGGAGTAGTCCAAAGCATCAACCCCCCATTGACGGAGCTTGAAAATACTAGAAAGAAAAGGTATATATGCAATCAACCAGAACATGATATATATGGAATTTCCATAAAGTGTTCTTAGAATAAGGCAACACCAAACGTTTCGGACATCAGCACACTACGGATGATCTACCCAATATTTAAAGGGCAAGCAGCAATGCAAGGAACAGCAGTGACTGTTTTCTTGAAAAAGAAACTTGCTATTTCTCTGTGATGAACAGTATTCTTCGGGGTCTGAACATCATCGAAGCATCAAATGGATCATCATAGCTGAGACTGATAAAAATAAGTGCTCTGGGCTATTCCTTATAACATCAGTACAAATGCAGATGCATGCAATCATAGAGCCCACTGTGAGCAGCACTAAGGAAATGCTCCAATCTTCCAAAGTTACAGGTAAAATGCCAGAGGGGTTGAATGATTTAAGAGACTTATCTTGAGGAGATCACCTCTGGTTGGGGAAGAAGCCCGTCCAAAAGTCCAGATCCTTTTCCCTTGCACTAAAACAGTAACTCAACGACTGCCTGGAGCACTTTTTATTGACCCAAAGCTTGAATAATCAAATGGGGCTTCCATGGAAATGATGAAAATCTGGGATGGAATATGTGATGTATGCTCAATATTTCAAAATTCTGGATCAATCAATGGTGTAACTTCCCGAAAGTACTGGAATCAGAGATGATACTGGATAAACTTTAACAAGGGCAAAGAGGCACAGCTCCACTCCTTCCCCCCCCCCCCACAGTAAGGACATGCAGGGGCTTAACTTATGAACCATAGTTGAAAATGTGCAACATTAAGGATGACAAGGGATTATTCATGCTTATTAAGAACTCAGACCCTGTGATAGAGCAAGAATACTCTCAAAGTTCCAACACAGAAAACACAAGGGAAGAAAAAGTGCCAGATATTAAGCTATTGGGAGTAAAGCTAAAACCCAATTGATCCAGCAACAGAGACTCTGCAAGAAACCTCCCCCCGAATAAAGGAAAATAAAAGTACTCATTGGGCGACATTAGAAATAGTCGCAACCCAAGAGGTAAAATTAACCAGAAAACAAGCAGTAGGATTCGTGTATCCTACGCCGAAAAAACTGTCTTCATGGGCCTCACCGTGTACATGAATCCATTTCTTCGGAACTCACACAAGCAAAATTTGTCAGGCCGCACTCTTTGATGAATCGGAGCTCCCAGCATGCTAATTAGACCTGAAAAAAAAAAAATCGCTCAGGATTACGTCAGCAGGAGACCAACATGCAGGTTAGTTGTAAAATCTCAAACACCGAAACCGATCAAAAAATCTCCACCTGATCTTTGCATAGCGCAGGTAGCATGCTATTGCCGTCACAACAGTGACTGCACCTGCAGATGCCGCCATAATCTTCCAAGAGAATTTATGACCCAAGATTTCATCTGTAGGGTAGACCTTCTTAGCAGCGACATCATCAGTAGACCTGTTCCCATTCTCAACCAGATGGACCCTCTCCAACTTCGCTGCGTACAAACCAACTTTCTCCTCCAAGTCTGCCATCGCCAGTTTCAGTTTCATCACCTCTTCTCCCTTCTCCGACGACGCTGGCCCCAGCTCCATCTCCAGAGATTTCAACGTACCTTCAAGCTCAAGAACTCTCGCCTCCGCTTGATCCTTCTTCTTTTCCAACGCGTCCTTCTCGCCCACCAGATTCCCAAGGAAGGCTTTCAGCTCGCCCTCGATCTTATTGGCTTCCAACACCTTCCCCTGCAACTCCTTCACCTCGCCCTCCAACCTCTGCAAGGATTCCTTGAGATCCCTCACCTCGGCGGCCTTATCATCACCCTCGGACATAGCGCCAACAAGGTCGTGTTGCAACCGGGAGACCTCCCCCTCCAGTTCCGCCGCCCGAGCGGCCACCGCCTCCAGCGCCCGCCTCTCCCCCTTCGCCCGATCGGCCTCCTCCGCCCTCTCCGTCGCAAGCCTCGAGAGCTTCCCCTCCAGATCCCTGATTTGCGCCTCCAGGGAGTCCCTCGATCCCTGGAGCTCTTCAATGGTGGCCTGGAATATCTCCACCTGGGTAACGGCCGCCTCGAGCTCGCTCTGGAGGTCCGCTCGCTCAGACCGGAGCTTCTCGACTTCGCCCTGCTTCTCCTCCGACTCCTCCACGGCGGCAGCGGCGGCGGCGGCGGCGTCGTTCGCAGGGGCGGTTTCGCCTTCCATGGGCGACGCTGGTGGATTTCAGAAGGAAGCCGGCGGGGGGGGATCGCAAGTACAAGAGAGAGTGACGGAGAGACACACACAGAAGGGAGTTGGCCAATTAGATGGACAAACCGCAGGAGAAAAGAAGCTTATTTCTCTCTCTCTCTCTCTCTCGTGTTTCTCTTTATGGAAAAGTAAAAAAATAAAATTATTGCTATTTTTTTATTCTCGGTAAATACAAGTTTCTAATGTGTTTTAAATAATTAGCCACGACCCTTCAATTTATTCGTATATTTAGTATTACAGTAATTACAGCAGAATCTCTCTCCCTCTCTCTCCCTCCCCTGCTGATTGGGCCATCTAATAGAAAATCAAATTTCGTCTGCCTAAAATGATTAGAAGGAAAATTTCTATCTCTATACATTCTTTTCCACTTTAAAATAATAAAACGGAGAATTTTTTTAATTACGAAGTTCAAGAGCACCCAATTCTAAAAAATATTCACGGCCATTTTTAAATATGGAATAAAAATTCGAGTAAATCTAGAATTTTTATTATAAAACCCCGAATATTAGACTCCAATTAATTTGGATCCTTTATTAAAAATATATATTTTAAAAAAATGATCGCCATTAAGTTCTGATCAACCCAATTGACGAAGAACAATCGGTCAACTAGGGTTTGAGGTCGTTGGGAGTCCGGTAGCAAGCAATGAACGTGGGTGCCATGAGGCTGTGATCAGAGGAGGAGGAGGAGGAGGAGAGAGAATACCAAGAACTCTAAGAACTTGGAAAAATAATTGCAAGACAAGTGGGAGTTGACTTGTGTTTGTCTTTGAAGAATTTAGATAGACAGGGGTTGACTCTCAGTCCTTGTCCTCGTCGTCGTCGTCGGCGGCGGCGCTCCTCATTTCCTTGTACAAGTTTCTCAGCAAGGAAGTCAACTCCCCGTGCTGAGGATGTGAGGATTGACCCACGAAGAAGGTCGCGGCAGCGGCGCCGTTGACCTCGACAGAGCTCCACCCGGGGGTCTTCTTCAGGCCCAGCGACCTCATCCTCGCCCACGACTCCCCAACAGCGTCCCATCTGCTGGCGGCGGAGAAGCCCTGAGCCAGCTGCACGTAGCTCCCGGCGGCGGCGGGCTCCATGGCCAGGATCTCGGCGGCGACCTCCTCCGCGAGGGCTGCGTCTCCGTGAGTCCGGGAGGCGTCGAGGAGGATCCCCAGAACCTCGGAGGTGGGCGTTGACCGCGCTACCGCCGCCGCCTCTCGCAGCATCCCCGCGCGGCCGAGGAGGTCAACAACGCAGGCACAGTGCTCCATCTCCGGCGACAGGCCGAAGTCCTCCGCCATGCTCCGGAAGATACGGAGCCCGTCGCCGACGAGTCCGGCGTGGCTGCAGGCAGAGAGCGCCGCCAAAAAGACTACCCGATTTGGGGGGATTCCGGTGGAGAGGAAGGCGGAGAACAGCTCCAGCGCCGCCTCCCCACTCCCGTGGCTGCCATATCCGGCGATCATCGAGCTCCACGAGACCAGGTCCCTCTCCGCCGCCATTATCGAGTCGAAGCAGCTCCGAGCAACTCGGAGCTCGCCGCACTTGCAGTACATGTCCACCAGCGCCGTCATGGCAGCTACGGCGGGGGGCCACTGCTGGTTCCTCACCAAGAAGCCGTGGAGGGGCCTCCCATGGCGGAGGGAGCCCAGAGAAGCCGAGCCCTTGAGCAGGAGGAGGACGGTGATAGAGTCTGGCCTGAGGCCGGTCTCCACCATCTTCTCCAAGAAGCGGAAGGCCATCTCCAGATCGCCATTCTGGACGAAACCGGAGATCACAGAGTTCCAGGAAACCAGGTCTCTCTCCTGCATCGCCCAGAAAAGCTGCTGGCTCTGCCTCATGCGGCCGCACTTGGAATACATGCTGATCAGAGAGTTCTCCGCCGGTGGGTCCATGGGGATCATGCTCCGGCGGAGGAGGTAGCCATGGATAGAGGCTCCGAGATGGAGGGAGCCCAGTTGCCCGCAGGCCGCCAGGAGGCTGGCTATGGCAGGAGAGCCGAGAATCTCCTCCCCGGAAATCAACGCCCTAGGGAAGCGTTTCAGGGCCTCGTCTGCTCGATCGTTCTGGACCAGACCCGCCGTCATGGCGGTCCAGAAAACAGAGTCCCTCTTGGCGGCCAGATCGAAGAGGAGGTAGCCATAGCTCAGATTCTTCTGCCTCAGGTACATGGTCAACAGGGAGGTCACCACGCCAGCATCCAGGTCAACCCCCGACGTTATGATCAGCCCGTGGATCGATTTTCCGACAAGAACCGATCCAGCGGTGGCGGCGGCGCAGGAGACCAGAGAGGAGAAGGTCCGCCGATCGGGCACAGAATCAGCGTCCTCCATCATCTTCTTGAATAGCTCCAGAGAGTCTCTGAGGGCTCCTGCGCGAGAATAACCAGAAATCATGGTGTTCCAGGAGATCACGTCCCGGTGAGGCATTGAGTGGAAAAGGTGGCGGGCGGAGCTCGCTCTTCCGAGCCTCAAGTAGACGTTGACCAAGGAGTTGACCACCGGGAGATGAGACTGAAGCCCGCTTCTGATGGCGGTGGCGTGGAGGCACTGCAGCTGAGCCGCCTCCCGGATTCCGGGGAGCAACCCCAGGAGGGTGACGGCGTTGGGTTCGACGCCTTCGCGCCACATCCTCTGGTACGCTGCCATGGCGGCGTTCGGATCGCCGGAGAAATGGGAGTAGGCGGCGATGATGGCGGACCAGGGAACGGCGGTCCTGCGTGGCATTTCGTCGAACACTCGGCGGGCGCTTGCCACGTATCCGAGCTTCGCGTAGGCGTGGATGAGGGAGGAGGCGACATAAGGGTCCTGGTGGTGGCCAAAGACGACGGCCCGCTGGTGGAGGTTGACGGCGAGGGCTACCGCGCCGGCGGCTGCGCAGGCCTTCAGGAGAGAGGGGACCGCGCGGATGTCCGGGGTGGCGCCGCCGAAGACCGCGCCAGCGTACTTGGCGAGGGCCCTCCTCCATGGTTCTGCTGGGGGATGCCCGGTAGAGGTCGAGGAACCCGGCGGAGGAGGAGGCGCCGCCGCCGCCGCGGAGAGAGGATTCGACGACGGGAAGGTCTGAGAGGTACTAGCGCTGTTCATCTACCAGCGAGCGGAAAGGGTGGCGGGGAGGGAAAGTCAAGGGAAGCTCTTTTTGGGCCACATAGCACAGAATCTTAATGGGTCATAAACGTGGAGGCCCATTTTTTGCTCATTTGACATAGAACTTTCTGTCTTAAGGCGAACCCGTTGACTTAGGATCGGTCAATGCTCGCTCCGATCAGGATTATCCAGGGCCGCCGACAGGGGCCAGATCTCCATCAGAGTTTTACGTTTTGCCCGACGACCTGGCTAATGCCACCTGTGGAAAAGTCAACGGGCAACAGACCGCAGCAACAGGGTCTGTTGACCATCAAAGAAAGAGGGAATAGAGAGAGGTGCGGGAATCAAATAAATGGTGGAGAGCACATAAAAGAAAAGAATACTAAGCTAGGGAAATATGTCACTAAGATTCTCAAATATAGCACAAAAATGTTGACCTAACCCACCTCCCCTCCCTCCCCCCGGACCGATGGCTTCATTCCCAGTTAGACAGGACCTGCCTAGTCAAAGGCGTCCCCAATGATGCTGACTGGGCTCCGGGGGCGCCCTATGGAACGCCGGTGGGCCCCGCAGGTTCTGCAGTCGGCCCCTGCAGCATCAGTTGACCTAAGAAAAGAAGGTAAACTTCAAGATGGTAAAAAATAATGCAGGTGATGAAATAGCAGCGAGGAATTTTGTAGAACATACGAGCAGTGTTTCCATAAAAAACGTCGCGCAGACAAAACCATGACCAAATTTAGTACTTTGGTCAAAATGTGGATGTCAACGGAGGATTTCAGCACAGCTCTGTCGAACAGAAAGGAACAACCATGCGGAGCATTAGGAATGGAGATCATTCCATTCATAGAAATCTCCAAACCCAAGAAAAACGAGAAAGCTGATCAGTCTCATCCCTGATAAACGGCAACTAGAAATCGGATAATGTGCCAAGAACCAACAACATGGATATCAGACGATCGACAGGCATGAAATTCACACAGTAGGTTAAAGACTGACAAATACATAAATACGTACACTTATACGTATGTACTGCCATGAACAATTCACGCTCTGTAGCATCCACACAGCCAAAAAAAAAAAGAAAAAGAAGAAAAAAACTATTTTTCTAGGGACATTAAAATTTTTATGCATAATTTTTCAGGTGCATCTCCATACAATAGCCTTTTTTTCTTCAAGCCTGAGAGATTCCCCGAAAGAAAAAAAAAAAAAAGAAGAGTCAACATTAACAGAAAAAATTCAGCAGGAACTCGACGACACCCATTTGTATCAAATTATAAATTCAGCGCGAATTCCCTGATACCCATAAATAGCAAATTTTAATTCTGCATGAACTCCATGGTACCCAGGCAGAGTATGCAGTAAGTAATGAGGGTTATTCTAAAGGAGGGCATGGCTTGGTCTCCTCAAGAACACAAGCTTCCGTCCAGAAGAGCACCGCGCAATCTCTTTCTAGAAGACTTTCATCTCTTCTGGGAAACCTTGTAAATAAATGCACGTATCAAGCATCCCAACAATGTCAACATCAGCAATGTGGCCTAACTATAAGATTAGTGGTTAAATTTTTAGTGGGTTAATAAGATTAGGGGCACAGAGTTATCTGCATGTTCATTAATGGCAAAAGTGAAGGGAGGAGAAGACCAAAGGTCCAACAAGCACCACTCTGAGATAACCAGAAAAGGAAATGATCATGAACTTGAGAGAAGCAGCAAGGCAGGAAGATCAGAAAAAATAAAAAACTGACTCCAAAGCATCCAAGAAAGAATGACATGCCGTAGATAATGGGGATTCGAATGCCAATCTGCATAAGAAGTAAGATAAATGAAAAATTAAGCATGTTCTTCCGGGTTTTGGCATGATAAAAACCACAGCCTGTGTCCATTATGCCACCTTCCCTAGAATAGGAGCCAACGTAGTTGAGATACATAGGATGGTAGCATATAATGTTATACCAAAGCATGGTAGGAGCAGCTTCCACTCAATGGACACACATGAATGTCTACGAATCAGCATACTTGATCTTTTATTATACTGCAGTAATGTAGAGAATATTAAGATCAAAACAGAGAAATAGGTCAAGAACCCTATTCGGCATCTATCACATCGCTTCCACTCTAACCTTCAAACCTGTAGTGCAGTATCCCTTTCTATCCCAGGCAGCTGACCCATTTGACTAAAAGAGAATGTATGTTGCCAAGGAAGATCCATAGATTTTTCAAAAAGAAACGCCGTCACCAAAAATCAGATGATTAGGGAAATTGTTACTAGTTGACTTGAATAAACCAAAATCTCATCAGACCATCCATTTGTTTCGATTTGAGGTGATAACATGTTCCCGGCAACTAGAATCAACCATAGTACGTAATATCCTAATTTCCGTTCCCATTGTGGCAAGTCAACTCTGACCGAAAAGGTTCCCAAGGAAGCATTCATTGACATTGACCAGTTGAAGGGAAAAAAAAAACTCACATGGGTTATTTAGTATTTGCAGAAAAAGGCATCGAAACCCAGTATGATATCATTGTGATTAGCGCGAAATCCATTCAATCAGAAGATCTGTCATAACCCTCCCAGTTCCTTTAAGATCATGGACAAAAATATATGAGGAAAAATTTACTGGAGTAGGCCTTATTCAGAAAAATGACAGCCAGCACAGCACACTTATCTCAAAACCTAATGATTACTCAGAATGGAGGCCTTCATGCTCAACAGCATTAGCTCAATGTGTCTTGCCTTCCTCGGACTGCTGACATTGAGGCACAACCAACGAAGATCCATAATTTTCTTCTCAACCACTTTGCTGGGCAAAAGGAAGATATTAACATCTAAACGCTCTCCTATTCACAGCTGAATAGCTGATAAACACTTCACAGCCGGGGAATCTCCTCCCATTTATGAAATCTCACGCACAGTAAATCATAATACTCTAGACATTCTACTAAAAATGCAAACGATTCAGAATCCAGGATATTCAGCTTCCCTGGTAACTAGAAAACAGATGAGACCAGGAGCCCAAAGCGCACGAGGAGAATGAGACCATTTACGCAAGGGGAGAAATATTCAGAGTTGCTTGGCATCCCCACAACAGAACCCATACAGCCTGAAATCAATTATCCTAGGTGTCGCAACATTGCTGCTTATGCTCAGTGCGAATATGTTTCCATGCCCTTATGGTTACAGTTTTACCAGGGGTTGCCCTATTTTCCTAGGCTAGAGAAGCAGCAGGGGATGCTCCGCAGGAGGATTAAAGAGGCCAAGCACTAAAGAGGAGAAAAAGGACGGAAGAGGCTCAATCTTCCTAATTTTTTTTATAGTTCGGGGGGATCTACGCCATGTGATCTTGCAGAAGCACGGGGACAGTAGCAAGAACATGAACGCTACGAAGAACAGCGAAAACACAACAGAGTAGAAGCATGTAGGAGAGAACAGAGAGAAACGACATGCACATCGGAGGAATGCGCCAAAAAGCCCCAAGAAGATGTCATCACGGCTCGGATGCTCGTATGAGGGTGAAGAAGCAAGGCAGAACCCATCTTCAACTGACCTGCATTTTCTTTGGAGGATATTCCACTCCGGCAACCGCCCTCCATCCACAGAGAAGGCAACAGTGCGTTGACCAGCGCCGGCGCTACCACCAGAGGCCATAACGGGGAACATCCGCCGTGGAGCCGCCAGCTCTCACCTCCCGCAACAGCGCTGACCAGCAGTTTCTCGTTGTGTCCGCCGTCTAGGGGAGCCCTCGGCACCAGCTAGCGCCGCTCCAACGTCAGCTTCCAGCCCCCTCCCCGTGGCGCCTCAGTCTCGATTTCTCTCCAAAGCCTTCGTTCTGCTTTCGTCGGGAGGGAAGAGGGGAGAGAGAGAGAGAGAGAGCAGTGGAACTCCAACAGGGTCCCCCCAACTTTCCCCGCTTTCCCTCTTCCTCGGCTCCGTCTTCGTCCTTCCCCCCTCTCCGGCATAAGAAGAAGAAGAGGTTGTCGAGCGCGAATCCCGACGTCCCTGCCTGCAGAGCTCAGAGTAGCAGCCTTTTTGAATTTTCCCCCTCTCCAATTTTCTTAATTTTTCCCAACTCCATCAATTCTTCTCATTTTTAAATTGGGCCATCGACCGGCCCCGCCATTTATAGCACATTACTTTATTAACCTTTTTTCTTGTTAAATTATCGTAACACCCGCATACATCATATCCAGCCAAGTAGAAAAGTATGAAAAGGCCCACGCATCTATAGTACTTAATATATGACACCTCTGGCATTTCCTTACCGTGAAACGTGTGGCAAATTAGCGTGGTAGAGCTTGCTTTCTCTCTATTTGGGCCTTAAAACTAACCCCAGAAGATTCGGCCCGGCCCAATTGGCTCAGGCCCGGCCCAAAATTTGTGGCATTTTGCTTCAAGAAAACCATGAAGCTAATTTGTTGATATAACCCCATAAAACCCCACTTGTATCTGCACAGAACCAAACAATAGTCATCTGGGCACTTGTTTGACTTAATATTTTTTTGAAAAGGATACTAATAGGCATGTAGTTGTTCTATACAATCAATACTTTCATTTCAATCAAGAGAAATTCTCCCTTTATTGATCAAACCCTGAACACTAGCATGAGCAAACAACACAAAATATGGGCATCAATCTCAAGAAAATTTCCAAATCAAATGGGAGGTCAATGATCTTGCAACTTCCCAGTTTGGTGGGAAATCAAAACTTGTATGCTAGTTAGGAATGAGAGATGAGACCATGAATGGGGGCATCAAGTCTTTGTGTGTAAACTTACCATGATTGACATAATTTGATGAATTTGTTATCAAAAAAATTCTCAAGAATAATTTTTTTAGGACTACCACGAATATTATAGTTGATAATCATCAAGAGTACCATGAATATTACAAATGTATGACTGAATCTAATATAAATTATTTTTTTTTCGTAGTATTGTTAAATGTGGGCTACAATTAGAATTTGATGACTCCCACTAAGATTTTTTGGCTCTATGCTGAGCTGATCTTAATCAAGATATTTACCCAACATTCATAATGACATCTATAGAAAGTGGACAAGTGTTTGTTAGTATATGAGGCTCCCTTTGCCCACTACTCATTTGGAATGAAGGCTCCTTTATGTGTCAGCCTTCTAGGCCATCTTCTCTATCGCCCTCTCTAAGTAAATGGACTCCGATCATGGTGACGTCAAGCTTTTATGACCCATTAAACCATGTTCACTCCAACCATGGGAGTATATATCTCACGCAAGCATCAGCTTCGAATGCAAACCTCAACGAAAGAGATGAGATGAGAAGAACAGAAGAATTGGAGGGATGAACATGCTCTCACTCCTTCAACCTTCAATAATGGGAGCAAATATCTCGATCAAGCTTCAATTTCATCAAACTATACGCAGATCTCAAGAAAAGAGATAAGAAGACCAGAATAACAGTAGAGGAACGGAACAACAGCCATTCCCGTCCCTAAAACTTATTAAAGTGAGGAAATCCCATTATTGCGCACAAGCTTCCCAACAAATCATCAATGAAGTGGGGCATGAACGTGCAACCCAATGCAGACAAATCGGAGTGACAAGGTTCCTCGTGTGCCAGGGCTTCAGTCAACCATGTCTTGGGGGGATGGCGGATGCTCCATGAATGGTAGCGACGTAGAACAACTGCGTGGCTGAGAGGATTATGATGAAGGCCTCCATGGTTCTCTGGGACAATTTATAACAGGTTGAGTAAACCTTCTGACGGGTATTCTTTTTCTCGTAGATTGGAAAATATTCTAATTATGGTGGAAATGGCGCAGGAGGGATGCTGGGAAGTAATTAGTCTTCGAGGAATACATATATATATATATGTATGTGGCTGTTGGAGTTGGATAAAATTGACTTACGAGTGGAGCATTTCTTCCCTCTAGATGGATCTCCTTGCAAGCCAATCTGCAGTTTTTTTCAGATGTTGGAGTGATAAGAGTGATAATTCTTGGTGGAATCAACGGTGGCGACGGAGGTGCAACTTACCCCATTGCGAGGAGGGTGGGGGCCCATGCTACGAGCGCCACCGCCATGGCCGCCGGAGCTGTCTCCCGGTTCCACGACCTCAGGTTGCCTACTCCGGCAACCGCCGCCGCGGCGCCCACTACGCCGGCCAGCAGAGCGAAGATGACGAAGAACCCAGACGCCGCATTGCCGATGGGGAAGAACACCGGTGAGAAGTGCGCCGGAAGCTGGAGGCCTGGACCTGCACTAGGCGACGGCATGTGAAAAGAGTACCTGTTTCTTTCTCCACGGTGGCTGGCCGCAGCTAGCTTCTTTCCGTGAATAATCACCAACTCCGGAGATGAAGGCGGCTTACCTATGATGAACCCGCGGTCAATGGCGACGTTGAGGGCCCAGCCACCAATGACTGCAACGCTGACGTACATGCAGAAATTGAGAACTAAGAGGAGAGCCGCAACCGGTCTCAGGCCACTGTTCTCGGCCATCGCCGCTGGCTGTGATCGTGGAGACAAGATAGGGTTTCTGGAAGAGCAAGGTGCTCTTCCGCCTCCTCGCCTGTCACGTCTATATATGTATATATACAGAAGAGAGGGAGGCTGTGGGAAACCCAGGAATCTTGTGCTTTCCTTTGGCTGACGATGCCGGCGATTCCTCAGAGGGAAGCCTCCTCTGATGGGGCTGTAAAGGGACGAGGAGCCTTTGGGATCAAGGAAGGGATCCAAGGATGAGGACGATTCTCTTCCTCGACGATGTGATCGTCTCAAATGCAATCAGGTTTCCATATTTTACAGGTATCATAATAGATTCCTCTCTCTTTATGTCTCTCTGTCTCTGTCTCTCTCTGTCTCTCTCTCTCTCTCTCTCTGTGTCTCTCTGTCTCTTTGTCTCAGTGTCTCTGTCTGTCTGTCTGTCTGTCTCTCTCTCTCTCTCTCTCTCGCTTTAGCTTCTAAATGCGACAATTCCATGCTAGCTTCCCCTGGCACTTCTCTCTCCATCCTCCTCTCTCTCTCTCTCTCTCTCTCTCTCTCTCTCTCTCTCTCTTTCTCTCTCTCTCATATTTATGCGGGTTAGTGAGATCTACTGATAAAATGATAAGGGATCATACGCTTCAACCCTCGGGGTGTTGATGCGAACTATCTAGATAACCCCATTGAATGATTCAACAATAGAACTCGCGTCTTTGAGGTGCATCATGAAGAATATATGGGCTCATTACTTCCAAATTTCCCAAGATTAAGTGGTTGGGAATTCAATTGCAAGAATATATGAAATGATAGTTGAAGGATGACTATGGAGTTCATTGCAGGTCAGATACCAGCCTTTAACAACCCCCATGTGAACTATTAACTGTCATGATGATATGATAGCATAATAATCAAAATTTTGTATCATTAAATTTTACAATGTACTTTTTATTTCACCACTTTACAACTTTTATTATGAAATATTTCGTGAAAAGACAAATATTTAGTAAATATTATGGTTGATGAGCAATGGGTGGAGAACTTTTTCCTGTTACATCATCACCATGTAGTAAACTATCTTCATAACTAATACAAAAGATCGTCAGATTGAGCTAAGTCTAGCTACTCGTATTCCCATACTTTCCTCATACTAGATGGTGGGCAACCTTGATTCAAAGTTCATCATCTAGCCCAAGATCCCCAAACTTAGATGGCCACATGGATAAACAAATCGAAATAGTCAAGTTTGAATCTTATGGTTTTCTTCCTTCAAGTATGCCCAGTCGTGCCCCTGGGAATCATGCGTTGACGTGGACACAAAGATTAATATTGATGTATTCATCAATCAATTCTTGAGTCCTAAAATTCTTAATACATGAGAGAACAATTAACATCAATCAAGTAGCCAATTCCACATAAAAACTAACAAATTCTTAAAAAAGAGAAAACATTGAGGGAACCTAGAAATTGCAGATGCCATCCAAAAACCGTATGTTTACAGCTGTTTCTTAAGGGCAGCGGCCAAAGTATACAAGCACCTAAGTTCCTATTCCATTCCCCCAGAAAAATTCTATAAGTACAAACAAAAGGAAAAAATTATTGGAATTAAGACCCTAAGTTTCGATAGGACTTTCAAACGGAAATAACAATGGCATCCCAAGGTCGTCTTACCTGCTTTCAGTTACTATTCTGTTTCTAGACGACCAAAAAGCCAGCAAGGTTAATACAGAAAGGCATTGCGTGTTAAGTCGCCTAAGAAGACAGGTTCGATTCAAACCTGATACATACATAAAAATCCATATAAGTTGACACACCCAGTTCAGCCAATAATAACGCATGGTCATTTGTATGTGATAGTTTAGCAAAATAATACTTCACATGGCCAATACTTGTTCTTAAATGAAATGAAGTTAGTATGAGACTTTCTAACAAGTGGATGCAGCATGTCAAGGGATTATCTCGTATAAATAATGGAACTTACATCCAAATAAATCAATATATAACTTGCTTCTTGTAAAACAGTGTTAATTTTAACTTAGGCTTGCAATTTGATGGATTGTTTTGCTTGAACCTGCCCAAGCTTTCGTGCAAAGCGCAATACAAAACCTCCCAGGCAAAGATCAACATGCAAGCAAATGCCATACTTATAAGCCAATTCACCAAGTTCCTGTGAACAACGAGGATGTCAGAGAGACTTGAAACATTAAAAGAGAGAAAAGGGAAGAGAAGAAGCGACAAACACCAGTGCCACGGTTTTGAAACTATATGACAAAGGTATTAGCCAGAGGTTCGTCACCTACTTCAACAGGATCAATAACGCCATGAGGAAAACCTGGTGCGGAACCGACAATCTAAAAAAAAAAACACACACACACACACACACACACACACACACAGTTTAGCAGGTTAGTTTACTGCTCCATACATGAATTTATCTGCAAAAAAAGCGGGAACTAAATATCTGTGGAAGATATCGTTTTCGGTGATCCTAACTAAGCTCTCTACCAAGGATACACCAAATCATGACATTTTTGCATATGCACGAAGCAATGGACGATGAAAGTCAAAAAGATTCGTGTCGGCCCATCTACAAGGCAGTGTATTGCGTATTTAGCTATGATATGAACGTCTCACTATCCTTTTCAAATTAATAACAAGTAGAATAACATATTTAGTAATGAAAGATATTTTTCTATGAACATCACTCAAGAAATTATTGCGTTCATTGACTGATCCATTGTTGAAAAGTATACTAAGGAATCTTGAAGAGAGTAAGTAGTTGAGCCCTCTTGAGTCCATACATCGTAGTCTACAACACAGCCTTGTAGAATTTTAGGTCATGATATATGGCGAGGCAATAGATTCTTGCAGTTTCATGCAAATCTTGTTAGTTTAGTAATTAATAATATCAAAATAAAGGGCACTCTTCGGGTGGAATACTCCTAGTAAACTCACTTGGCTTTCCTAGATCAATAATGTCGACAAGCTATTCTCATTGCATTGGTCTTTAATTTATTTTATTATATACATTATCAAATGCTAATGGAGAATATTTCAATCTTCACTTGCTCTCTCTCCCTAACCTAGTGTTGCAGAAGAATCTGAGGTTTTTTAAGGATTTATTATTTCTTTTTATTGGTCTTGTATTATGATTAAAATAATCTTGCACTGCAAAAGGCTCCTAAAAAGTGCATATATGGGAGATTGCCGAAGAATAAATTGTTGAGAATTAGCCCTAGTTAATGAATGTAGCATATCATTTATAAATCCGTTTTAATTTTTTAAAACCATTTTTGTGAAGGCTTTTATCTTATTATTGATGAATCTCCAAAACGTCAACTCCATCGCTGTTTCAGATCCGTTGGGGCTCGGGAGGCCTGAAGCCCAGGTTCATCATCATGTGTCCTCCTGTCATCATCTCCGCTGGTGGCCTCTGCCGGGACTTCGGGCCATTGGGAAGTGGGCCTCTGAGGGTCTTGGCCAGTGTCAGCCTGCCTCTCTCGGTTGACACCCCTTGTGCTCAGCTCCCCTTCTCTACTGGCCGTTTCGATGTCTGCTTCCGTTTGTACTCAGGAGTTTTCAATTCGCTAACGGCACAGTTCCCCCCGTTCTCTCTCTCTCTCTCTCTCTTTCTCTGTCTAGAGTTCTCTGCTCCCCGCGTTTCTTTTCCCAATCTGGCATTCTTCCTAGGGATTATATATAGCTTACCAGAGGAACTGAGGGGCCCCGTTGCAGGCACAAGGTCCACTCTAGAATGCGGAACTGGGACGCTGTGATTAGAAAGCGTCAAGAAGAAGAGGAAAGGAGCGCGAAAAAGGAAAGGCGAGGCCAGCTCGGCGCCAACCCAAGTCTCTCTCTCTCTCTTTTTCTCCCGCAATTAGTCCACCGAACAGTCCAACTCGTCCATCCTGGTTGGTGGCTGGAAACGCAAAAAGGGTCTTCTGCGAATCCATGGACGCACCGATCTATTGTGCCGTCATCTGCCCGGAAGGAGAAGCCCGCCGAGAGGAAGGGCCCAGGCCGGCGGCGACAGCTGGTTCTCCCCCACTCCTGCTTACGACCCGGCCTCCTTGTCTTTCGCCAGGTGGGTGGGCATCCAAGCATTCGGTGGTTACGTTCCCTCTCTTCTCCTCCTCCCTAACCTTTTCCATTGTTGCCTTCTGCTCCCAACCTAGTTGTCCTCTGATGGATCCGCTCTGTAATCTCGCTTGCCGCTGAGGTCCCCCCACGTTCTGTTTGCTGATTAAGCCAAGCTGTGTTCGGCTTTCACTGTTCTTCTCTGATTCCTCCATTATGCTCTGTTTTATCACCTCTGGTATGGATCCATTGGACTGATGCGTTCGTGATTTTTTCTGTTTTGCGTCGTGAAGGGAGGCTGCAGGAAGGGGAGCGACCTGGCCGTCACGGTCATCTGGAAGTCCCAGAGGCGTAGGAGGATCCGATTGACGACATGATGGAGAATGACTCTGGCTCTGTTGATGTTGTTGAGGTGGTGGAAAGGGAAGAGAATGAAAGAGAGGAGCTGCCCATCACCCACTTGGGATCTGAAGTGGTGAAGGGCGTCGCGAAGAAGACGGAGGAGGTTGCCCTTGCTGTAGTTGAGGACGAAGAGGCTGAGGTTCCCATACATCAGCCTCCAGATTCTGTCTCAGCTACCCCTTTAGTTGTTTCCATTTCGGAGCCAGTAGCGAGGAGTGTAGATCCAGTTCAATCTGAGATAGGCGAGAATTTGAGTTCTCCAGGAGATGCTCCCCCTCTCCATTCAGAGCCTCCCATTTCGAAGCCTGAAGAAGGGAGCAACGTGAATTCCCTTCCATCTGATGCTGAGGAGAGTTTGGGTTCTCATGGAGATGCTCCCCCTCCCCAGTCAGAGCCTCCCTTTTCGATGCCTGAAGAAGGGAGCAGCGTGAATTCCCTTCCATCTGAGGCTGAGGAGAGTTTGGGTTCTCCTGGAGATGCTCCCCCTCCCAATTCAGAGCCTCCCATTTCGAAACCTGAAGAAGGGAGCAGCGTGAAGTCCCTTCCATCCGAGGCTGAGGAGAATTTGGGTTCTCCAACATATGCTCCCTCTCCCCCTTCAGAGCCTCAACAGGGAAATATCTTGGATTCTCTTCCATCTGAGGCAGATGAGACGGTAGTTTCTTCAGGAGATGCACCCCCTCCCCCTTCAGAGTTTTCCATTTCGAAGACTCAACAAGGGGGGGTGTACCCAGTAGAATCTGAGACAGACCAGGGTGTGGGTACTCTAGGAGACACTCTCCCTCTCCCTCTCCCTTCAGAGATTCCCATTTCGAATCCTCGCCCTGGAAGTGCAAATCCTACTGAATCTGAGGCAGATGAGAGTATGGGCATACCAGGGGACACTCCCCCTACCTCCTCTGATCATTCCATTTCTGAGCTTCATGTGGAGGATAGAGATTCTGTTCAATCTGAGGTACACGGAGATGCTCTCCCTCGCCCTTCAGGGCTTCCCATCATGGAACCCCAACCTGGGACTGAGGATCCTCTTCCAATGGAGGCAGATGAGGACATGGGTTTACCAGAAGAAGAACAAATAGAGCAGCTGGAATTTGACGAACCGTATCTGCTATCCACTCCAATCTCTGAGGAGTTGACTCAAGCTTACAATGTCCCATTTGAGAGAATTGAGAAGGTTGTCAGTGGGGAAGATGCTGCCCCCAATCACAGGAAAGAAGAATCGCCATCTGTGACAGATGATCCTACCAGCGAACAGCCTGACTGCGGGCTCAAGAGCCATCTTGGTACTGACCGCCACGAGAGTAAAGGAATTACCGAGGTTTGTAATTGGTATTCTGTAATGCAGAGATTCTTAAATGCCAACTCTGAGTTTTTTTTTTTTTTTCTTTTTTGGGTGATGAATTTTGACCTGACTGGTTATCAGACTCAGGTTGCTCGCATCACTCATTTGGAGCATCGAGCTTCATGGATTGGCTGCTGTGGGCTTTTGGATGTAATTTCGGGTGCAAATCGATGAGCTCGAGGTAAGGAACGCCTGTTTTACTTTCTACTTATTTGTCATGGCTTTACAAAAGAAATGATGCCTACTTTTACCATATATATATATTGCGTCCGATAATTTTTACAAGTATTTGAGGATATAGATTCCTATGAACCTATTTATTTGGTTCATCCACTTTGGAAATTTCTATGTATTTGATGTTCTATGGGTCTTTCATGTTTCTTTTCATCCAACTTGGATCATAATTTTTTTTTATTATAAATCCATGAAGTGAGGCAGGATCCGCCCCCAATGTCTTGTGAATTATACCCGTCTCTGGCATTGCATTAAGATGAGGTTTGTGCGGGTGTATTGCCCATTACAGAAACATGCATAAATTTGGACGCATTTCATGACCGAGAATGGCATAGATTTGGATGAACTTTGTGTATTGGAGCCCGATCTTCTTGAATGTTTTATGCCATTCCTTAAATCTTCTTTGACCGAGTTGCCATTGGTTTGATTTGCTGCACATGATTCTTGACATGCTAGAAGTTTATGATCAAGGGGTAGAACGTTGAGATTTAGGGATGGGACTTGATTTCTAGCTATTCTGGTTTCTTTATGTCGGAGGGTAGAGATCGTATTCTGTGTGAAGGAAAATTAAAAACTTTTAATCTCTCTCTCTCTCTCTCTCTCTCTCTCTCTCTCTCTCTCTCTCTCTCTCGCATGCGCGTGCATGCGCACGCTCTGATCTCCGGTTTTCGATCCTTGTTTCATTGACTGTATCAGTATCTTTTGCATCCTAATGTCCATGCGCTTGATCAAAAGTTATTGATTAACGAATGCAAGTTAATGAGAATTGCCTGAGTGATTTCTTGAGTAAGAACATATTGTATGTATTGAGCTTTTTCTGCTCTGATGATGGATTAGATCCATATTGTCTGGGAGGAGCCTGAGAAGAAAGCTTGGTGATGATGCTTCACTTGACCCATTCCAGATTGCGCGGAGGTCATATCAACTTCATTAATAAAACCATTTTATACCTTTAAATGTCTAAAACCAAAATAAAAAAGAGAGTAAAAGTTAAAAATAAATGAACCTGAAAAGCTGGGTATTGGAAAAAAATAAGAATCAAAGCACATTCTATAAGATGGTATTTTCTCGCATAGCCTTCTCTTGATCAAACTTCTTTTATATCATCAATATGCCAACATTGTTTCTCCCTCTTCTTTGCTTACATTTAAATTTTCGCCATTTTATTTCTAATGAATCTTTAATCTCAAATTTCCACTTTCTTGCAGATGCAAGAAAGAAAGAAAATGAAATCGAATTGCTTGCTGTACATGTGATTCTTCATGGGGAATGAATGTTCAAGGGCCTTCTGGTTTCCAGGTTGAGTAATAAGTGGGTCATCTTTTGGTGCTTTCCATCAATTTCTGTTTGTGGGTTCGGTTTGACTTCTCAGTGGGAGCAGACTCGACTGGCATCTGTTGTGATATCTCATCTTGAGTCAAAGCTGCTTGATGTAAACGTCAATTGATAGGAAATGTGTTTGGATGATAATTTATTCTTATTTATTAAAAATTCTTGATATACATTGTTGATGGTTATAAGTCAATTAATTTCTTGAATTTCTACCCCTTCTGGTTGGGTAATTTTATGGGAACCCCTGATCATCTGCTTCTCTCTTAAACCTTAAATATAGTGAGAGAGAACAAGAGAGAGAGAGACAGTCTTAGGATTCAGCCCACTTGGGACCTTGAGATCTTTCAACTGGCTTATAGTAGAGATTTATAGAGAGAGGACGAGATATAGTAGAGGTCATGATGCTGTTTTCAATTCATACGTCTCCATTCATAGCGCCTCATGACCGCAGGGCTCTCCCTCTCTCTCTCTCTCTCTCTCTCTCTAACTGCATGTATACACCTGATAGAGGATGATGACATTCTCTCACTGCCCTGGGGTCAGCCTGGCTTTCTCTTTCCTCCAGCACTCAATGTCGGGATGACGGTCAGCATCTCCCTCCACTCTCTCTCCACCCGGCCATGGAAAAAGCTCTCAGAGGCTGCTGCAGCTGATGGAAGCTGAAGAGGTTGGCCAGGCTTCTAGAGGAGGTCCCTGAGAGTCGTAGTGCTTGTGGTAGTAGTTGCAGTAGTGGTCACCACTTTCGGTTGTTCGGCCTGCGAAAGAAAGCACGGGATTCAGCAGAGAAAAAAAATAAAATTGCCATTTTTTATATAAATTTGATTTGCCCGGCGTGGAGTATTTTCCATAATTAAACTTAATTAAAAATATAATGATATATAATAATAAGAAAATAACAACATGGTGGTATTTTCTTAGACCCGAAAATCGAGTTTAGGAGGGGGGGTCGAGGATTTGTTGTTGATGGGCCGGGCCCGGGGGCCTATGCACTTTGGCCCATTCTTTCACTCCCCGTAGGCAGCATTTTTTCCATCGAGGGCTTCTCAGGGTTTGCCACGTGGCAACCGAGAGATCGCATTAGCCGTGAAGGTGAGGTAAAGAAGGGAATTTTAGTTCACGACCACCAGAAATACCAGGAACTGAGGAAAAACTCATCATTTTTCTGAAATTTATGTTTGAGGCCCTATAATCGCCAGTTTTTGGCTCCGCAACCTTCTTCTTTACTACGTGGTTTCTCAATATGCTGCCACGTGGATTGATCCTGTCCACTGCTTACGACACATCAGCAGAGATCGCACCAGTCGTGAAGATGAGGATTGAACAAAGGAAATTTAGTGTAAAACTACCAAAAAGAGAAAAAAAACATAGCGAATTTAGATTTTTAAAAAAAAAATTCAGAAATGAGGGCCAAAAATATTTCGATGACAAGAAAAGGGCAATGAATGGGGAGAGGACAAGGTTTTACCCGTGGAGTGCAATGGCGAGGGTCAGCGGAGATCCGGAGGGGGAAGCCCCTCTCGTCGTAGAGGATGAGCCCGCTGAACCTCGGCAGCTCGCAGCGTTCTCCCATGAGGATCCTCCTTTGCCACAGAGGGGACGACGAAACTACCCCCCCGGCCGCCGCCGCAGCCGGGGAGTCCAAGGAGCCGGCGCCGGCCCCGCCGCTGCGGCGGAGAGGGGCTCCCAGCAGTGGGAGCACCCCCTGCCCGCCACAGGGCTCCGACTCCCCGAGCTTCCTCGACCGGCTCCACCGCAACGAGCTCATCAGCGCCTCCTTCACTGCCCCCCAGCGGGGCGGCGCCGGCGCCGTCGCGAGCGGTGAAGGCTCCTCCTCCGCGGGGTCCTCTCGGGGGCCGCACTTCCTCCGGAGCACAGCGGAGGCGCACAGACCGAAGGCCGCAGTGACAGCGAAGAGGAGCGCCAGAAGCACCAGCAGCGGCATGTCTGCGCGGCGGCTGGGGTTCTCCAGTGCCTCTTCCATGACGGTCGGGGGGGCCTGCGTAAGGCACGGAAGGGAAGCTTTCTGCGATAGCGAAGCTGGAGAGAATTCATTAAATGGGGCAGGCTGAACCCACCGTCTTCCCGTGACGGCCACCGCCGCTTTTTGTCGCCGCAGAAGCGCCATTACTGCATCCATGGCGTGGGGGGCGGCGTTATTGCCACCGGCGATTCAGACGTGGGATGGATAGGGAGCATAATCACTTCCGAGGAGACGACGGCTTCCGCGCATCTATCTCCATTGGACCCCGCTCGGTCTAGGTCCAGAGTGTATGCATGGCCGAGCACAACGGAGAAGGAGACCGCGGGGAGAGGGGGAAGCGGAGGGCCTCGTGGGTACATTCCTTTGCCTGTACAGCCCCATGCAAGAAGAGATCTTCTTTTGCCAGTGAACTTTTGAGAAACGATAAAGTCAACAGGCCGACGCGGCGACGAGGCCCGCCCAGGAGTGGACCATTACAGGCTGCGTCAACGGGCTTGGGGCCAGATCAGAAAACAGAGAAAATCATGATTTAAGTGTGCGTGAGAAAGCCAAATTAATGATCTCCCAAACGTAGGATCCTGTCAAGATCAACGAAGAGAAATGAACTAACAACGTATCTAAATGTGCCCTTATATTGATGGAAATTGATAAGTATTTAGGATATTTTCACCACCAAGAAAACTTATTGATTATTTTTTCTCTATTAACCAAGCATGGAATAGATCAAATTTCTTGGTGACTGCAGCATAGAGGATCAAAACTAAGATTTAGTTTGCACCAATTGCCTTAAGAAACATTATTACCATTAAAATTTTCTTCAAGTTCCCTGAGATAGGCATTGAATATCATGGGGTAACACGTCAAAATACTAGAAGATTCTTGCCACAATAATCTACCCTTTTCCCCTTCATGTCAACAATTTATAGTAATATTACTTTGATTATCAATAACATATCTATCTTAATGATGTAAAACAGATTTACACAGCGATGAGATGGAAAATTGCATCGTTGAAGGACCAAAAAGGGTAAAATGACGAAGATAAACCAGAGTTGTTTGTGGCTTATAACTATAGTCCATAAATATCTTTGATTCCAGTAGATTTATTGTCATATTTTATTGCTCAAGGGACTTAGAACTTGTTATTGATATCTTTTAAGTGGCATAGTTTCTCCACAACATAAACACACATAATGCAACGATTTACTTGTGCATTCCCGAGCTTTGTAGAGGCATCTTCCTGAGATATGGAAGCTTTTGGATAGAGGAGGTTGTGATTTCCTCTCCTTTGTAGGTCTAAGGTTTTCAGTGCATCATGCACATTGGCTCCTCAACTCTCTCCCTATCTCTTTCTTCTATGCGTTGAGTTGCCACATAACTAGTTTAATCTCCCTTTTTTTCTTTTCATTAGGATTTTTCAGTGTTTTCAGCAATCTATGTACCCACAACATTAGAATATATTGTGCGAAGAAAGTACCACTTCCACCAAAATAGTTGTGGTAACTGTCTGATGATTTGATCCAACACATTCATTCTACAACTCCAACATTAGGATCAATAACCTTCAACCTATATCAATCAACTTGATGTAACACAGGTGAAGGGTAGATCTGATAACCTGTCCAATTGACCCCAATGGGCGGTCCAATTACACAAGATCTGTGACACCTTAGACTTAAGCCCAATAACTTGTGTTCTTCTTTTCTCATAAATTTTGACCTACAATAACTCAACGTAAAAAACATTCCAATCTAAGCACATGACCTTCAACACACTTGGGAGTACTTGACGTGATTAAGAAAAACATTCTTGGTCTAGACCTATAAGCTTCATAGCATTCAACTAAAATATGAATGTGTTTAATGATTTCGACGCTAATAATATAAAGATTAAATGAAAAACTACTAGAAAATATGTTTAGTACACTAATCTATAAATCAAGATCTAAATATTTAGGTCTGGTTTTTTTTATTTTATAAAAATATTTTAACACCTCAAATTAAGAAATCAGATGTCCAAAATCACACACTAATCAACTCGAATCACATTAGAGCAAAATATAAGAGTGTGTGTAGACCTATTTTTGATTTGGAGAAAAAAGTGATGTTAACCTACGAGTCAACTTAGTCAAATCAGACTTAATTTGAAGAGAGAGAGAGAGAGAGAGAGAGAGAGAGAGAGAGAGAGAGAGTAGAGTTGGAGACATTTAGGCAATTATATTCATGAATTTAGTCAATGTTAGTCGAGATTTGAAGTCTGACTATTTTTACTATTTAGGATAATGAAAGGTAAAAAAGAAATGGTATTTCTAGAGACAATAGTAGCCCAGGAAAAGTGAACTATAAATTATGCATCTCTCTTAGTTGATTGTGTTAGTCATCTACAGGGAATCTACTCACTTGAGTTTATAATTTCTCTGATATAATCTATCACATTCCTTTTATTTTAATCTCTTTGAAGAAGAAATAATTCACTCCCCTCTCCCGTGAGTGCTGATCCTATCTTGGTGGTGTGTACTTGAAACTTAGTCAAAAGAAAAGCCAGCCCACGTGAATGTGGGGCAGTAGAGCATAGTAGCATGTTGTGGGCCATTTCACAGATATGACACATGGATTTTCACATGGTGTTCATCACTTGCCAAGGTTCACAAGAGAAACCATGTATATGTGAGTCGTCATGCCATAATGCCAGAAGAAGAAGAAGAAGAAGAAGAAGAGAGAAATGCGCTGACCTCCGTTGAGAGCAACCTCCATGACGGTTCAGATGCAGAGCCCTTTCTCATCTTTCTCGGTTCCTGTTCTGGCTGTTCCAACCCTGCACTATCAAAATCGTCTTGGAGAGCAAGAGGAGAGGACAAAACCAGTACTTCAGCATGCTCCGCAGTAGAAATCTCATTAATAAGAGAAAGTAATTTTGCCCCCGAAACATCAGAAAGAAAAGAGGATATATCAATTAACATACTTTCTGCTGGGTTGGTCGGTTACTCCACACCACTAGAGTTGTTCTCACCTGGGGAGGCTCACAGCATTCGATTTATCTTAGAGAGAGAGAGAGAGAGAGAGAGCGCTTTCAAAATAATGAAATGAACGAATGAATGTCGGAGAGAAACAACTGGGATCCACGTCCATGTGTGCCCATGTTTCTTATGAGCTTTCTCTATTTGTTCTTGTTCCCTGAAGACTAGTACACTCTTTCTGCTGTTGATACTGGCTGAAGGAAGACGACGATCACTGTGATGTTATCTTTGCTGCCACGGGCCACAGCTTCAGTGGCCAGTCTTTTAGAGCACATGCCGGGCTCTTTGACAGTGTCTCTGATGATGGACACCACATTATCATTGCTTACGACGTCCCAAAGGCCATCACTTGCCATGACCTGAAAAGAAAGCCAATCGAGAAAGAAATAGTTGCATAAGTGCACAGAGAATTCGCCTGCAAGACGCATTCTAGAGAAAGGGCACAGAGTCAACGGTTATTTGGGGATTTGGGCGACTCATAGAGCCTGCCAATGCATGCCAACGGTAGCTTTCTAATGGAAACTTCATTGCCAGGAACTATAACGAGGATGAAGGAAATCTGATGGTCCACAGCTACTCTAGATTATTCTAATTTTGCATGGTTTGGTACGAGATAATGCAGGTTTATGGCTGAAATATTATGATACAACCTAGCTCAAAATGCTGGTGCACATGGTAAACAATTATTTGATATGCCATTTTATATAATTAATATTATAAAATGCCATTTTTTATATTAATTACATAAAATATCTCATATATGACGATGGTTAACGTGTGAAAGCATTTTTCTCTTGTTATAGCTTACATCATATCTATACTCATGAAATATCTCATATATGATTTGTTGGTCAGTGACATATCTAGTGGAAGCCACAGTGGTGAAACCAGATACAACAGATCATATCTCATGAAGAGATCCCTTTTCACTTTCAATCTTCAGCAACAATACAACAGCAACAGACTGAACAGAATAATAGACCCTAAGAGACGTTCTATAGCTTTAGTGCAGAATCAGGTGAGGTTCACGGATCACGTTGGATTTATTTTGACCTTCTTCTGATATCGGTATTTGATACCGAAATATACGGTTTAGAAAAGGTCAAAGATGAAAGCTAATAATCTGGGAACTTTCAGTTGCAACTGCATAAGTATGTAAATATGTCCCGAAATCAATCTTTCTCGGTATGACAGGTTACATCCTAAGTTTTATCCCTTAGCACATGCAAGCCACGGTGGTGAAGCCAGATAAGACAGTGCCTGCTGTATAAATTATGCCGATTTTTCTGCAGAAAGCATTATAAATGAAAGCATTGCCGATAAATATTACAAGTCCTTATGGTAAAATGAATCTTCTGAATCATATTACGCAGAATAGCATGTGATTTTAAGCCCATTTAGAATTGAATCCTTTTCACTGCCAAGGTACCAATTCCATGCTACCTGATTCTTCCAGTGTATAGAGCAGATTTCAGGTCATGAGCTGATGCTTACGGAAAGTCAGCAACTGACTTTCTATGTCCCAGATCAGGAGCCTCACAGAAATCCTTGTGAAAAGGATTCTTGAAATCATGCCCAGCAAAGTTGAGCATGTTTAAACATGGATGCTTTTTATCCATCGGCACAAGGTGCAGGACCCCTAGATTTTCATTAATGCTCCTGACAATAAAGCATTCAGAACATCGTCTGCTGTCTCTTAAGGCTGTTAGCGATAATTGAAGATGATTCGCATTTTAAAAAGGTAAGAGACGAGATTCTTCAAAAAATTTAAGAAAAAAAGGACCAATTTTTTTTCTATAGCCATCTACTTCGCCTGAGAAGATAAAATTTAAGGAAAATTTATGAACATTTATTGAAGTATAAAATGAATTGATTGGCGATCTACATTCATCTAGATGAATTTAAACTGCTTACCAAATATTCATCATCTGCTGATAGAGAAGTCTCAGTTATTTCAGGCTCAGCAGTTACAGCTGGCTTCAAATCATCATCACCAATTGATCTCGTCACCTGCTCAGCCAAAGGTATGCCGGTCAAAGTAGAAGCTCAATATAAAATCATTTATGAAATTGAATATATTTTCAATTTGACGATGCATGACACTTCATTAAGATTAAAAAAATGGCCGCGAATAAATATGTTGCGCACATGGGATTAGATTCATAAATGTAGGGTTAACTTCGCATGCGTTTCCAGGGAAAGACGGCACGAAACCACTCAAAAGGATCGGATATGGATAGAGAACATCTTATAAAGCGAGTGATTTGACCTGCTTAAATGGCTTTCTTTGTTGCTCTAATAATAGAAGTTGAAACCTGCGTATTATGAAATTTCATATTTATGCTTTCTCATTTGATTTGAATCCATTTTGGAGGCAGAAGCGCAGACAGAGGCAAGCTGCCTCTGTGTCAATTACAATAAAAAAATGTTTCACCAATCTCCAACGGTACATGTTCAAATACAAAAAAGAGTTTAGAATTGAAGAATTTGATCCCTTCAGAACATGTAGAAAAACAATAAGCACCTTGATAGGAGCTGAGGACTAGCCGTAACAGAAAGCCACTACCAAGGGTACCATTGCACAATGGAGACCATTCAAATAATTCCTCATATAAACTATTTTGTAGCCTGTCTTACCATCTTTGGTCAGAAGAACATAGGCTATCACTTTGTGCTCACCTTATCCTGTCTAGTAAGGTACTATATTCTCAATCTTTAAAATCATTAAAGAAAGGAAATAACATTAGCTTTTTAAAAAAGAAAACTGCCCAAGTATTAATGACTAATGGAAAATGTGTATAAGAAGGAATGTTTTGATTGATCTGGACACCAACAAGTTAGATAATTTACATAGTTAGAGAACTGGACCTCTAGTGAAGTGACGTTCAAAGTATTGGACGTAAAAAGAACGGACAACCTGGGTCTTTGGAAAGAACCTGGAGAGCAGCTGGACCAATTCTCCACGTGTCCACTTGCCATTTCACTTCCATGCCTTGTTTGACGACTCGTGCTCTTTCATCAGGACAGCTTGCAACATGATCCTATATAGATTCGTTGAGCACAATGTGAATGGATAAACTAAGGAACAAACTTGGCATGCACAAGAGTTTATCTTACCTTACTAAGAGGAACTGGGTGACCACTACGACATAATATAGCACGGCAATCTCCAGCATTTGCAACAAAAAGTTTGTCCCGGACAATTAAGGAGGCAATCGCAGTACAACCTGGATGCCAATCTTTCTGAGTGACTCTTTTCAAGTTACGTTGAGATACTAACTCATTTCTGAATGCATAATCAGTCTTAACAAAAGCTTCAATTAACGCATCTGATGGACTGCATCAAAAAGTCAAAGGTGTGACGAACTAATGTCAAGAAAATACGTAAGAGTAAAAAGAAATAATCAAGTGAAGAAAATTCCACCAGCTTGTAGAGTCCAATGTCTGTAAATATCCGGGGAGTGCTCGAGCAGAAAACTCAGCAGCTGCTGCTCCTGGAAAGTGAAAATCAAAGAAAATGGTTTTTATGCCTGGATGTAATAGCAAGAAATTTCTCAATAATCACCAAAAAATAGCTGCGGTGTGATGACCTCGATGACCATCAAAAATCCCAAACAAATATGTATCATTTGCATCACACATTTTTGGAAGCATGAAGTGTGTATCTTCCATGCTCTCCCTTCTCCCACATGTTGAAAATGATCCCCAAGAAAGTGTTGGTATGTAAACGTGAGCACCATTGATCAAGCTGGTCCATACTGCGAATTTGGAATTGGCTGATCGAGTTGTTTTGGACCACTGTTCTCCCCGAGAAAACCAGTTTAAGTTCTCCTGATAGCTTTTGGAGTTGTTGATACCATTCTCATTTGACATGCTAGGGGAAGCTATGTCATCTTTGGCTACCTTTCCTGTTCTTTTGTCATATATAGTGACTGACTTAAGCTCTTCCACTATGTCATCGAAAGATGGTCTTTCCATGGGATTAGGTGCCCAGCATTTCTCGATGAGCTTCAACAAACTTGTTGGTGTGCCAGATGCGGAAGAAGCAAGCACAGGTCGTAACCCTTCAGACACTACTGCTGCTGTGAGCTGCTGTTCAGTATAGTTCATTTCAAGGACAGTGTGTGCCTGCGTGAAAGTATATTATCTGATAAGCATTACATGATATCTGGAAGTAATCACGTCAGAAAGCCTCTAAAATGGGTACTTGGAATCAAAGCCTGTATTATAGGGTCAAGAAATATATGATAAATAAATTCACGATGAATTTTCGTATGTAGAATGCGATTTACACATGGAGCCATTATTACACATGAACCCATAAACACTAAGGGCTTTGTCACTCTGTACACGTTCCGTAGCTGCAGATTATTCAAAAAAGGTATCAGAAACGATAGGGAATACTCCCTAATCTAATACAGGAGATAATTTTTGGTCAAGATCACTCAATTGCCCATCACGTCGTTCAAATTTTTTTATCTTGATTCAACAGATAACAAGACAAATCACATGGTTTACTGAGCACTGGAAAGGCTACTGTTGGTACTGAAACCAATATGATTGTAGAGGATATCAGAAACCTTTCTTGCACTGAATTTATTGGGAAGCAACCCTAACAAATCCATCATCATTTTGCATCGAATCCTAAGCATCACTCATGAATTTGGCAGTTCCATCATAATTCTGATTAAAAAAACTCAAAGTTTTCATCCGAAAAATAAAACCAGTGGATGGTTGCAATATTTACATAAATGTAAGCTACACAAAATACGTATTCTTCTGGAAATTTCATTGGGAAGCATGAGACAGCATTCACCAACATGTATTTATTCACTGATTCCAGATATAGAATGAGATCTGATGAGAAAAATTAAATCCAAAAGCCTGCAATGAATGAGTTTGAGTCAAATTTCAAATGTTCTTTCTCTTGTCGGGAGAAAATAGATGGGATTGGTACTATGCAACTCTGCATTGTCCTATTTCAAATCAGAGTTCCATTTCTTGAAACCATGATTTCTAGATATAGGAAAACTTATCTCAGTATTATGCACTCAGATTTAGGGGCATTTGAAGGCTTCTATCATCAACAACCGGAATGTCACATCAAAGAATGGACACAGGTTATAGAAGATAGTCTCACAAATCAGACTTCTTATTAATGTTTAATTCAAAATAATATGCGATGATGTACGAATGCCTTTGATTGGATGTCATAGTAAACGATGATTAAACCTCATATAATGAAAGTAAATCGAGGGTCAGAGTATAAACTAATTTATAATTACCTATCAAATTCGTATCAAAGAGAGTGATTATACATGAACCATACATAATATATGTAAATAATGCAAAAGAATACGACTAAAGCGTATAAAATATTCTACTGAGTTTCAAGACCCTGAAAATGTACCCCGCAGAACTGGTTTGTACGTGTATTGAACGCATATCCCTGTATTATCCCTGTATTACCATTGACTCTCTCCCTCTTTATTGAGACAATTTTGCAAAACGTATGGGATCGTTAATAACTACTCTTCAACTACATGGGTAAAAATAATGCAATCAGAAAAGTTAAGTTCTATCCACTGTGTAACATCAATATGCCAAAATTTATCCTCGCTAGAGTTTAACCACGCAATAGATACAACCTTCTGAATAATTGGAATCAGGTAGGCACCCTTACGTATGACTACACTAAATCATGGGATACATCATAGGATCTGGTCAAGCTAAATCTTTGGATGCATCATACAATCTACTGGCTCCCATACTAGTCGAATATGCCTTTTGATAATAAATATGATGAAGAATCTTGTACCAACTTCATACTCATTTTAATCAGAAACGTTTGCAACACGAAATTAAAAATAATATTTATGAAGGCTGAGAAGAAGAATACATATACCTGGGCCTCTGTGCGCAGATCTGTGTAGGGAACAACTCCAGTGAGAAGCTCGCTGCAACAGAGCATACAAGAAAAGATCTTCATATACGACGTAAATAAAAGTTATATAAATAGAAAGAGGACAGCTTTTATTTCCTATGTCCATTCTCTTTTCTACTTAGCCCTTGTAAAATTCTTACGAGGAAATCGTAAATAATGCATGCCATTTCTTTTGGGTAATAAGAATTCAAATTAAATGCATCTATTCAATAGTTTAGTATACAAAGCAGATTTCATTTCTTTATCATGCGATAGATATCATCCAGTATATATCTTTTCTGGGAAAGGAGTATTATAGAAGGGATGAACTTCTGTCACATTTCATTTCTGACTGATTCATACAGGGTTGGCACTCAGAATAAGATTATGTAGAGAGATGGTCTAGATATGATCAGATCCAGACAGATTTCAGAAACAAGCAGGTCAAATCAGCAAATCCGAACCTTACTAAACCCTAGCCAGTCAGGCATTAGGGACAGCCAGACTAGGAAGGATCGGACTGGTTGGAATTAACTAATCTGAGTTGAAGCAGCCAACTTCTGGCTGATCGGCCCAGAAAAGCGAAGTCCAGGATGAGGCAGTCCTTAGGAAGCCCTCCAGTCTGACTTCAGAGCCTCCTCCCACCGGTGCTGAAGGTTCAACTACGCAATGGAGTACCCTCAACAACGAGTCAAGCCCAGAATGTCGACCCTAGTGCTTGTGTTTTTTAAAGATCGGAAAGATATCAGAATACACCACACTAATTACCCACTCATAAAATATCTCTATACATGGAGAAACATATTTAAGAACCCAGAGAATTCTAAATGAAAGAAAATATTCTAAAGACCACTCCAATACGAGAAAGGGAATATCTAAGAATCAAGAGAGATTAAAAAGTATGTTCTGTCAGCCATGGACAATGCGCAGTAGCCAAATTTTGCTCCAAGCGTTTAATGTAAGTCAGTCTTTATTTTGATAGCGTAGGTTTGACCAGGTAAAACACATTGATGTCAATAGAAAGTGGATTTTAACAGTTGTTGATCTTACGTAAGCTTGAGCTAATTGTGCTAGACGGTGAGAGGAGGAAGAAGATTGCATCAAATAGTATGATGTATTCTATTATCTTTTAACGTCTTAATTTTTACTTTTTGATATAATTGGTTCCTTTAATGAACAAAAATTTTCACTCAATCAGCAGATTTTTAATAATATACATATCTAGTTTACATCTCTTTAGTACAGTGCCAATCAGACCAGACAATGCAATTTTGCGATCATAGAGGTCAGCTTTCAATAAATGTGATCGACTAAAAAGTTCATAAGTCAGGTCATAGTTCACGGCTTGAAGCATCATGCAACAATGATAGGAAAAAAATGAGGAGATAATGAAATAATATCCAAGTATTTTGCCAAGCTTCTGGGGGAAAAAATTTAGATGTTCAACAGTTCAACTTATCTTTAATTATAACTTGTTTCCACGAGGTAAATGCATCATTATATAGATCCAAAAGTAACATAACAATTTCACTTTCAAAGCGGTGATATATTAATGAGTTCTTAATTTTGAAAAGTGCACGGGAAGATGAGCATCTCACTACTACATTATGAGATTTTGACAAGAACAAAAGCTTACTTGAGGGTTATTGCAAAACTGTAGACATCTGATTTTTCTGTATGCACATCCTTCCTCAATATTTCTGGTGCCATGTAAATAAGTGTCCCAACCATGTTCTTCTTGTGAAATCCCCCAGTTGGCTTCCCTGATGATCTCCAATTTTCAACAGAAATATGTTTAAGATCCCTTTTATATATCGCTAAACCAAAATCTGCAATATGTGGATGTAGATCTGTATCCAGCTGCAATGGATTCAAGAATATCAGAAAGTTCTACATTGCAGAAAGCTGGGGCAAGTATCTCGTCTAACCAACCAGTTTCTGAAAGTATAACCGTGATATTTACCAAGATATTTGCTGGTTTTATGTCCCGATGTACAATTCCCAAGTTATGAAGATACTGCAGAGCTTTTGCTACAAAAAAGAAAAGAAAATCCAATGTTTGGATATAAGAATTGGTCTTAAGAAAAAGAAAACCTTAATAATCAGTACACAAACCAGACGAACTCTTTAACGTCAAACAGTATTGGGAGACGGTCACTTTCTGAAATCTCATACGAAAAGATTGTGTGAAGCATCCAGGAATGAATTTAGGCCAAACCCAGTCCAAAATGTAAGTTTGATATGAACACAGGTTTTTATTGGGCCATCCCACTGAAGTCTCATTTAGAGAAACTTTATCAAATCGACGAAGTTCTTATTCTAGCGCACTTGTTTCCGTCCAATAAAGTTACTACACACACACACGCAGACATATTCCTACTGGCTTGGACGGATTTATTCAGGCAACTGTGTCATACACTACATCTGGCATGCTGCCTTTTGTCTGTCATGATATTAATGAACACTAACCAGAAAAAAAAGATTCTCATTTTTCATGTCTCAATTTAATAAGAACAGGACAATCTAATATGGATCATCACCATCATGGAAGAAAATGAGCGTAGTTAAGCAGAGGATTACTCTACTTAAATTTAATTTAAAGATAATTCAAAGAGAAGAAAGACTCTCAAGATTTTTCATAAGCTTAGAAAAATGCTTAAATGAATTGGCGATGCGAAAATTTGATGAAGCTCTTATGCTTATTCTGCGAAAGGTACTCTATTGAAAACTTATATGATGCAAAAATAAAATTTACAATGTAGTGGTAAATATTAGATGTATGTGGTAAATCAATGGTGACATTAATTACTGCCCACATTTGAATCCAAACGGATTTTAGTTGACTAAAGCATTCGATAGAAACATTTAATGCGATATTTAATACATCCATTCTCCAAGATTCTTCAAAATCAAGCAATCAATAAATATGACTGTCTTCTGACATGAAAATGTCAATCCATTGAGCTCTATGAGCAGTGAACTCTGGTGAGGTATCTACAGCAAACCATACATGACTAGAATTAGGAGTATTTAATAGAAGGAGCAGCAAGCAGAGCATAAGAGCAACCCACTGAGAATTAGGAGTATTTAATAAACATTTCCTCTCATGGACTCAAAACATAAAATAGAAAATTTCGAAGAAGCAGTAGGAACACGAGCAAAGAAATGGATTTTGTTTTATTTTTCACTTAAAACGTAACCAAGTTATTGAGAGAACCACATAAAGAGTGGGAAACGCAGATATAGGGCATAGTTTTGGATCATACCAATCTCGCAGGCAATTCTGAAAACTTCATCGGTAGTCGGGTTCCACTCCTCGACATGCAGCTTCTCAGCAAGGTTAGGGGCCTCGTAGAACTCAAAGAAAAGCAGGTAACCTGGAGGCCTCGCGTGTGCCGCAATCAGTCTCACCAGTCCGGGATGATCCAGGTTGCTACAAAAACAAGTGGAATTAAAGGCAGACTCTACTAATTTCAAGTCCGACAAATCCAATGGATGAAACTCCCGGGAATTGACCGAAGAACGACGCAAAGAGAGCTTCATAAGTCACCAGAGCAGCTTCAGCTGACGATGGTATTTGTCGATGTCCTCGGCCGTGGATAGGACTGGTCTCTTCGCCGCCACCCGCCTACCATTGAGTCGCGCCTCATAAACCGTGCCCTCAGATCCTTGGACCAGAAATACGGAACAATTCAGAGATTGAGCAGGTACTCATCCGTATGATTGAGAGAGAGAGAGAGACCTTTGGCGATTGGAGCGAGCAAGGAAAAGGATGTTGGGGGAAGGTGGAGGGGGATCTTGTCACTGGAGCAGCAGCCTCTGAAACACGTGTTGTTCTCCGCTCCCCCCTCCTTCCCCATCTCTCTCTCTCTCTCTCTCTCTCGCTCTCTCTCTCTTCACCCCCTCTCTCCCTTGATCACTCTCTCTCTCGCTGAGAAGGAGAGAAGAAGGCGCGCATCGTAATGGCGTGGGAAGTGACTCGGAGGTCGTGGAGCCACAAATGCTACGTGCCAGGCGATAAATGGGCCCAACTCTGTCCACGTGAATTCCGAATGACATGGCTATAAGACACGCGTCAAGTGGGAAAAGCTCTCCACGTCGGCATGTTATAAAAAAGTTGCCAACTCATATTTATCATTGAAACATTTCATAGAAAAATAGACAGAGCACGCAGTACGCTTAGGAGATCTTGTTCAGGTGACATCATTATCACGAATTTCTTACTAATATTACATAGTTACTTTTACATCTCTCCTCTGCCGACAGCTGCGCGAGAGGTGGAGGCTGGGCGCCGAGTGTCCAATTTCGGCCGGAGATTGGCGGCGGAGGTCGCCAGGTGTCATCCAGCCAGCTAGGCAACATGCCGAGTGGCTCATGGACAACACCGTGTCTAAAGAGGAACGCCGCCAAACGAACATGATGAGGATTTTGCCACGGGTCCTCTGTTCTTTTAATTTTTTATGTACGGATAGATGTGTCCTGTCGTGGTTGCATGCAGGGCGGCACGTGGCGAACTCTTCTTCCCTTTGTATTCCCGCACAATTTTTAAATACTGAAATCAGCCTTTTTCTGCTTTCAACGTCATAAAAAAATTGAAAATAATTTTATAATTTGTAGAAAAAAGTGCTATCGCCATTCTTTCTTTTAAAAAAACCTGGAATTTTATTTTTAAAATGATGAAAAATTCTTCCTTCCGGGTTTTCTGTAGACAAAATTGAAAATAATATGTGCTATCGATATTTATGGTTTCTATAATTTCCAAATATTTGACTGAGAGTTATTTTTTATTTTATGAGGTTAAGTAATAATGACTTTCCTCGTACTTAGAAACGTAAATATCTGGAAGTACGTGATTTCTTGTAGTTTTGCCAAATAAAAGAGGATAGAACAACTTCCAACTCTCTCTCCCCCTTTCTACGTCGACGTTCTCTACTTGATTCTCTCAAAAAAAACTCCCCCACCCTCTCCTTCTCTCTCTCTCTCTCTCTCTCTCTCTCTCTCTACCTGTGTAGACATATATACTTCATACCCTCTCCCTCTCTTCAGAGTGTCAGTCGAGCATGTCAAACTCCCCTGCATGTACTGCTCGCTATCTTCAGCCTCCGGTCACCGGAGGAGGAGTTCGCCGCCGCAGCTGGCCATCCTCGTCGGCGCCGGCCGCCTTCCTCGTCATGGCCTTGGCGGCGGCGGCGTCCTTGATCTTCCTCTGTCGCACGAACCTCTCCCCCGCCGTCGTCTCTATCTCTCTCTCCTCGCCGTGGTCTCCGGGAAACATTTCCGACTTCTCTGCCGGTCCTCTTACCCCACCGCAGGAGGAGCGCGGCGGTGAAGGCCGGCGAGAGAAGATGGCAGAGGAAGAAGGGAGGAAGAAAGAGCTAGAAGCTGTTCTTTCAGCTCCACCGCCTGCTTACGGCGGCGGCAAGCAAGCTCGTACGCCGCCTCCGGCGAGACAATCCGGCGGTACGCACCCACACCCTCGCGTAAGTAAGAACAATGTTACCATGTCGTCTCATCCGGCTGGTGACCGGTTAGTGTTGACGCATTGTGGGGGCAAATCCCATGAAGAAATTTCGTTTTACCCCCCATAAAAGTATTTTATACCTTTGAAATATCCTCTTAGTTGATGTATGAGCCTTGGATGACGAGGGAGGAAAAGACGCGAGACAATGATCTCGACGATAAATTCTAAGGTCCGTCACCACTCGCTAAACGGCTGGTATCTGGAAGGGAGAGTAACTTCAAGGAGTAAACACCCGGCCTATTCAATGGTGTTGACTTCTGCTCCTCACCACGTGGCACGCATCGACCCACGATGGGATCATGGTCGGCCTATCTTGGATCTATCGTCACATCACAACCCTCTCTCGGAGGAGCAAGGGTTTCTTCATCGCCTGACATCTGTCTTGTGTTCTTTTTTTCCTTGTTCTTGACCCATGCCAGGCTCAACACGGGCCTCGCAAGGCCCACGTTGAGCTGTTTCCTGGCTTGCTATGCATCAATTCATGGATCATCGATTTCGAGGGTGTGTAGATAAATCAAGATTTTGTAGGGGTTTTAACGGGGTGAGTAAGTCTAAAAGCTGAGACCAGCCCGCTGTCAGACATGGTTGGGCTTGGGGATGAGTGAGGGCTGGGAAGGTCTGGCTGCAAGATTCATCATGGGTTTAGTTGAGATTCATCTGTCTGGGCTTTTCTCCAGGCCAAGCTAGTTGGCACCCACAATCTTGGCAGTCGATAATAGCCAAGGTGGTATATACTCATGGTTGGGGTTATCACGAGCAACGTCTAATCCACACATCTTAATACTCGACAGCCCAAAGCATTCAGAAATATTTAATATTCTTATATTATTTAGTCATCTACAATCGCCGTATACATTCTTGATGAAAAGGGTTCTTAGGTGAGACTACTATCATAGCCAGCTATTGAATTGGACGAGTTTTAACATAATTCATATTGTTAATAATTTCAACTGAGCTATGTTATGATCGTTCAATTCACTATCATTATCTTAGTAGTTATTTGGGTTTATTGAGTAGTGATTTCATTTTCGTTCGTGAAGAAGATGAAATTTTGATTGAATATGGTTTTTAGGCAGTGAACAATTTTGAAAATCTTTATGAAGCAAAAGATGGGGTTGCCAAATCACGAAGTGACATACATGTGGATTGGAACTTGTCAAGACTTGAGTCAACGCTTGCTAGAGCACGATTCACAATTAAGCAAGCTTCACGGGTTGGAAATCTTGCACCATCTCCTGCACGAGCAGGTTACGTTCCCCAAGGACCGGTCTACAATAATGCGCATGCATTTCACTGGTAATTGTCTAAAACCTTTGGCTACTTGTTACAGATTTTAGTCGCCTCATTGTGGATACCGATGGATTTGTCACTGCTAAAAAGGTTTTTTTTTTTTTTTTTTTTTTGTTTTGTGACGTTAACAATTGAAATGGCAATGAATTGCTACTTGGGATTTTAGGAATTGTGTTTATTAACCTGGTATTGAGATTCTGTATAGTACTTCTTACAAAGTTTTTCATAATCAGTTTGGAAGGTTCACAATAATTCAGTCAAAATGTATATTATTTCAATGCGGTTTAGTGATTATTTCCCCTCGCATTATCACTTTTCATAGGAAGTCAAATCCTTTTTACAGTGGGCACTGAAATGCATCTTTAATTGCTTCTTTCAAGTACTATAAATGCCAGACCATGCATTTTTATTAATAAATTGGACTGCATCAACACTCATATGCTTTGATCCTCATTTGGAATTTCACTAAAATAAAAAAAACCCTTCATGTGAAAAGCTTCCATCCTTGATGGAAAAGAATGCTCAATGCAAGGAACTCACCATTTCATGAGGACCGTGATTTATTTTTCAAGGGAACAAAATCATTCCATAGTGATGTGAAGTATGATTTTTTCTGGGCAAAACAAAAACTAATATAATCAAAGACTTGTTATTATATAAGTGTCTATATAGGGAAAGGTAGATACAGAGTGTTCAGTTGTGCTTTTCAAGTGAGTATATGTATTTCCAGCCCAATCTACGTTGGTGAATTTCTTGTTCACTAAAACTCATGTCTATTTGGTGTGCTGGGACATTCAAACTGAGCAACTAACACTAGCAGGGCTTCATTTTTACGTCATTCTGGGGTTGCAGGAGTTATCTAGAAATGGAGAAGCTCTTTCGGGTTTATGTCTACGAGGAAGGGGAACCTCCGTTGTTTCACGACGGTCCCTGCAAGAGCATATATTCCATGGAGGGGCGGTTTATTTACGCCATGGAGTCGGAAAGCCCCTTCCATACCAGAGACCCAGAGAAAGCTCACGTCTACTTCCTCCCCTTCAGTGTCACAAAGATGGTGAAGTTCCTCTACCGGCCAAAAAGCTTTGACATGAGTCCCATAAAGCTGACCATTGTGGACTACGTTGACGTCATTGCTCGAAAGTACCGGTATTGGAATAGGAGCCTCGGAGCTGACCACTTCATATTATCATGCCATGACTGGGTAAGTCAACGAGTTTCCTTGAAGGTGTAATCAACTGGAGCAGGCCCAGAAATTCACACCGACGGAAGACCGCGCTTCTTAGCCTTATCGGGAAGCTTCATTTACATTGCAGGCGCCGCAAGCTTCCTCGGCAAAGTCGAATCTTTATCAGAACTCCATCCGGGTATTGTGCAACGCCAACACTTCGGAAGGGTTCAATCCTTCGAAGGACGTTTCCCTACCGGAGATTAACCTCAAGACCGGCCTCACCGCCGGAATCATTGGCGGGCCGTCGGCTTCACATCGCCCGACACTCGCCTTCTTCGCCGGGGGCTTGCATGGGCCAATCAGGCCCCTACTGCTAGAACACTGGAAGGGGAAGGATAGGGACATCCAGGTCTACGAATACTTACCCCGGGGGATATCATACTACGACATGATGAGGAAAGCCAAGTTCTGCATATGCCCGAGTGGGTACGAAGTGGCGAGCCCCAGGGTTGTGGAGGCGATCTATCTGGAGTGCGTGCCCGTTATAATCTCCGACGGCTACGTCTTGCCCTTCAGCGACGTCCTGAACTGGAAGTCCTTCTCGATCCAGGTTGCGAAAAAGGATATTCCGAATCTGAAGGAGATCTTGCTCGGCGTGTCTCAGAGGCAATACATTAGAATGCAGAGGCGAGTAAGGCTCGTTCAGAGGCATTTTGTGGTCAACAGCCCCCCAAAGAGGTTTGATGTCTTCCACATGATCCTTCACTCGATATGGCTTAGGAGGCTCAACATCCGGGTCAACCCCATGGCCGAAGGAACGTAAGTATCTCATGATGAAGTACGTGCAAAGGGGACTTGAAAGTCTTGGTTTAGGGGAGACACCTTTAAATCCTTCTTGTTGGAACTCTTCCTCAGTGTTATTCTGCGTAAATACTAACTATCGTCCATGGCAAAGTCAGACAGGAGTGTGTTGCACAGTAGATCATTTCTTTGCCTTTCAACTCGTCCTTGTAGCGTTCGATTTTCATGGTTGAAGACAAATCTTTTAGCCCTCGTCTTTCTCATCAATTATTCATCTCTCTATAAGCGATTACGATATCTTGTTCACAAGGTGAGAACTTCTTGTTCTCACACATTAGGCTTCATGTTATATATATGGCTATGTATGTATATAATAATCGATGTAGAAGAGTAGAAATCAAGCACACTGGAGTTGGATTGAATGTAGGGTGGTGAATAAGCAGGTTTTGGGGTAGATGGGTGTGTTTCTTACCTGGACTTGACGACTGGACTACTTGTGAAGGGCTACTGGCCAGGCAGAGGGTCGAAGGGAGTCCCCTTGGCTGGTTGCTGTTTGTTGGGAGTCGGTGGGTATACCAGCCTTTTCGTCACTTATCCATTAACTACGTCGGGCTCTTAATATAAATGAAGTACTAATCAAGATATTGTAAAAAACTGAGGCCATTTTGAGAAAGATCTTGAAGAGTTCCGCCCTATTTAAGGGGTAATAAAGGTCAATGAAATTTGAGGCAGTTTTTCACCGTTCCTCCCCTATGTCCTTTGAGATAGAGGTTTCTTTCCTCTACTCCGTCCAAATGTCTCTCCTCATAGTCTTGTTTACAGCAGTTATCATAGTTAAGAGGCATTCAAAATCAACTATTTTACTTTTGGTTGTCTTGTATGATAGGAGGCTTATTGACAATATCTCAATGTGATATATAGATGACACTTAATCACAAGGAGTACATCTTCTAAATAATTTCGTGGGCTTATTTAACTGTCTTACTAGGAAGTAGAGGTTTGTCTCGTTCTAACTGTCAAGCCAAGTTCAAAATAATCTATTAAAATATTGTAAGTGATACTAATCTGTCTCACAAGAGCAATGCTCAATATTTTTGTGAGTTTCTTGTCAATAATAGTGTTAAAAATTATTACCTATACGATTTCAAATATTAAAATTTATAAAGTTTCATGATATTTTTTAGAAGAATGATATCTATTCTTGTGTCTACACTATAATTTAAATAAAAAAATATATTGTATTTAATATCACATGATGTTGTAGTTATCACGAGAGAAACCAATTTGAAAATAAGTTTTTGGACTAATAAATGATGGTAGAGAGAGAAGAAAAACTAAATTAATTATAGTAAGTATCATAAAATAAATAAAAATAAATAAATGTTAATGATAAATATAAAACTAAAATAAGTGATTTGAATGTAGTTCTAAACAAAGACATTACAGATTGGATGTTGTTTATCTAAAATTTTGATGCCTTTGGTTATGATATTACAAGTAAAAATTTATTTATTGAACATTAAGAGTCATTTATGTATGTCACTATTTACATTATATGTTCAATGTGTTTAATGATATCATATGAGTTATATTTATTGATTTCATAATCCTATGGCTAATAATCAAATCTAAGGTGTTAATAATTGAGATTCCAAAATTCTTCATGATAAGAATAATTGATTATTGATCAATAGACCTAAAGTCTCGTTACAAAATACCAAATGGCTTCACTCAAGTCTGTATTTCAATAGACGAACATGCCTACTAATAACTTAGATAGTGGTCATTACACTCTGGTGTAGTTGATCCTACCTATTGACTCAGGGTACTTTCTATCAAGGAATTAGCATTTGATAAAAAGATATATACATAGTTAAATTAGTATAGATTATTTGTGATCATGGTATTATTTCTATCCATATATTTAAAACTAACCTTGAAATGTAACATTTAGTCTTTTTAAATAGACTTAGATAATATAACTTACACTCTTACATGAATAACTCATTAGAAGAGTTCAAAATAAAAGCACAATAAGTCTCAAACTCAACATCTAGATAATAACATGTCATTAGCTTATGTGGATGAAAAATCAGTATGAATGTGATTAGCTAAATCAGTCCTCAATAAAAAAAATAAATTAAAGTAATGAAAGTTCATTCTAAATTTTTAATCAACCAGATGAGAGAATAGAAAGATTCAAATCACATAAGTGTTGAATGTTGTTACTGTGTATTCCAGAAAATGACAAGTTTTCAAACAAGTTTCTAAGTGTTCGAAACCCTGTCAAAGTAAGAAACTATTAGAAGACGATTATTAATAAATAAGGAGAGACATGATAAACGGAAGATGACTCTCTACACAAATATCAACGTGAGAAACTAAAGCTCTACTTGCTAGATGTATTAATAATGAAAAAAAATCTACATCTTAATCTACACCCAACTTTGATATATCGAATGAAATGTGACTCAAAAGAAAACACTCTCCATCAGACCCTAAGATAAATGGGTTGTAATGGGGGAGATTGTTTCATGAAAACACAAGGTGCTGTAGTCTATTTTGGGCTTGAAAATGTAGAGTCTTTGTGGAGACGAACTTGATTGGTTAAGTGGCTAACCTTGTAGAGTCAGTGCGTGTTGTCTACAACAAATAGTGAAATGCTGGTTGTAAAACTCCTCTAAAACTTGACATAACCGAATGAAAAAAGTCTCAGTGTCTCTAGTAAGAAAGTGTTACATACACACATGTAAACATATATAGTAATAATTTACATTGACGATAGGCTAAAAAAGAAAAATACTTGAAACCTTTAGAAACTCAATTCACCTCTAATCTTACAGTTTCACCTAATCTTATAGGAATCGATGTAGTAATGTGGTAGGTTCTTCACTATAGAAGCAACCTTCAAAAACTTCGTATGAGGTTAAAGATGGGGTTTAAATAACATAACTAATATTCCACTATGTGCCTTTGGAATGTTAGTGAAGCATAACTGGCTGATGTCGGTGATCAATGCAACCAATGGTGATCTTCGTGCGGGTCAATGGCATAGGACAAGATTAGGCTACTTGTTTCGAATTCACCGGATGATTAAGGGAATCAAGAAAACGACACGTGTGGAACCAAGCGGCGAGTCAAAGGAGAAAGTTAGTGAGGGTGCACAGTTCTTGGTCATCTTTTGTGGTCTCTCAGCAGATTCAGCCGCCGACTGTGCTGCATGGACTTCGCCCATAAACGAAACTGTTTAGGGCAACCAGTCGGTTCCTGGTCATGTAGGAGCTGTTCGCTCAGGTAGCCGTCTGTAGCACTTGTCCGGCATCAACGAGCGAGAGAGAGAGAGAGAGAGAGAGTGGTCAGTCCTCTCTTTAAGATTCTACAGCGATGTGGTTGGAGAGGACGGTGGAGAGGCAGTTTATAGTGTCTTGACTCAAGAGTTTGCAGGGTCACGCCGAGCTCCGAGGAGGAAGGAGAAGACGATGATGGGGAACCTCCCGGCCAGCACCGTCGTCGTGCTCGCGCGAACCCTAATCCTGAAAATAACTCCCTCCTCCTTGATCACCAGTCTGGCAGAAGCATGGGAGGGGAACCCGCTGCTGCTCTTCTCGCTGGCATGGTGCTCCCTCCTCCTCCTCCTCCTCCTCTTCCGGCGCTCCTCCCGCCGCTACAGAGTCCTCCTGCTGGACTACGCGTGCTACAAGGCCCCATCAGAGCGGCGGTGCACCTACGAGGTGAGCGAGTACGTCGTCATCCGGAGCGGAAAGGTCTCCATGGGCAGCCAGCAGTTCACCAGGGAGGTGTACGCCAAGTCGGGGCTCGGAGACGAGACCTATGCGCCGCCGCTGATCTTCCGAGAAGACTACGCGTCCCGCTTCCCCTCCGCCATCCAGGAAGCGGAGGAGGGGATGTTCTCCGCCGTAGAGTCTCTGCTCTCCAAGACGCAGGTCCTCCCTTCCCAAGTAGACGTGCTCATCGTGGCTTGCAGCATGTTCTCCCCAAGCCCTTCTCTCTGCTCCATGCTCGTCCACCGCTTCGGATTCCATCCCTCCATTAAGAGCTTCAGCTTCAGCGGCATGGGCTGCAGCGCTGGGGGGATCGCCATCGACGCAGCGGCACAGATCCTCCGTCGAAAGCCGGGGTACGCCCTCATCGTCACCACGGAGAACACCAGCCTTAACTGGTACTTCGGCGACGAGCGCTCCATGATCGTGACCAACTGCATTTTCCGCGTGGGCTCCGCCGCGGTGCTCCTCACCAGCGACCCCGCAAGGGGGGGCGCCGCCAAGCTGGAACTCCTCCGCACCCTCCGCACCCACCACGGCACCGACGATGCCGCCTACGGCGCCGCCCTCCAGCAAGAAGACGACTGCGGCAACGTGGGCGTGGCCCTCAGTAAGGACCTCGTCCGAGTCGCCGGCGCGGCCCTCCGGCGCCACATCACTACCCTAGCCCCCCGGGTCCTCCCCATCTCGGAGCTCCTCCGCTACGCCTGCGCCACCGCCGTCTCCTTCATCTTCAACCACAAGCAGCAGCAGCACGTCCCCGATTTCATGAGGGCCTTCGAGCACGTCTGCTTGCACCCGGGGGGGAAGGCGGTTGTCAACGCCGTGGGGAGGCTGATGAAGCTGCCGGAGACGGCGGTGGAGCCGGCGAGGATGACGCTGCACCGGTTTGGGAACACTTCCAGTAGCTCCGTCTTCTACGAGCTGGCCTACTTTGAGGCAAAGAAGCGGCTACGGAGGGGAGACCGTCTATGGATGCTTTCCTTCGGGACGGGCTTCAAGGCCTGTAGCCTCGTATGGAGATGCCTCAGTGACAGCCCCTTTGACCCAGTCAACCCCTGGAACAACTGCGCCTTCCGCTACCCCGTCTGATCCCCCGCCGTCCGCGTTCCCAGATCGACGGCCTACAATCCCCGGAGCTTTGGGCTTTGTCGATGACCACCTGGTTTCTACGTTCTCCTTTGTGTGGTTTCTCTTTTTTTATTGGGACGTTTTATTCCACGTGGTAGAGCGCACACGTGTCAAGTGGGAATGGCATAGCTGCGAGGAACAGAAGGGCTCATCGACGATTCAGATAGATTTTGGGAGTGAAAAACAACTAGCCGAACGTTCCAGGGAAATAACCAAAAAGCTGCCAACGGTGACTAGCAAAAGCTTTCGATTCTGGGGGATGTCGTCACCTCGCGGTGAACCAGGGGAACATGCCGGGCTGAGTAGAGGGTGCATTGATGGCCCCTCAGTATGTCTTGTTTGGATTTCCTTCCGCTCACAAACCCATCAACAAGGCCTCTCTCTCTTTCTCTCTCGCTCTAAAATCTGAGCTTCGAACCTGGGGATCCACAGCAGTCGCAAACCTCCCGGTTTCCTTCGTTCTAACTCACCAACCAGGGCGGCCTGCCTCCAAAGAGAGATTTCACCTCTCTCTCTCTCTTTCTGTGTCTCTCTAGAGTCTGAGCTTAGAACCTGAGGATCCATGAGAAGACGCAAACCTCATTGACGCAATTGGGTTTCCTTTGTTCTAACTCGCCAACCAGGGCTGTCTGCCGCCAAAGAGATAAACCCTTGACTTCACCTCCCTCTCTCTCGGTAGAATTTGAACTCGTACTTGGGATCCACGAGCAGTCGCAAGTCTCCATTAACGCAACTGGGTTCCCTCTGTTCTAACTCACCAACCGGACCTGCCTGCTGCCAAAGAGAGAGAAACCCTTTACTTCACCTCTCTCTCCCTCTCTCTCTAGAATCCGAACTTGGAACCTAGGATCCACGGGCAGTCGCAAACCCCCATCAACGCAACTGAGTTTCCTTTGTTCTAACTCACAACCAGGGCTGCCTGTGGCCGAAGAGAGAGAAACCATAGACTTCACCTCTCTCTCTCGAATCTGAGCTTTGGAACCTGTGTCGACGGGCAGACGCAGACCCCTCATAAATGCGGCTGGCTTGGCACTTGCGATCCACGCAACCGCCATGAATGTAACAGGGTCCTCCTTCCAGTCTCGGAACATGCCGGAAGCCGACTTTATTCAACGTGGACCGGTGGTGCACCTGATAAGAGCTGACGAGCCTGACTGGCCCTCACAGAGGAACAAGATTCGCCGTCGTTCAAGCAAAAACACGGAATAATCGTTAAAACGCACGAGCAGTATAACCCATATGATAAAATTTTCACTAAGATCATCGACCAGCATCGCCGCAGCCCGCCGCCGCCGGAGCTCCTCCCATTGTGCGGGTTGAAGACTGATACTCGACCATCTCATCAGTCCGCAGTCCAGCTCTGCTCGACGAGTTTCATAATAGTTGACTTTTGCATGAGTTTCATATTAGTCCTCGTGACCCACAAGTATCCTTTATTGTATCTTTAAGAAAAAGATGGGTCTCGTGATCTTGAAATACAGATCTGAGCATTTATGTCGTAGATAAATTGGACATACGCTTGGGAACCTTCCTCAACGTCTGCCACGGCTTCCATCTCTCTTTTCCTTTTCCATTTGAAAAACATGAGAATGGAATACCACAATAATGCTAAGAGTACGTAATAAAAGAGTCCGATCATTCAACTTTAATTAGATAAGGTAGGATGGTAGAGTAAAATTAATTATATCGGGAGAAGTTACAAATAAGCTCTGGATTAAAAGTAAAGCTAAGGATCTCTCTCTCTCTCTCTCTCTCTCTCTCTCTATCTATCTAATTCTGAAGCGAGGGAGATTTTCAAAATGATGAAATGATATACTTAAAGTAACGTAGTATCCATAGAATCCCATGTTATCCTTCAAATCAATCTCATGGCTTTTCCCCATCTCCCTGATGATGCACAGTAACAAAGGAGTGCTCCACGAAATGAAAACTCCCGTCCCTGTACATTCAATGAGGACAATTTCTCGCGCAGATGGTTGTTAGAAGATGGTAAGGGTGGGGGTCGCGGAGCGGGAAGGATGAAGAAAGGAGAGTGGGAAAAGATGGTGATCTTTCAGCAGGGTATGAGGGAAATGAACCACTCCATGACGCTGAGGGGGACCTTGATCAGCTCGAGCGCCAGCTCCACCAGCACTGTCACACACATGAAGCACGGACAGACGGTGGAGATCGCCATCCTGCAAGCAAACCAAAAGTTCATCAAGAGTTCTCGCCATCTTAAGCTGAATGACTAATATTATGAGTTGAAGAGCCTGATTCTTCTCAACTGAATCTCTCTCTCTCTCTCTCTCTCTTTCTCGATCGCTCGTTTCTCCCTTTGGGCCGATCTCTATCCTTGTATCTGTAGGAAGACGGAATACGCACCCGACCGTCCAGATGACGATGCCAATGGCTGAGATGACAAGGGACATGAAGGCGAAGGGGAGGCCCAATAACCATCCCAGCGGCCTGAACCCACCGAAGAAGCACATCACCACCCTTCCAACCGTCTCAGGCTCTCAGTTCACCGGCCTCTCTCTCTCTCTCCCCAGCCCCCCTCTTCGCATCTCCTTTGCTTCTTCTACTACATTCTCAGCGTCGTCATTCGGATTATTCTCTGGGCATCCTTCGGGAATCAGCCGCCGGAAAACGTTTCCCTTGCCTCGGATCAACCGCAGCTGTCGAAAGCTAACCGCCGAAGTGGTGTGGTTCAACTCAAAGCCGAGGAAGAACATGCCCACAGCCTCTAAGCTAACTTTCTTAAGGGGCAAGAGACTGAGGAAGACGACGCCATCTCTTTATACCATGTTCTGCCAATCGTTTTCCTCATTATGCCATACCTACGTGAATCATCTCTCTTCCTCTAATTTTAATGGACTAGGATTCACTGTTATTATAATATGTTTTTCAGGCATCATAATTCATAGCCGTATGTGCATCGAAATCATGTGCACCATAATGCATCGATCAAAATCTTTTTAACATATTCATCTCGAGATGACCATTTTTTATCGCACATTTTAAAGTTTTGGAAAATCCCTATAGAAATCACGAATAATGAATAATGAGGGGTTTAACTAAGTGTCCATATTTAATTTTTCTTTTTTAGGAGATACTAGATAGGGACAGGCTGCATCCCGTTAATATATTAAATACTACTAATCAATAATTAGTAATTTTGTTACTAAAATGGTAAATATGTATTAAAGTCAGTTGAATTTTTTTCCTTCATATGTTGGGTCTGATGAGGCCACAAAGGGACTAAACGTAGAGGGTGGAGATAATGGTGATGAATCAGACTTCTTTTTTGACTAGATTAATATTCAAAAGAACTCTGATGTGACGAGAAAGATTATAGTTCAAGTGAGTTGGCCCTACATGAATGACTAAGATGATAGGTAAATAAATTATATTGATTCGGTTTTCATAACCTATCTCACTCTCTAGAGATACTCTCTTGGGGTCCCAATATCCTCAAATAATATAAAATAGAAAAACATTATGTGTCATCTCTCTTCCATTAGATTTACACTTCTAGCAGCCCAAACACACTTAGCAATTACCTAGATGTCTACATACCTAGGTAGCCAAAAATTAGAGATCTAATGCTAGGTTAACATTCTAGATTTACAACTCTAGAAATGTATATAAGCTATTTGATGCTATTGGTAAGCTTTTGTCGCTAAGAACGAAATGATATAAAAAATAACTAACTTTAACTTTACAACATTTAAGTTAAAAATATTCTTATAGCCTGATCTGTTCTCTAGTAATAAAATCTCACCTTTAAATTTAATATTTTAAGATAGTGTGGCATAGATTACAGTTCGAAGTGCTAACTGGTCCTCGATAAGGTGTAAAGTTTTTTAGAAAGATATGTTGCTTGAGCTTCTCAACTAAGCTTTTCGATGTTACTTCTTTGTGCTCTAGTTAGTCAAGTTATTTTAATTTTAATTTTTTTCCTATTTAGCAAAACTTGCTTTGATTCATCTATTCTTAAAAAGTTAAGTAGGGCAATAATATGTGTCATTCCGATGACAGCTTGTGGATTTATTGTGCTATGTTCTTACAGTGCAGTCATTTCTTTGTGAGTTGAGGACTCATACAACATAATGTGGGATGCTAATATTAGATTTATGTATGATTTTGAAGGCTAAATTGTGGTAGAATTTTAGTAAAATATATGCTCTCATGACCCAGTCCGAAAAAATTTTGATTTCCTTAGAATTGGAGATTTGAGACAGACTACAATATTGAAACAATATATAGATTCAAGAGTTTGATATACTATGTCATTAATGTTATGATAATACTTGAGACTTAATTATTTACTATAAATTTCATGTATTGAGATAGATGACTTCCTCAATGTACCACTAATGAATCAATACTTGTGTTATAATATACACATTTTTTATATTAGAGTTTCGTAACCATTTTGCAATGAACATTATGCCAATTAAAATATCATGAAATAATTTTTTTACTATTAAAATCTTTTGTCAACGCAAGCTTATTTGAGATTTTTGAAGATCAAGAACTCGGGATTATGATTTAAGCACAAGTAGTCTATTGCAATGCTTTGTTTGAATCAAGAAATTTGATGTCCCTTAGCAATTTGAATTCTAATTCTGATATTTTTAGAAGATGATAGGTTGAAGGATAAGTGGAGTCAAGCTCTAGAGGATCCCCTTTCCATCCTGACTCATTTATCCTACCTGTTCACCTAGGCCATTGACGTGCACTACTAATTATCTCAACAAGGTGAACCTTTTCTTTTTGGGAAGATAATCATAATTATTCTTATGATTTACAAGCTCTGGGTTGAATTTTCTTCCACTTGTAATCAGATTTTGTGAGCATTTGTGAGGACCATTGCATTTTACTTTTTTTGAATGGAACTGTTTGCAAAGTTTGCATTTTTATCTATTTACTTCTACTTGATCTCTTTTACTTTTTTTTTTTTTAAAACGTTAAAAGTATGCTAGGTGTTCTTCTTCTTCTTCTTCTTCTTCTTGTTGTTGTTGTTGTTGTTCTTCTTCTTATATACAGTATCGGCAGCTTCCTCTCGTCCATTTTCACGGCAAGTTGACCCGGGGAAGCTGAGTAAAGAGCCAAGAGCTCGGATTTAAGCCAGGAGTCATCCCAGTGAATAAAGGCTAAACAAATAAAACATCCCTAGCTGTTTATCTAAGGAGGACTGAGAGAGGACATGGCGACATGGCTCCTTTCGGCTACTTAGCAGGAGTCCGAGTGGTTATTGAATGATCCTCTTCATGTCGGCTACTTGGCTAAAGAGCTCGGATTGGCCCATCTGAGGGGAAGCCTTCCCTCTGGAAATCCCTGCTTCTTACCGATTATTGGTCGCACGGGGCGCTGGTGACTCCAGGCAGAGGTGGCCCTTTTCAGCGCAGTTCATCTGAATATAATGGTGGCCGGCACCTTCTTCTTCTTCCTGGGTCTCACGTTGCTTCAGCAAATCCGACTGTCATGTTGCCGTAGTCAAACACAGTGTGGAAGGCACCCATGAAGACGTCGCCCAGGATCCTGGAGATGCCATGCCAGTGAATTACTCTGGGCAGTTTATATAACTACTGGAATTCGGCTGCGGGTCTCGAACTTCTATCGATAGAAATTAAAAAAATAAATATGTATATATATATTATATTATATTATATTTTTTGTAAGAAAGTTAAATTGAGAATGTTGCGGAATTTAAAGAAGGGTGAGGCGGGGCGGATGGGTGGACAAACCACAGGGGGCCGCGAGGTGGGGGCACATCCAAGGCTGTAAACCCACTGATGCACTGCTCAGCCGAGCCTCCTTGGACTCTAAGAACGTACTGTGGATGAGAAAAACAGAGTTAATAATCGTAGGAGAACGGTTGGAAGACGCAAATCGTCACCTGCCATGTTTGCGGGTTATCCACTGATTCCAAAAATGTTCATTGTGAAGTTCTTTCATGATTTAGCAGTACAGAATTGCCAAATGTGGTAAATTGGATAACATAAAAAATGTAGATTATGGATATATCTTGTTGTATTGCTCGATGTAGGTAAAATTATGCACCTCATAAGTACTGGTGTTTAAAAAAGAAAAAAAAACCACTATGCGTGTTAATCAGTATGATAGATAGATAGAGAGAGAGAGAGAGAGAGAGAGAGAGAGAGAGAGAGAGAGAGAGAGAGAGAGATACACAGCTGGTCCAGAAACGGTAATGCCATCTTAAGTTGCTAAACTACAAAGAACAAATTTATGATTAATATAAGATTATGAACTTTTTATTAGACCCAAATCCTCACCATCCCTGAAAGGCCGTGTCTGATACTGTTTAGTGGATTGTACCACAGGTAATCAACTTCAGCAGTAATGGATTTCCAAAAAACTTGTTTTTCTCAAAGTAACACTGATATATGCCCCCCGTTATAATGCTCTAAAGAAAAACTCCGGGATAATAGCGTAAATCTAATTCTAAAAATTTGAAAGATTTTACTAGAGAACTGTAAATCAAGAAGTTCATGTATGGGTAATTTCTTTTCGATCATTATTAATGCATAATCCGGTGATCTCAGCCGAAGGATAGTCGACAGAACCACCCAAAAGTATGCTAAAGGAAATGCGATAAAACTTTAAAAAAATGAATTGGCTCATCCGGTCACTATCCTCAGTGAAATCCTAGCAGTTGTGTACAAATGCGAGAGATTACGCAGCTCTTCTCACATTTTTTAAGATGAATTTTAGATTACATGTGGTTATTTTTAGCAGCGAAAAATTAAAAAAAAGAAAGAAATCAGCTTGAGGAACACTTTTTCCTTGATGAAGTAGAAATACTTGAAAGTAATTATCTCCGAAAGGAATGAGGCGATAAAATTGAAGGCAGATGTAGAAAAAAAACGCTCAACCTACCAAAAAGAAAATTTCCCCCCAAAAAGTGTGGCACAGTTGACTCGTGCATTCTATGAGCAGCTAAATGCTTGGCCATATTGAGAGCATTATAACTTAGTTATACCACAATAGAGCCCCCAGAGAGAAATTAATCAGCTCGGTGACTGAGGGAAAGAGAAAGATTGAATCAAAAAAAAAAAGGGACAAAGAAGAAGGTAACTAATACCACAATAATGTATATAATGTTAACCAGTGCACATGAATAATAAGAGACGGATTTCACAGAGGATCAACCATACCTGCTCGGGAGACAGAGAAAATGTCTTGCCACCAATGGTGAAAGAAACGTTAGGCATGGATGAGAGGCTGTTGCAGTCGACAAGAGATTCACCCATCGGACTAGGAAGCCGGTCACATAACTGCGTGAGGTTCCAGACCAAAGGGCATATTTATTTCAAGTGAATGGCACGACCCGTGAAGAAAAATAAAGACACAGATATCCACTCGGTTCAAGGACTTGACCTCATTGACATAGTCCAAGATTCGACCTTTTGTTTGGTTGTGCTTCAGCTGGTTCTGCATCCAAGCAACCGCCATCTCACACGTTGTACACATCGAATCGTTCAAGCCTGAGGTTAATCTGTCTTCATCGCTACTAACTACACTCCGGATACCCTCACTGCAGGGGAAAACATAGATGACCAGATTGGGCCGCAAGGAATATAGCAAATAAATATGATCTTTTTCCTCGGAATTAATGCTGAAAAGAAATTATTCTCACCTAAATCCTTGAGTTCCAGCAAGATTACATAAACCAATCTGTGTGCATATTTTCTTCGGCTGTGTCTGGAGACAAATATCACATAAACGGCTGATTATTATTTTCAAAGGAAGATATCTGTACTTCAGCGAAATCTGTAGGGTGGGCATGACACAAAAGATGTTAAAAGCACCTCAGACAACAAAAGATCGAGTATTGCTTGGCCATATTGAGAGACAACTATTTTACACTCTTCGCTAACAACACCAGTAGCTCCAATAGCATGATTGATCTCTGTTACTGTGGCCTGTATACAGAATTAAACGATGTTAGAGATCTTGAAAAGATTCATCCACTTATCAATCGAACACTGGCCTACGACCAGAAGTATGGCCTTGTGATTTCCCCCAAAGGATTTAGAGAAAGCAGCTTCCTAATTTACAATACGTTGCACACAAGTCATTCAGTAGTTGACGATAGAAACGGCTCCTCAAAATTCTCTCGAGTATGGTTCCAGCATTTAAAAGTGTAAATGGCCCTTTCAAGCAAAGACCATAAGGGGGAGATGAAACATTGTGGTAAAATACCTCTCAATTATGCTTGTCATTTGTACAACCTCCTTTCAATAACCTAGCTTTTTCCTGTCTCTAAACTAGAAACAAAATCCTCAGGGAAACTTTAAAGATTTTTCTTTATGTGAAATTACTACATTTCCGAATTGGAAGGAATATCCGAGTTACTCAATTTTGGATTTCTCATAGGGTGCAATTATCAGTCGCATATTACAGGAGCCCCTTTTAAAGAAATCCAAAGAAGAAAGGGAAACGCATACTACATGTAGTAAGCTCAAAGTTTTCAAACGAGCCTAATCAAGAAACAGACAACGAACACTGAAAACACGAGTAAAGCCTTTGGAATCAACCATAGTCTCTCTGTTTTTCTGTCTAAAATTGTTGTATAAGGCTGAAAATACAGGAGTAGAAAGAGTTTGAAGCAGAGACATAGGTGAGTAAAGTGGAAAAAATTGACGTAATAATTTAAGAGATTCGGTTTTTTTTTTGTGTACCTTTAGATAAGATATACGCTGATGCTACGATGAATAAAATATCTCCATGAAATGATTTTCTTATTTGCATTGCTTCAAATGTGCTTAAGTCTGTTCTAGTACCTCAACTAGGAAGAAGATCATAGCTGATGTTCAATCAACTTTACCGATCAATCAGATACTGTGACCATATTCTCACTATGGATAAAGCCATGACTTGTCTTGCTCATACTCTCCCTGCAGTGGACCGTTCAGAACACAACCCCCACATTGTTGTCATCCTCTAAATCCGTTTGGTCTCATCTTACCCGGCTGCTAGGCTAGACTCTAAATTGTTCACTATTTTTTGTAACTCTGCACTTATGAAAAGCTTCAAAGTTAACGGCAAGAAATTCCATAACCTAAGTGGTGCCATGAATGGATGAGGACCTTATTGTACTTCAGGAGGGCCGAACTTGAGAACTTGTTCCATTTCTCTTCAGAGTCTATCCTTTCAGGTTTAAGCAAACTAACGAGAGCCAAACCAACCCTGATGGTATGATTAATCGTTATAAGGCTCAGCTTCACACTCACCTCTCTGATAAAGCTTACATTCAGCCTCCTCTTAGTTCTGCTATGTAACCACTTCATGTGTGTCATCTTCACAAGGTAATATATAGATTTAGAGAAGGATCTTGCGCCTGATTTAGGCTATTTCCTTAGTCTCAACAATGTTTAATCTACTCAATGTTATCAATTATCTCAGCTGAAGTATTCCAACGACAGTTTTAAGTGCACTGCTATCTCCAATTCAAGTACAATTGAGATTCACGATTGTACCCTTGTGGGATCCAACATGCAACTCTCAACTTAACGATGCTGTTGTGTGCTTCACGTCTCTTGTCTAAAGCCCAATCGTGGTGTTTATATCTTTAGTTTTTAGCAGTCCTTAATCAGTCTACTTTTCTGCCCGGACCCATGTTATAAAATATCTTCAATGACCTTTCGCTGCACCATGTTAATGCAATGTACTCCAAAATATGCCTCAGGAGTTTAATGTCTATGTTAGTGGTGATTAGAAAGCCAAAGCCTAGTAACCATTGCTGGACTACAGCTTCTACAGTTTTCTACACAACTATCTCTTCTCTGATAAGGACAAGAAATAATTTTTTGCTTCTTGTTCCAATATTGGGGCTACGTACTAAGCTGTAGCTGATTCATCTTCTTGCAAGTTTGGTTGGATCATTTTCTTGCTGATTTGGGCAAAGGATTTTCAACTGCTACTCCGTTTTATTTGTGACAATTGGAGTTCTCTTTGAATTTCTAGCACTCTTACTTTCCAAGACCAGGTTGTTGACTTTCTCACAAAGTATCCGACGACTCCGCAATACGTGGAGTTCCTGGACAAACTCCCAGGGTATGATCTCCATGAATTAGGGGGGCATTAAAAAGAGGACACTACATTCCTAGCATTGCCTTTCCCTTTTTTGTGTTCTTCCTTTCTACCCTTGTTTAGGCTTTTGTGCTAATCCATGTACAGAAAGCAATGTCACAAGAGAGGTACGATTTAAGTTTCCTGATCTCAAGATAAGGTCCGACTGATAAACCCTAAAATCTATTTTTCTTGCCCTGTGGCTATCCCAAGGTCAGTCTTCTACTTCTACTTCATCTTCCTTAAAGGAGGACTGAGGTTTCAGAGGATTCCGGTTTAGAACCTATGCTTGAAACTTTCTCCAAACTTGGTCACTGACTTATAAAAGTCGCCAAAAGCTCAGTTTAGCCCAGGTTAGTTATTTTAGACTTCGCAAACAGTGATCTTACGATGAGGAGGCACGCATGTTAGATAACACAATTACTGAGTATTTTATTCAATTTGACATGTAAGCATCAGAATGTAAATGTATGTAATAGGCAAATAAGCAGTGTATAGGTGGATTCTACTAAAATTTTGGATGGTCTTGGAGTATTCGTTAAACACATGTAATGAAATGCGGCCCGAAGATAATAGTAAAGCAGAAAAAAAGTTCAAAAAGTTTTACGAAATTCCATCACGAAATATTCTGAAATAAATTCTGTAACAGGTTATATATTTTTTATCAACCCTATATATTTATAATTTTAGTTTTTTGATAAATCCTGTAATCTAGTTTCAACCTTCTGCTAAAACTGCCAAAAACCGCGAAATGAGTTCTGAAATTCATGCCTCCATCTGTACCAAAACATAAATTTTAACTTTGAATACATACCGTTGGGCCCACAATTAAGGATGTCCCAGAATCTGCAATCGCTGAACAACTACCAGAACAGAAACCTGGAATTTTACAAAAAGAATTGACGCAGCAAGAAAATTGTGAATCAACAACCTTCGATAAGAAATTTCTTAAATTAAAAAAAAGTTTTGATTTATTACCAGTAGAATTTTCACCAACGAGTACATCTCCCATATTAAACTGCAACAACAAGTCACACATGAGAGTTTACAACAGAAATTAAGGTTATGAGTTCATACTGCAGTAGTCTGGCCTAGGGAGATTCACCTGCCAATAACCTTTCTGTGTTACAGGTACATAGGTGTGGTTTCCGGTGTAGTGTTTAGGATCCGACCCACCAAAGACAATTTCTCCACCTTCATCTTCCTTGGCATTACGATTAAACCAGAAAGAAAAAACAGGTTCTTTTATAAGACCTTGATCGACCATGTTATACCTGCACAGTAGAAGTTATTAAGTTCATAGCACAAGAGAATCCATTTCTCATCATCCACCACTGGAAACGCTTAATTTAGATGAACATCAAATAAGTGAGTAATAAAAATGGGGATGATGATCTTTCATTCAAGCGTTGCATGTGCATGTATATGGGAAGAAGAGAAAGGGCCCCCAGATCACATTTCGAAGGTATGGCACATTTGACCGACCTCCAAAAGGAAAATGTAACTTCAGTAATCAGACGCATTCAACACAATGTTTTTAAACGTCCAAATGCGCTTAATGCATGCTCTCTCTCTCTCTCTCTCTCTCTCTCTCTGACTAGAAACTTCAATGCAACTTTAGACAAATTAAAAAATAACTTGTTGATGTAAACTGCCAGGATGGCCCGAATGATGCTTGTAAATTTCCAAATCCACTCAAATTATCCACTTTCTCTTCTCTCTAACTAATCATAAAATTAAATAAAATTTATAAATAATTAAGATAAAAATGTCAATGTCACTGCTTCCATGTCATAACGAGCAGATAATCAGATTAAAGGGGTTCTGAGATCTAAATAAAAAAAATACTATTTTCATTCAAGCAAAACACGTTGTTTTAGCTTGCCTTCTCGGAAGTGAAAATATGATTCCTTTCCCTCTTTTATTCCCAGTATACCATTTGGAGCAAAATCAAGTAAACACCTGTCTCCACTGCATTACTCTCCACCCAACTCATGCCGCAAAAAACAATGAGGGTATCATCGCTTATATGAGAAGGGACAGCTTTTAAACGTGAAATATCCTCCCAGACTACTTGCCTCATCTTACATGGTAAGTTTGGGCACACTAGCAACTTATCTTCACATATGCAGTACAGATGCAGACCGTCTGCTAATAAGATTGGATACATTTTATTTTATCAGGTTGTCTGTTGTCGATCTTCAATCATTCCACAAACAACTGTACAGTCTTCCCAAGGTTCTTCTCACATTAGAGTCCCTAGACAACCGAGTCATCAATGAAGGAATTATGAGATGCTTATCTTTTAATAGGGGATAGGAAAGAAAAACGAACGATGTAGAGGAGGTAAAAAATGACAATCATAGTGAAGAAAAAAAAAAGAAAAACAGGAAATAACTATTAAAAATCATACCATACAGGAACCGCATTGCCAACGGAAATTTCTTGAAACCCAAGTCCTAATATCCCATCAAATTTTCCTAATAAGAATGCGAGACTCGGCTCCTTGGTGGCCTCAATAAAAATCTGCCATGAAAAGATGGAGTGACTAAATATAACAAACTTCAAATGACAATAAAATAATCGGATCATAAAAACTACAAGAAAGCTCCACCTGATTCTTGGCAATAAGATCACCAATTTCAACATGGTCTTCGCTAAAGAACCCAGATATTGCACCAGTCCCATAATGAATTTCTGCAGGGCTCCCTGCAATTTTAGTTGTAGATTTTATGCAGTAATATTTTGAATAAACGATGAATATTGAAGTAAAGATTTCGTAAATTCTTAGGATTTATTAAAGGAAGTTATATAACACAGATATTTAAAAAACTCGAATGAGAGACAAGAATTCAAACTAATATTCCTCATTCGAAAACCCCGGAAACAAAAAAATCAGTACACTTTTCATGATGTATATTGAAGAGCAACTTTATCCACATAAGTGAAAAGCATGTAACGGAGTAAGATATCTAAAAATATTTTCATGACGAAGCTTGCAAGAGAAATACATAATCTAAGAGCTCATAACTATCCTGAAGTAAAGATAGTTTTAAATTTTATTGTCAGATAATAATGTTTGACATGAAACTGTCGTAAATCAGTAAAATTGGTAATAAATACAAGACGAGAATATACCACAACAGGGCACAAGGAGAGAAACGAACCATTCTTTTTGTAAGTACTTGACAGGCTGGACTTGTACTTGGAATGGAAATAGCACGGAACCTGAGGCAAGGATGAAGGATTGTGGATAAAAGGTATTGTGCGTGTGAGCTCGAAAGAGAAAGGAAAGTCAATATCCTAGATTTTCTGGTACTGTTGGAAGCACCAATGAAAACGAACATAGTTATGGTACTCGCATAGGAAACTGATTGGTAAGGTATAAGGTGTTTGAGACAGCCATTTAGCATTTATGCCCACTTTGGTACGGTAATAGATTCTTTGTAATAATAATTCACTGAAAGAGGATGTTGCTCACCGAGAAATAGCATTTGGAAGAGGGAACCCACAGGTTGGAGCTTCCAGTATCGAATATGACAGTGAACATCTGGGGCGGGGTGCCGATTCCAATCTCTCCGTAGTACTGAGCGTTCATATAGTTCTTCAGAGCAATTATGTGCAAGTCTGAACCATTGGCGATGTTTTCGCTATTCTCGAGCTCGGACTTTGGCTGGGAAGCCCTTTCAGACTGCCTTTTCTGGGGAATTAACTTGGCTTTAATCCTGCTGTGATGGTCCAACGGCCTTTTCTTCAACTTGACTTTGAAGATGCCGTCAGCGGCAGAGGCCGGGAGAATGAGAGGGAGCAGAAGGAGAGAGAGCAACCAGAAGGATTCGAGGGTTCTGCGTCGGGCTCCCATGGAAGACGGAACTACAGAAACTACGCATAAAAACCATCATTCAACATATAATTTAGAGAAAAAATTCTTCTCTCTGCTACAACATAGGATGTTAACAGCAAAATAAAATCAAACTATAATTTTTTTCTAGAAAGCTGTAGAAAATTTCCCTCACATTCACAGGGAATGTATCTCACACTCCCACTTTCTGTGACTGTGGGAGTGCGACGTCATGTCTCTGGCCACGCAAAAGCGTTGGTAGCAGGAAGTGCACAGCATGGGATATTCCAGATAAGAGAGAACAACTCGGTATATGGGAAAATAGCCGCTCGAATGCAGCATATGAGGATTAAAAAAAAATATCCGGCGAAAGAAAGAGGGGAATAACGAACCGAGAAAGTTTGTACCAATCAAAGGAAAATCCCGTGGAAATCACTCCAGCGAGAGGAATACTCAACCTTGTGTAGAAGAGGAAGAAGAAGAAGAAGAGGTCGATATCAGCAAGCCTCAGAGAGGTGAGAATCTTGGGTCCTTACCGTGCGGAGGACCCGCGGGCCGCGCCAAGGAGGGGAAGAGTAACGAAAGCGAAGAGCTTGAAAGAGAGCGGGACAGTGGCAGTCTGAGAAGCTCGCAAAGCGGCTTAAAAGGAAGCGGAAAAAGAAATTCTTACACATTGCCCCTTCCCAGACTTTTATTATACAAATACTCCAATGTCTCTCCGCTACCTCCGCATAGCCGTTGAGACCGTGCTCCTTGGAGGGGTATGAACGAGCATCAAGCAACTTATTCGTCCCTATTCACAAATATTAAACTATAAAGGGAGCTACGCCTAAGAAAAGGAAACCGGATTTGGCGCCAACTCGCATGCCGTTAACATACTGAGCGACAAAGACGCCTCTACTTGCGGTTCCTTATTTGACGTGGACCCGCTTGTCGGATCCTCACCGAGGGTCCAGTGGGGCCCAGAAATCCGTCGGCTGGTGGCTGGGGCCCACCGATGAGGTGGGACCCACTCACAGCCTCAGAGCCAACCTGTTCTCTTCCATTATTAAGCCCACATTATGGGCTCCAAACTGGGGAAGGGAGAGACTGAGCTAGCGAAGCTTCCAGCAAAGTACCCGTCATCACCTCTAGTAAATTTATCAAAAGGCCCATGGAAGTGTTCCAATTTTCCATCGTACCACTCACATGTGTATGAATGGCAGCCATTGGGGAAGGGGCGCTTATGCAAAATTATTAAATTAACAGGGAAATAGTTTATAATGCCTCTCAAAGGCTTGGAAGCCTCCCTTGCCCAATACGTGCATAAAGGGAAGAAGGAATGGGGAGTTACCGTGGCAGCAGTCTGACCGTGGGTTATTGGGCCAGGGGAGACATGGATGTGGCCCAGTTACTTGTATCCTAAGCATGGAGTCTGGACCACTCCAAGATATGCTGAAACCTAGTCAGTTGAAACCTGGGTACTAAGTGGTGACCCTTAAATAATGATAAAAAGCCCAAGATTCCCTGGCTAGATGGTGATGATGGCAAAGGTTCATGTGTTGGGAGGGGGCACCATTGAGTACACCCTTAAATTGCTAATAAAGGGATGCATTTATGGGATTGGTTGCAAGCCTGGCTATGGTTCCACAAGTTTGACATGAGAAGATGGGTTGACTTAGAAAGTGACAATTCAGGTGAACTTGTTCAACTGGGACTCACCTAATGTACAAACACTTTCCATAGAAGAGCTCTTTACATGAACATAACTTCATAGATATTCAGCAATCCACACCTATGTTACTCTTTTAAGGATCTTTTACTTACATTCCACTTACCTTTAGTTGGCATAATAGTTGATTAATGACACATTATCTCATCTCTACCTCTACATCCATGGCTCTAAGGTGGCTTGTGTACTCAAATGCTCATTTCTTAATTCATGGTTATAAGTTGTCTTGAATAGACCCAATGAAGGTTAATTTTCTATGCATTGAGATCCTAACTCACAGGGTTAGTATAATACATTACCAATACCTTTACATTCATAGAAATTAATTTTAGTTATTATCTTTCCCTTATATTTATAATACCAACATCTAAACATGAATAGTTGTATAAGACTTCAAGATTAAGCATTGATATTATAACTAAAAGATAATTAAGTCAAACTTCTTTTTGGCTTCAAGAACATTGGTTGTTCCTAAATATTTTGGTGATAATCAATCTGCATATGTATAATCCATGTATGAAATATAAAATGATACCAATTTGGAACTTAATCTGAAAGCAATGATTAATTTTTTTTAACATCTTTAACACATTTAAAATATTCAAATAAGAATGCAAAGAATGGTATTTAATTATCATAATTTTTAAATGGGTGAAAATATTTTAATGTCTACTCTATCCTTCTTTTATGTAATAAGAACCTGCCTAGAATAGCAAGGCATATAGTGAAAATAGCAGATAAACTAGTAAAAATTGAAATATTAGGTTTTCAACAAAAGCATTAAAACAAGAACCTAAAGGCAAATCTTTTGACAGCACTGCTTTTCTTAATGTGAAACCAGTCTCCTCTTCTCTTTCTTGTTCAAAATGCTTTACTAGTTTTCCCTCCTACCTCATATGGAATTTAATTATCAACCCTCTTTTCCCTAGGCTTCTGGGTGGTTCTTTTATCATTTACACTTTATTATGTTCAGCCAATTCCCTCATGTAAATTATACCTTGTCCTTAAGGTAGAAATTATAGAAATGTTCCTATATTGTTTATGCAGGCTCTCATGATCTCATTGAATTACTTCTAATTCATTAGTCGATGGTCACACTTAAAACATTGCTTACGGTTAGACAATTAAATTGAATTACTCATCTAATAATGGGGGATGTATATGAATGTAATCTCTTAATTCTATTGTCCTCAATTGTGAGACATGAAAAACTAAGTGAATTGTTGTTGTTATTATGAGTTTTAATCAATAGTTAATTTATCACATTCTTTCAAGACCCATGTAAGGGTTAACATAGCAAAGGGATAACTTTTCATTCACTTCTTTTTGCTAGAAAATACATTAGGTAAGGCCTTCATTTCTAATAAATTAACTCTCTCTTTTTATATTTTACTGCTCTTCTCTTGTTGTCTTCCTAGGTTTTCATTTTGGAGTGATTCAGTCATTAATCCAAAATTGCCTCTCTCATGCGTCTGATTTTTCATAGAGAACATCTTTGGCTCTATGAGTTTTCTCATAGAACATTTCTTATTTTTATGTAAGGGTGTTTGAGGGGTATAAAGTTTACCAATTAATTAGTTGAAAACTACCATTTCAAGTTGTGGCCTTTAAATTGGGTTAATTCTTGTATCAAGTGCATGGAGAGACCTTCCAAAATTTTGTTCAAAAATGGACAAAAGGTGAAAGAGTTTTATTGGGGATATGGCTTCAATTTTTTTACATTAATATATCAAATACTCTATCACATACTCTATGATCTTTTGTTGAATATGATCATTTAAGTTAGATAGTGGTACTTTCACAAAAATCCTATGACCCCATATGGCACTATCATGGTACTCTTTTAATACTACTAGAACCAAGCTTAAATTTTTAGGAAGTATCAATTCTATTGTAAGCAAATGATAGTCCCTATAGTAAAAAATATTTAGCCACTCTTCTGATCTTTGCTTTAACTCATATTTTATTTGAAATCATTTGGAGTATGTGTGTACTTTAATTGGTAGTTTTGATTTACCAAGATTTAATCATAGGCTATGGTTGGTCTTTGAACTTTAATCCTCTTGTGCACCTTTGATAGAGCATATGAAGTCTAATTTTCAATTTTAAAGACATAGTTAAAAATATTTGATAGTCATTTTTGATATTCTAGTTGGAATTGTCACGATTTGAACAAAAAAATATTATTGTTTTGATGATATGTATCATGAAGTTTCATCCCATAAAATAATATTTTCATTTCTTAAACTTTAATAATCAATCATTTCTTAATGGTTAAATTTGTGAAGTTGCATAAGCACTACCCCCAAGTCATATGCTGATGTATCCACCTCTATTGATAAGGTTGTGAAAAGTGTGATGAGGACAACATTTTTATAGTTGTTATAGCTGATTTAAGCTTTTGACATGTCTTATTCACATCTTCATTTCATTGGAAATAATTTTTCTTGAGTTGCTAGTTAAATGGTCTTGAGATTACTTCATAATTTATAGTAAATTTCTAGTAATAAATGTGAGACCTAAAAATCTCATTTCCTATAGATTATAATGGGTCAACCATTTAAATATGAAAACTATTTTACCTCAATTTTCCTTTATGCTCATTGAAAATACCAAATGACTAAGATATTCAATACATCTTTCCCTTGAGCATGTAGTTCTTCATATCAATATATAATTGTTTTGATAATACTATGATTACTTGGTTCAAATGTTATTTATGAGTCACTTCACCACAATTATATAAGGTTAAAATACTTGGTTCATTAATAATTGGAATGTGGTTAAAAAAATGGTGAGTTTGATGGACATAACTAAGAATTAATAATATCCCCCCTAGATCCTAAATGGCATTTTTGAGACATTTTGGTTCTTCATTCATATTTTGATGGCATCTTAATTTCAAGTCTAACTTGGAGAATAATGTGAGTTGTAAAGTTCATTTAGAAGTCTCTCCATCACTTGAATCTATCACTTGTTTGGGTACACTATTGTTCAATTGAGTGTCTTGTAGTTCACACAAATTGTCTGCTTTTATCTTTTTTTTGACAAGTAGAACTTGGCTTGAGTAAAGATTTGTTAGGGGTTGGATGATTCCTATTGAAAATATTTCCCACACTAATCTCTTGATTTCATTCATTTAGAAGTAAGAGTATCAATAAGTTCATATGCTACTTGGTTTAGTCTCTAGTTTCAAGCATATGATATGGTTGACATTTCATTGGATGCTGTACTAAAATTGTAGATGATGTTGTTGAATTCGTTTCCATATCTTGGTACATATCATATAATTTCATGATTACTCTTTGATCTAGTTCTAGTTGTTGAACTAATGCTTTTAAGTAGATACTTGACTTTCACAATTTTTTTCTCTCTTAATATTTTTTATTACTCCCCATAGTGAATTTATCATTAGCCATCACTAATTTATTTTCATGGTCCTTGGCTACTTTAACTATTATATTTATGTTCCTTATTGAAATAAAAATTTTAGGTTGCTTTGTAATTTATCAGAATTATTATTTCTTGGGTTCACATACTTTTTGAAAACCTGATACAATTGAGTTATGTTAATCTTATCACTGAATTGATTGAAAATTTAATATGATTGTCCATCTCTCTAAATTGATTGTCTTTGAGTCTCTTGATTCATTCAATCTTCTACCATCTCTCTAAATTAGCAAAAACTTCTCAATTGTCCTTGTGTACTAGTATAATTTGAAGCTCACTTTTACAAATGTGGCCCAAATTGTACCTTTCATCACAAGAGAAACACAATCTCTTTACTCTTTGTCCTTCGATGTCACCTTTGTCAAATTAAGTCATAGCTAGATGTCCTCAAGTTGAATGCTGAATTTTTTTCCTCTAATTAATGCCACTTGTACCCCCCCAATTTGTAGTCTTACTAATAAGGGGTTCTATGACTTTGCCCTATTTATTTCTTAAGCTCAAAGTGTAATCACTATTCCTGATCCCTACATGATATAGGTGTACATTTCTCATCCCCTCATAAGGGATGGGTTTGAATGGCTGTGGACAATTCAATTCTCTAGTCAATTTTAAAATGTTTTTCATCTTTCCATTAGTTGAGCAGTCTTCTTAGTTAATCTCAACCCAATCTCTTTGTGGAGTCTAACATCTACCCTAATATCCTATTTTATCCCTTTGACGAAAGTACTCTCTAGTAAGTCCTCTAATATTTTAATAGACATTGATATAAGTTCAAAATCATGCCTGAATTCTGCCACTTATTTATGTTGCCTAGTATTTAGAAATTATTTGGATCGTACATTCTACCTATGAACACTCAATTGTTTTGAGTAACTATTGTTTCAAGTCCTTTCAACTACCAAAAGGTCCTTTGCTTCCATCCATTGAATCATTCTAGAACCTTCTCTTTGAAACTCACTCATGTTGCCATTAGTTTACCACCCCTTGTCATTGTATACTTTATTTATCTCCCTAGAAAGACCTATTTGTTAGTTTAATAATGATCTCATAAGCTCATATAGTGATAATTTACTTAGGTCCTTAGCTTGTTCTATAGTGTTGGGCTTAGGTTTCCAACATGACATTAGCAATATCAAGAATTTTCTATTTAATTAGGTGTTCGTGTAGCTTTTTCAAAAAACCATTAGTCCATAAATCTAGTAGACATGTCACTAATAGACTTGCTTTTTATTATACTAAATAAGTCATACTTGTGTACCAAAATATTGATTTTGGTGTCCTTAACTTGAGATCTTCTTTCATACCCTACTTTGAGATTATCTGATAACTTTTTTGAAACTCAACTTGAAATTATATTACTCACTTTATTTTTTTAAAAAATGACATTTATGATGAGGGAATGTAAGACATATTTTCTATGACATTCAATGGATCAAAATGAGGTACTTCAATGAAGATTTTCATTATAACATTCCAACTAGTGTAGTTTGAGCATTTAATAGGGGAGATGGAATCTCATTTGTCAAAGGAAACTTCCAAAGAGCAAGTCATATATCTATTTGTTACAAGTGGGTCAATATGGATAGGTTGGGTTGACACAAATTAATCTGGTCAACAAAAGGTGAAATAAGTCCACATTGACCAAGTTGGGTCCAAAAACTAGGTTGGTAGACTAGATTGACACACTAAATAATAGAGACAAACCCTCAAACTTAATGTCTATCCTTCCTTGATCTACACATATTAAATGGTCCTTACCCTCAAAGTTTTACTATTTTGTTTTGAGAACTACAACTAAAGTTCACAAAATCAATAATCATTTTACACTATGTGTTTTACAAGTTCATCTCCTCATGTTAGATACCTACTTTGATTTTTTTTTCCTAGGTATCAACAAAGGGCCTTCACATAAAAAAATAGTGGAAGAATTAAATTCTGATTTTGAAGTTCAGAGTATGAACTTATTTGATTTTTGCACACATTTGAATATTAAAAGAAGTTTTGGTGAAGTTACACATGTAACAAAAAATAGATGTTGAATTTTTCACAAGTAAAATAAATTGGTTTGTCATTAAGAAATGCTTTGAAAGTTCTTGGGACAGAGTTTTTAGAACCACAAAGTTTGATTGTTGGATTTTCAATCTTTGAGATTTGATCTATGAAAGGTTGCTTGAATCAACCCCTATGTTGATGGAACAATCAATTTGACCAAATTATTTATGCTTTGCTGGATTTCTCTCAACACGTGTCACATAGTTTTAACATGCCTTAAGTGTTTGATATCTGATAGCAAATCTTGTTTCCTTTCTCTTTAGATTTGATTCTCCTTGAGCTAGGCATCTTTCTTAATAACTATATTTTGTCACGAAGCTTAGGTTCCATCTTGTCATTCTCTCTCTATATATTTTGCAATGATGCATAGAATATGAATTGGAATTCCTTTATAAACTAGTTTAATTTTCCAAAAAAGTTATGCTTTTCTCTAGATTCCCTTCTCAATCTCTCTATATCTATTTGGACGATACATAAAGTGGCTATTTTTTTATTATAATTCTTATTATTAACCAAACATTGTAATCATTTCACAAACCATTACAAGGCATACTAAAATGATATAATCTCCTTTCTCAAGGGAAATACTTATCTTTTTAAAAGCTGAAAAACTGGAATGAAAAAGCTTTTACTTTGCTTTAGTTAAAATAATATATTTTATAGTCTTCTTCTCAATCTACTCACATTTGATTTTTGACATCATATTGTCTACTGTACCGAAAGTCAAATAGTGATTTACTCATCCAAATGAATAAATTGGGTGGCAAGAAATGATATTCTAGTGAAGCAATTTAACCAATTACAACTAAAAAAGATTAATTCCTGTATAGTCATCAAAATTTTCACAAGTCCCAAGCACTGTTCTGTAGGTCGCAGTACGGCTGCCAAACTGAAGCCAAGTGGGAGGGAGCCATGGAGAGTGAGAGAGAGAGAAAAGCAAGAGCCAGAAGAGAAACGATTAACAGCGACTTTGAAAGGAGCAGGGGGAGCCTGTCACCTTGGGTTTAGTATGTAAGAAATTTTTTGGCACCAACAAGTGTAGAGAGATTTGAGATCACCATCTTCAACCCTGCCATCTCCTGGATACCGGGAGAAGATGTTGAAGAGAGAGAAACAGACAGCCAGAGTGTGTGAGGAAGAAGAGTATTTTCTATTTCCATCAAGTTACTTCCACTCAAACCCCTCTACTTGCCCCTGTGCTTCCCCCCTCTAACAGCTGGCATAAAAAACAAATGTGATGCCAATACATTTTTCATAGGTTGGGAAGTCTGAAAAGGCCAGAGCTAGAGAGAGAGAACTGTGTCCAAAGAAAGTCAACTAATAGCCAGTACTTGCCAGCTTCCGGCCTCCTGCTACCCTTTTGCACATTCAAAGCTACCTACCTGCAAGATTCAAAAGGCAAACAATTCCAATGGATGCAGTGGGGCTGGAAAGAATCGAAGCAAGAACGATAGAAAGCAGGAGGAGGAGGAGGAGGAGGAGGAGGAGGAGGAGGAGGAGGAGGAAAGGAGAGAGAGACCTCAGTTGAGGAGCTGGCAGGACAGATGACCTGGCAGGGTTCTTTGTTGTAGGCTTCTGAGCACGGATTTCATCTGCTAAGAAGGTTACAGCTCACAATGTCCTTCAACGTCTGCAGCAGCTACAGACCCACATTAGGCAATTGTAGACTCTCCTCCAGCAGTGACCAGAAATGTAGTGGGTTTGTTGTTGATTCACTATCATTCCAAGGGATGCCTATTCTGAGGTAATCACATGTTTCTACGCCTCTTGCTTTATCTCATTATTGATGTCAGTTTAACTCCCACTAGAACAAGCATCCCCATCAGAAGTTGTCTGCTGAAATTCACCCAAATACATCATCAACAGCAGGCAAAACCCATGAATGAACCAACAAAATTCACCAATCCGCTCATCCCCATCATTAATAATGTGTGCATCGTCCACACCTTGACTTATTACTGTACGATGTTTTGATTCAGAATCCCGATTGCCATGGAAGACGAAGATGCTGACATATTATTCTGCAACACTAAAGGTGTTTGCTTCTCCATCTAGGTAAATAGAGTCCTCAAATTGGAACGAACAGCACATCAATTCAACCAGTAAGTATAGTGATGGGATCACTCAATGACAGACTAAAAACTCAAGATCATCATGCTGGAATCAAACAGAAATGAAGACTTTGTCACGGGAGAAGTAGATATTAATTCATTGATCATTAGAAACTTACAGTTACAGTCACTGCTTGGAACCATCAGCGGTTCCAATCCAACCTACTATTCTACTCGATTCCCACTTAAGATAGTAGCAATCGAGAGGAAGCGCAGCTACGCCCCAGACGAAACATGTGAATGAGGTCTTAGATGGTACCTATTTACAAAATTAAAGCACTCCACTTAGAACGGATTCATTTCCAGAAGGTAGGCCTTCCTCTTGATCAGATTCTTCGCAGCCTCCCTGAACAGACCTTCAAATGCGTCAACTGCAAAACCATCCCCTCCATCAGCCTTGATCACCCGGTCTACTGGCCTGATTGCCACCAGCGTTGCTCCCTCCATCACGTCCCCCGAGCTCAGCATGAGGCGGGACGCATGCCAGAGTTTCATGTTGAGTGCTGGCACCTGCGTCCGATTTGACGAACAAGCTACCTCAATGGAAGAGCACCTGAATTCCTCGAGCTGTCCTTTTTCCATGTGGAGCACCCCCTGGCCATCCGCGTCAGTAATTTCCAAACTCTGCACCGCGGAATGCTCATTCACGATTTCCCGCAGCAGGAAATGACGAGCCGATGCAGCAATTAAGGATGTGATTGTCCACACGACGCGCAGTTTCAGCCCACCGTCGGTGCAGAAGGACTGATCCTCGTCGTCGTCGTCAGCATTCCCGTCCACGGCATGAACGGCGACATCGCTGCAATCGGGATGCTTCCGGCAGCTTAAAGACGTCGCACTGAGGATGGCACAGCTCTCCAGAGTGCGCCCGAACGCCGCTTTCCAGAGAAGAACGGCTCCAGGGTCGACCCCGAGCTCGCCACTGGGAAGCACGATCTGGAGGGAGCGGACCCCGCGGAAGCTCCGCAGCACCTCGGAGGGGGAGTGGTGGGAGATCTCCGCAGCGAGGAGCACCTTCCGGGGGAGGAGCACCTGATGGAGCGCGCTAAGCGGGCGGGAGACGAATGTGGAGAAGAGCAGACGGGCAAAGGCCCCAAGAATGCCGCCGTACTTGGGCTCCTCTGCGCCGGAGCCCCCCAGGTTGAGGTACTGGTGGTGACGGGGGGTAGCCGACGTCGTGCCGGAGGAGGAGACGACGCAATCGACGCGGACCAGTACAGACTCCGCCTGCACAGCGAGGTACCGGAATCGGCGGGATACTGCGCAGCAGCGGCCGAGGAACTTGACGTCGCGGAGGGCGTTGAAGACGACGAGCAGGATGGCATCTGGGAGGCGATCGAAGGGGCCGTCCTCCTCCTCCTCCTCCTCCGTCGCCGCCGCCGCCGCCGAGGACTCCGCGGAGGAGCGCATTCCACCAAATCTAGCTCCAAGCTCCTCCAACCCCAACCCCAACCCTAACCCTAATTCTAGCAAGCTCAGCTTTCCTCGGGGAAGGACGAAGGTTCGCGAAGGAAGGTGACCACCCGCGGCACTCACTCTACGAACAGCTGTCCGTCCTCCAACTGCACCCACGGAATGATAAAGGATGCTGGGCCGGGCCGAGACCACCTAATGGGCCCAAGAGAGCGATTTTCAGAACGACCCAGAATGCGGTGGAATAGGCGGGGGGAGGGGTACTTGCACAAATCACAGAGAAGATGAGGGTTAGCAGAAAATAATAACCTTTTCCCCGGACGCTCTCTGGGAGAAACACAGCAAGCGAAGTACACTCGGCAGACATTTCCTAATTTGGTTAACAATCAGTATCTATGGGGCCGTATTTGTTCCTATTTTAGGAAATATCCACACCGCGCTCCAACTGGGGGATCAGAAAATGCGTTCTGAATAAACCGCAGGGACAGTTTATCACAATCAACGGTCCCCCATGGTCTCGAAGAGGACTTCTGCAGATCTCTCTCTCTCTTTCTGTACTCAAATCGAAGGAGAGAGAGGGAAGACTGGCCTACGATCTTAAGCGGGAGAGAGAGAGAGGGGTAGCTCACCGACGTGTCACTGCTGTAACGGTCGCATCAAAACTGCCCCCGCACCAGGCGCGGGGACCCCTACCTGAGCTCCGCCCGGCGGAGCTACGTGTTGCTTCTCAGTTCCCGCCGCCGCCGCCGCCGCCTCCGCCCTCTCTCTTTCACTCTCTCTCTCTCTCCCTCTCTCTCTTTCACTCTCTCTCTCCCTCTCTCTCTCTCTCTCCCTCTCTCTCCCTCTCTCTCCCTCTCTCTCCCTCTCTCTCTCTCTCTCTCTCTCTCCCTCTCTCTCCCTCTCTCTCTCTCTCTCTCTCTCTCTCTCTCTCTCTCTCTCTCTCTCTCTCTCTCTCTCTCTCTCTCTCTCTCTCTCTCTCCCTCCTCTCTCTCCCTCCTCTCTCTTTTACTCTCTCTCTCTCTCTCTCTCTCCCTCCTCTCTCTTTTACTCTCTCTCTCTCTCTCTCTCTCCCTCCTCTCTCTTTTACTCTCTCTCTCTCTCTCTCTCCATCGGTTTCCCTTCCGCTTGCCCCCGTCCCTTCCGCTTCCCGTTCCCCTTCTTGCTTATAAAGCCACTCGAGGCTACAAACGGAGGAAGGTAGCTTTCTCTCACTCTCTCCACGGCGGATGCCAAATTCCAGCAGCTCACTGCTCCCTCTATCTGTTCGTTGGCCGGCGTGATCCGCCGGCGGCATGGGACCCCCGAAGAAGAGTGGCGGGTGGAACCGGGCGGCGCCGCTGAAGGTCCACCACAACTCCCACCTCATCCACAAGCACTCCCCCTCCCCTTCCTCTTCCTCTTCCTCTTCCTCCCCCTCCTCCTCCGCAGGCGACCAGCAGCAGCAGCCGGTGATCATCTACACCAGCGCCCCGAGGATAATCCACACGCCGGCCAAGGACTTCATGCGGCTCGTGCAGAAGCTCACCGGGCTCTGCCCCTCCGACAACGGCGACGGCGACGACGGCGGCGACGAGGGCCAGCCTCCCCGCGGCCCGCCAGCCCGCCACCGCCTCCCCAACGGCGGCGGCAGCGGCGGCGGCGGCGGACAGTTCCCGCTGCTGCCGCTGGCCCCGTTCTCGCCGGAGATTCCGGTGTTCAGGCCGGCGAGCGGCTCGGGTGACGTGTTCTACAACATCGCCGCCACCGTCTTCGCCCGTGCCCCTCCGCTCCCTCCGCCGGCCCTCGGCGGCGCCATCCCGCCGGCCGTGTTGGAGCTCATGAGGGGCTTACCCGATTACCACCTCCCCTTATGATAAGCCATGAGCCAGGAGCCATTCCTGCCCTTCTGATAAGCCCGGCCCGGCCCGTTATTACCAGAGCCTTTGGGTCCCATTCTGTTTTTTTTTCCTGGGGCAAGGACGATCCTGCGGGGGAAATTAAATACGAGCACAGAGAAATAACTCCGATATACTTTTTGTAATAAATACGTGGAATTATACGTGGACCTCTCCGGTGAAGCCAGGTGAAATGGGCCCACAGTCTTGGAAATCCCACCCAGAAATTGTGAGAAATAGGCCCCAGGGACACAGTATACGAGCATTGAGAAATAACTCGGATATTACTTTTTGTGCTACACTGAATTACACGTGGATCTCTCTGCTGAAGCCAGCTGGAAAGTGTGGGTCCCACATCTTTCCTGATTTGCTTCGAGACCAAGAAACGGATTGTGCGTTAACGAGACCCAATATGCCAGCAGTGGATGATCTAGACCGTCCAATTCGAATACGGGGAAAGCCGTTTTTTCCCCTCGAAGAACAGTTCTTCCGAGTTCGTCGTCGTGCTCATCTTCTCGTTTCTTCTCTGGTTTTTGTCGAGGCGATTAATCACAGAGTCGGCTGGCGGTGGGGGCTCTGGACGCTGTGGAGTCGGGGGGTGGTGGGGACCATGGGGCAGCAGTCGCTTATCTTTGGATTTGTGGCGAGGGGGACTGTGATCCTGGCGTCCTTCACGGAGTTCACGGGGAACTTCTCCAGCATCGCCGCCCAGTGCCTCCAGAAGCTCCCCGCCAGCAACAACAAGTTCACCTACACCTGCGACGGCCACACCTTCAGTTACCTCATCGAGGATGGCTACAGTTACGTCTCTCCTTGACCAATCTTCTTGTTTTGCTCTCTTGCGTCAATCATCTTGTGTTTTGCAGCAAAATCAGGTTGTTCTTTTCCTACTAGAGGTACCATCAAGATTTTGAAAGCTTATTCGGGGTTAGCGTTGTTCCGGTTGTAGTGCCTGGATAGATCTCTGATTTTCTGCGTCCCCTGGGCTTCTATGATCGATTTCACTTTTTTCTCGGGGAGTCGGTTCCGATTGATGGTGGACAGTGACTCTTTTTTTATGGTTCTTTCTTGTTTTATTTTGCTCTTTTGTGACGGGGAGGGAGAAAAGGCACCGTTGGGTGTGCTTGACGTGATCTTGTGGCGAGAGTTGAGAAATATAGATGGCCAGCGTCGGATTTTATCGTTCATAGGTGCAGCTGATGCCAGTTGATGTGAGGGTATCAGGGATGGAACTGTTTTTCTGGTTACGATGAAGTCAAATCTTTTCATTCCTTAGCTCAGGTTGTTCGCAGTCTTAGTGATAGAAAATTCCAAATCAGTATGTTTTCAACTATGTCAATTTCCTATTTCCGATCATGCTTGCAAAGTTCGTAATCTGTAGCATTAAAATGTGTGCTAGATTACTTTCGGCGCAAGTCTTCTGATTTATTACTGTTTATGAAAGTCAAGTTATTTTATCTTCTTCAGTCCAAATTTTAGTCTACTCCCAATTATTTTGTATCAAATGGGAAATTTTGTTCTTATATTCTCTCTATTATTGTTTTAGTTGGTGTGAATTATTTTAACTCGGGACTTGCTACTGATCCCTGAACAATGTACTTGGGACAGGAGTTACTCGAACGGATTCCACAATTAGTACACGCTAACTGTGGTGATGTGACCTTTCTTTCACAATTAATACTGTGTTTATACCTTTTGTTAAATGGACTCATCATGCTCTATACTGTCCATGAACCATTCCTTCAACACTTTTTTTTACTTGTTTCCTACATCTGAAGTCCTTTGAAGTAATAATCTGAACACCCATGACTTTTAAAAGCTTGTTCACAAGGAAACTATGTTTCTTCCAGCTGTTTCTTTTTCTGAATCATGTATATCTTTGTACCTTGGTTTTGGCTTTTCTACATTAACTGTGTCTAGGTGATGTCTGTGTGTCGCACAAAGGACATGTAATGCATGTTATTGGGAAACTTGACCACTAAAACTTATTTAATGGGAGAAGCTACACTGTGAGCCTCAGCGTAGTACAGGGTAAATAAGCAATAAATGGTATACTATTTTTTCAATTTTTCTGTGAACAAGCATATAAAACATTTTTTTTCCTTTTTTTTTTAAATTGAACAGTGAAAATGGCAACAATCAAGGTTGGCTGGTAATAGAATTTCTGAAGCAAGTTTTATATATTTGATGTAAGTGAGCTATCTTCAATCTGGTAGACTGCATCTAATAACCAGCTCTTAGTCACTCTCATTTTCAGGATAGGATCAGATTTTATGTAGCCTACTCCCCAACATGTAGTATGGATATTGGACTTGTTGCAGTTGTTCGAAGATTTCATTTAACTGGGGCTTGTTTATGGTCTAAAGCCCAGGTTGGAGTTGAGGATGGCCGGGGTTTGCATGGTGGGGATGTGAGTTGGTAGGATGTAGCATGTTGAAAATTGGCAAGTCGACATGCCTGAATTGGGATGGTAGGGTGAGGTAGAACACACAAGGTGCAGCTTGATGGGCTTCGTTGACTGTTTTCGGCTTTCCAAGATTTGGGACCCATTGCAGCCTGTATTTGGTAGGATCTCTCCAGGCCGCATATTAATCTGGTGCTTGACAGGAGTTTCTCCGCAAAAGAGGTATATGGTTGTATGTTTTTGGAAGAAAATGTCATCTTTAGACATTTTTCTGGAATAAAGGTAATTGTGAGGTTGGGGTGGGTTACCTTGCATGCAATACTTCAAGACTTTAGGAGATGAAATCCCCTGGCTTAGAGAGTGGTCCCTATGGACTGAGCGAGTGAACAAAAATTATGTAATACAGGGGAAATCTAGATGTCATATTTACAGTTTTTCATCATCTTAATATGGACTATGACATTTCTATACGGAGGAATATGTAGAGAATGTATGTGTTCATCCATTCTGATTTAGGTTAAATAATGAAAGAAATTATGAATGACTTATCAATACTTACTGGGCTATACAAAATCTTATTACAGACCCTAATAATCAAGGTTTGTACACTTGGCTTTACATGTATGAGTCAAATAAATTTTTGATGTAGCAAAATCTTCATAACTGTAAAACTGGGCCAATTAACCAAACACACTGTTGTGGGTTTCTGGGCTGGAGTGTGGTCAAAGGAAATCGAGTACTGAACTGAGGATTAATGAACTGGATTTGATATGAATTTCTGAATTAGCGTACTAAAAAAATGATCATGCTATTGAATCTCAGATAGCTGTCACCAGTGAGAGGAAATTGTTAAAATGAGCCGCGGCCACTTTCTCTATTGAACAGAGAGATGCCTAGCTTCGGTTCATGTGCCTAAAGGACGAGGAGGTAGTTTATTCTGAGATTCGCCTATAAAGAAAAAAAAAATTCAATTGAAATATCTGTACATTATGCCTTTAATTTGTGCTAAATCCCTACTTAGTTTCTTTCTACAATCTGATTCAAGGCACTAGTGTCAGTGCGAATCACCTGCCAGTGTTCACCCTTTCCTGAGGTTTGTTTGAGAAAAATGATTGACAGTTGAAAGTTGCTGGATATATGTCAAATGCTCCTATGAATAATATCGTGTCAACAGGTGGGGGGTGGGTACGAAAATAATTTTCTGAACTCCTGTCCTGTCCATGTGGTGGTTGATGTGAAGCTGGATGTTTAAAATGGGAGGGAGGGCTCCTGGGTGAAGTGAGCGGGCTGTTATGTGGGAGACGAGAAAGTGTCCCACATGGAGAAGTTTGGAGCCCTTTTGGGCTTTCTGGGACCAGTCTTGCTGGCTAGACCCTAGAGAGAGCCCTAGCCAGGGCCAGATAGTCACCAGGCTGGACTGGACTGGGCTGGGCTTTTGAGTTTTGCCAGACAGATCCACTAGCAACACCAGTTGTAAGAATTCTTTACATAGAAACATCCTTCTGTTTTAGTTTGCTTTCTTTCTGATGCATCATCACCACCATCGTCCTGTATACACATTATTCATGTACCCAGACAGATGAAGGTTGGAAATTTTTCAATGTATGTTAAAATTCAGTCCCTCCAAATGGTGACCACCTCTACGAGTTTATGGAATCTGTGTCTTGTCGGCTCTTGGCAGTTTACTGTGTGGTGGCAGCTGAGTCAGTTGGAAGGCAAGTGCCTATTGCATTCCTAGAGAGGGTCAAGGAAGACTTCACCAAGAGATATGGTGGAGGAAAAGCTGCTACTGTCGATGCTGATGGCCTCAACAGGGAATTCGGGTGTGTGTCATCAGATTATAATAGATAATGTAGAGTGCATCGTTACTCATTTGGTATGGTATTAAGCCATCAAATGCCCTCTGCTATTTTATCCAGGCCCAAGCTCAAGGATCACATGCAGTACTGTATTGATCATCCCGAGGAGATCAGTAAGCTTGCCAACGTGAAAGCTCAGGTTTCAGAGGTTAAGGGAGTAATGATGGAGAACATTGAGAAGGTAGATCCACGTCTGATCCTCCCTAAATCTCAGCTCTCATTCCTCTCATCTCAAGGCCTCCTTCATTATCTCAGGCTACCACTCCTAGCTATTGACCAGATTTTGTGATGGTCTGATATTTTTATCTCATAGGTTCTTGAACGAGGTGAGAAGATCGAGCTTCTTGTTGACAAAACGGAGAACCTTCGCTCTCAGGTTAGTCCTGATTAGCTTTCTACCCTAAGAACCAGTATCATTTTCCGTTTTCTCCTTCTTTCACTCTTGTGGATGAAGAAAATCACAGAAATCGGGCTTTGGGCCTTATTCAATTGAGGCCAGGCACATCCTGTTGCATGCCCAGCAGTGGAGTTTGTTTCTGAGTTTTTAAGTCCTAGTTAACCGAGAGCCCAGACCTGGTGTCGATGTATAGACATTCCATTGACCCTGTGGAGTAACTATGTAAACCAGTTGCAACATTCGTCGTATTCATTATTTTTTGGGATCGGATTATTGTTACAGGCGCAAGATTTCAGGCAGAAAGGGACGAACGTGAGGAGGAAGATGTGGCTCCAGAATATGAAGATAAAGCTCATTGTCCTCAGTATCCTCATTGTGATGATCTTCATCATCGTCCTAGCCGCCTGCCATGGCTTCAATTGTTGATGGGATATATATATATATACACCAGACGCATGAAGAAGAGCAGATATATACAAGAAAGAAAGCCCTATTATCACCTTACATTACATTTTGGTGGTCTTTGTTGATATGCATCCCACACACACATGGGCTTTACTCTCTCTCTCTCTCTCTCTCTCTCTCTCTCTCTCTCTCTCTCTCTCTCTCTCTTGCTCTCTCTCCCTCTCCCCATCTTTATCTTTTGTTTTTCAAATGGATAGTTTCCCAAGAGTGCTCCATTACTGGCAATATTCCTCTTCAGCATTTCCTGAACCTCTAGTTCTGCCCATGAACTTTTTATACAGGGGGTCTGGGCCATATTTTTAATTTGACATCCCAGAGTTGTATTCATTACATTTCTTAATGATTGATCAATACTAACCTTATTTGAACTATTCAGGACCTTAACGTAGTTATTTTGCCTCATTGAGCTACTCATTACACATCATTATTTAAGGTTTTGGTAATGTTAGGGATCATTTGTTGAAGAACTATAATTAAACTCAAAGCAATGTTGTTGTCTGAAGATATTTCTTATTCTTTAAGTATTAATCATAAATCATATTCATTCTCTTTTAATTTTGTGGAAGAAATTATCAAGTATGATTAAATATTTATGTGATGGCCATAGAACTCTCAGTGTAGGTCTTTGTGTTTAGTGATTATTTATATTTTAGCCATAACACCTAGTGGATGCTGTGAACAAATTTTCATGAGATTTGACAATTTGTTCTTTCAGAATATTATCCTATAAGCTCGTTATATAGCTGCTTGAACCTTGTGCTCAAGAATCCATATTCATTCTCTATAGTATATATGACATGAATCATTGATTGCCCATTAACTAAGTTCATAAATTTGTACTATGTTTGGAAATAGTAGTCTCATGGCTAGTGACATAGATATAGGTTTTGAAGTGATTTTCTAATTTTAAATTGCCTCAGATATTTATAATTTATTTTGTACCTCATTTTGTATTCTTCACATAAACAATTAAATACACAAAGACATACTAGAGGTATGACAACAATAATGTGCACTAAATGTTATCATACCTGTTTATTCCTCTTATAACATGTGAATTAGTCATTATAGCTGGTTTTCACTTTGTGGCAACTATGATACGAAATAGTAGCCATTCAGAGTTACATTCACAAACAATTAATCTGTACTGTTTCAAAATCCTTGTTGTTTAGGATGTTGACCTCACATGTATCATTATATTTGTGGAGATTTGATCATGACAATTATCTTTCCCCTTTTATTCCTTTTTAGGTTTCTCATGAGCATAGCTAGTGTGTAATGTTAATTCAAATGTGACAGAAAATTATTAGAAAAGTATTGAATATGGCCCAAAATCATCACAAGGAAATTAATAGAAAATTATTAAAAAATCATTGTAGACAACCCCTTTTTGGAATGGTGATAGCGATTGTGAGCAGCCCATGCAATGCAAACCTTAGACATTTGCTAAACATATGCCATAATAAGCCTTTTAAAGTCAAGGGTGGGTCTTGCTTCGATGTGTGAGTCTTCACTTTTTTAATATCTATGCTCTAATAAACCTGTAGCTTCATTCAAATTTTGAGCATCTTGTAAAAGTAAAAGGAGATACGAATTTTATTAATAATTCATTCAATGAGATATAATGATAGATTTGAGAACAAAGGCTTATGCTGTAAATGAGAGTGATGTTTTTACCTACTTTTTGAAGGAGCCACATGACACATGATCAATCTTGCATTGTAAATTGGTAGTGGTGTAAGATGCAGCCATCTATCTATCTAGTAGAAAGGGACTCTTGTCAATGCTTATGTGGATGAGTTTTTCCAATCTCTTAATATCCATGTTGAGTCTTTTGAAAAAGTCCACCTTGGTTAAGTTTGGTTTATATTCATTGACTCTGGGGTGCTAAACTAACGAATTGAGGGTTTAGGGAAGATATCTTGTTTGAACAATGGTTTATATATACCCCTGGTTTGCATGAAAGATGGCCATCTTGTTGAAGGTTTTGGCACTAGATGGACATATTTTTTATTTGTGAAAACATCACTTCTGACATAAATTCCAGAGCTCTATAAATTATAAGCATGAAAGACCATCTGACTTAGATTTTTTGTGGAGATTGAGGTTGGTCTCTGTTAGGACCCCACTGGTAGCATACGTGTGGTGAAGAAGGAAAACATGTGAAAAGCTCTCGGGAGAAACTTGGGGAGACTTCCAAGGAGGGGATGGCTTAGGCGAGAATGACCACGGAATATAAATGGTGCTATGAGAAACAGAATAAGGGACAAAATTTCAGACAAGGAGAGCCATGGAATCCTCTCAAAGCCCATTCCCACCTTCTCTTTTCTCTCTTCCCTTTTTGGTAATTTGATAGAAATTGTCACTTCAACGGCCCTACTTATATTGCTTTGTTACGAGTTAGCTTGATCAATAAAAATTGGTTTCCACCCAATTCATCCTGATCCAATCCTTCTAAAGAGGATCATATCACTTTTGTTCTGATATTTACATCTACAAATTTTCTAGGCATCATAGTTCTTGTCGTAAATTAATTTGAATTCATTATCAGCGAAATTATGTACTCTTAATCATTTATCAATTGATATGAAACACATTAATTTCAGTCTATTATAGTCTTTGTTAGTCGAATTAACATCAAACGATAAATGCTGAACCCAAGGTTATAGTTGCATGAGCCCCTTCGTGTCTTTGTTTCAGATCATTTTATAGCACTTGGATAATATTGGGTTATTAAATGATACGAATGACATTATTTTGGGTTCACGATTTTCATCGCAATGGAGTTTTCAACATCTAATTTCTCCTTCACACAAACCCAAAAAAAAAGAGTTTTCTCTCTAAATTCACAAATTTGGAGTAAAACCTTTGTATCACGGTTTGTGATCCTCTCTTCCATTGAGAGAAAAATTGAGAGCAGGAAACCCAATAGAAATTTTATAATTATATTCTTTATAATGAAATTACATCAGAAAGATCATTTGATCGTGACATTTGCTTCATATTGTAAGGTATGATCTTACCAATAGGGAACGATATTACAAAAGTTAGAATAAATAGGTAGATCAGCCCACTAACCATTATTGGCTTATTTAGGTGTTAATAGCTAATGCTCAAGGGGAATCAAAGAAAGATAAGCTACAAGTCATCCTCGATTTCTTTTTTGAGTTGGTAATTGCCTCTGATGCATTCGAATTGGAAACAAATCTTGTAGGAATAGTAAGAAAGCAGAGGAGAAGGCACATCCAAATGGACCGTAACAAGAGAAGATTGGAGTTAGTGTAGAGGGATCAGAAGGGTATTGCTGCCTCAATGCCTCCCAGCCCTTCGTATTCCCTAATCATCAGCCCATCCATCTCTTGAACCTGATAGTCCGCATGATGCCCAACCTGCAACATGAGATCCGCCTCTCTTGTCAACCTTTTTGGAGTAGCTATATATCCATGCATATACTTGTTTATGTATCTCAAATATAGACTGTAGGTAATATTTTCATCAAATATCTAAACATGCTCGATGGATAATAAGTGGGGATGAGGTATCTAACAAGATGGAACATAGGTCGATAATAAAATAAAAGTAATCATGCAGAAGAATACCGACTAAAGTATACCCAAGTATTTTAGCCACATTCTTTAGTGTCTCGATGCAACACTGGACTAGTCTAACATAAATCCAATGAAAGAGAGAAGAGCGGAGGGCTGTACTACCGAAGGCCGCAATTTAGGCATCACCGCAGCAGCCAGATCAGCCTCGCTCAGGGTAAAGTCACAGAGGGCAGCGGCGGCGGAGAGCTTCATGGATAGAAACTGCGGAAAGAGCTGCCCGAGGATAAGCAAACATGGGGATGGAGAAAGGGCAGAGGAATCCATGATCTGGGCTCACCTCCACCTGGTTCTGCAGTGACCTGACGTAGTTAATTATCTCGTCCAACATCACCGTGGTGCCCATCGCCTGCTCCGTAATTCAGGAAGAGAAAGCAGTGTGATCAAAGAGGAGAGAGAGAGCGAGCGAGCAAGCGAGAGAGAGAGAGAGGTATGGGCTACCTTGTAGCAGCCGGGGACCAGGGTCTGCAGGCGCCTCATCTTTTCGTTTATCTTCTCTCTTCTCACCTGCATCGTGCATAAACCAAGTGACTAGGATGTTTTCTGAAGGCCAGAAACGATTTGTGCGGGCATATTATTTACATAGATAAATTTAATTATGGAAGATGTACCTATGTGTGCATCAAGATATATGGATATAACTACAGAGCGAGCGAGCGAGCAAGAGAGAGAGAGAGAGAGAGAGAGAGAGAGAATTTGTGCGCAGTGACCGGGCCCTTACTCTCTCGGCTAGGCTGTGTCTATCTGTGGCTTGGCCTCTCTTCGCCCTCACATGGACGACCCCCGCAGGCTTCTCTTCCCCACAACTGTGCCTTCTCTTCCCCCTCCGTGGTCCCTAAAAATAAATATTCAGACCATCAGCAGCAAGTCATTTCGAATATACGTAGAATATGGTACATTTTCCCATATAAAAACATCACAATGGCAAACTTAGTGAAGGAAATATCGCCAATTATTAAAAATCCGAAAAGGATGAAAGCTTCTTTTTCTCTCTCCATCTATCTAATGACTACATCTAGAGAAGTTGCCTTTTCTCTACAACGTCAAAAAGTAAAGAATGGTTTATCAACGCTAAAGCTGATACCACATACTAGCAAACTTATCATTAGGCATAATGAATCTAATTAGCACTATTGTGTTAAATAAACTTCTCCTCTCGAGCAACAGTAACTAGTGAACAACTGTTTTTTTTTTAAAAATACAAAAACTGAGAGGAAACCCGAGCAACAGTAACTAGTGAATGATGAGTACGGATTGGCACATACGGTCTTCGTCTCGGTCTCCACTTCTCCTCCATCGTCATTTGAGGGGGGTACTGCGCCGCCGTCAGATGAGATGATCTCCTCCTTTCCGATGACAGAAACACCGAGAAGCGCGACGCCTGGAACCGGATAAGGGCATTCCGCCGGCGGGCACCAAGGCATGCTCTCAGCGTGCGGCGCCGACAATTGTTGGAGCGGCTGAGGCAGTGAGAAGCTGTTATCGGAGAAGCTCCTCAGATGAAAGCTGGGGTTCTCAATGGCTGTGGAGAAATCGTCAATCAGGTCAAAGCTTGGATCCAGTCCCATGAGGGTGGCGAGGGTTCTGAAGCTACCGAAGTCCTCCGCAAGCTCTGCCATGGCCATATACTCCAGACGGAAGGAAAAGGAATGCTTAAATAGTGGATCAAAGGGAATGTCTCTTCTTCTTACTGCTGTATTATTCTTCTTTGTTTAAAGTGCAGAAGACTAGAGTCACTAGGGAGAGACGGCCTGAATGAGCTACCGAAGAAGCTTCTAGTCAGGGGCATTAAAGGGGAAGGCCTGAAATAGATAATGAAAGGACGTATAAGTTTCTATTAATGGGTCGGCAAGATAGAAGTGCCTACGTACAATCGTGCCACTGTCCAGTATAACTTCGGACGAGAAGAATATTTGCAACTATTTTCTTCTTCTTTTTCTAAACCAGGTTACTGTTTTCATAATAGGATATGTCATATTGATCACGTCACCGATAATTGAGATTGTGTTACTGTCGTCTCTCACCACAGTAGAGAAATGAAAAGCTTACCATTTTAGATCCTTTATGTTACTCAGGGATACTAAAATCCTCTCCTTTTCGTCTTCCTCTCTTATTTCCTGTTTAAGCTGATCGAGGTGAGGCCGGGGACTTTGGAGGAGCGACCCAGAGACCGCTAGTTAGATATTTTAATAAGGAGGAAGCCCTGTGGAGTGAAGTATGCGCTTCGTGTAATCCACGGAGAAGTTCATGCAAGGATGAGCCCCCGTTGAGAGAAAGTCTCAAGAAAGGATAGAAATTTCCCGTATCCTCTGATTTTCTTGTGTCGGCCATTTATGCTTCCAGCTTCCTAATTTCTGGTCTTGAAGCCTTTCGGAGTGGCCATTTAACCGTCAGTCGCTAGTTCGGCAACAAAAATGATAGAAATTTCCCGTATCCTCTGATGAATTTGGTCAAACCACATACAGAAACTACACGTGGGTATGGAAAGACGGAGAAGAGGGCAAGGAAAAGATGATCTTATCCTTTCGTCTGATCTCCTTGTGATAAATGAGGTGAAATTGCGTTTTCCATAAGGAAACATAAGCAGATCTAGAGAAAAGAAAGGGACCAATAAAATGTCGACGGAACGGCAGAAATGGACAAGATCATGTCAGCTGCTCTCTCCCCCGAGACTCCTTCGGTCTACATTCCAAGTTCTTGGACGGCGGAGGGGGCATGTGCTTGGGCTGCGACCGACCATGTGCTTCGTTATGAAACCAGGCTCGCAGTACAGCAGCCGACGAAGCCCAAATATTTATGGCGGCGGCGGAGTCCTCCATGACCTTCTTTCCGGCCTTTAAGAGACTCGGCGCCCCCACAACTTTTCTTATTCTCAAAATCTTCTGGATTTAGTCTTCATTGACCATTGTCCCCTCTACCACAACGTGAAATGGGCGTACGATGGGTGTTATTGACCGGATGTCTCTCTAAGAGAATAAAAATATGCAGACGCATTTAAAATGTTTAATGATTAATAATGAAAAACTTTTTATTATGGTTGCCCCACTTTACAATTCCATATATTCCACATGTTGAATTGGCGACGTCAAAAGTTGTATAATTACTCATCTTACATTCTAATAATAATTGCCTGGTTGAAAGTTCTGCCGATTGGTTCCATGAGTGATTGGAAACCTTCCAAATACAGAGGGCTTTTAAAGGTTTATAATTACAATCATGATATTTTATTGCGTATGCCTCGTTAAGATTCTCACTTACTAAAGCCTCAGTTAGGTGAGATCGGAGCTTTTAAGTGGTGGTGAGACATTCAAATCTTCCACAATCTATGGACGATAGCTTTTCTGTAATCATTAAAGACTCGAGACTTGCAAAGTCATACTTTGCTGAGTTGAATATCGGGGAAGACAAATGAACTCAGTTTGTTCGCATAGGTTAGCTTATATCAATGACTTTGCATACGGTAGCTGGAATGAAGGCTAGTTGGATCGGACTATTCCCATATAACGGAGATAGTGCCCAATTGGTAATCGATCCATATTACAAAGGATGACTTGATTTCATCATGGGATACTGATGGCTAACTGAAAACCTTTCTGATTAGAAGTTGGCCATCCATATTGAAGATCAATGGAACATCAAGGAAAACTGCAGGCCTAATTGACTATCTCTCTCCCCTCTTCCTCAAGTTTTTACGGTACAACTGGAATTCTCTAATTCAGCTAGTGAGGACTTCACCTTCACGTCCACATGGACGAATCAAACATGACGAAACGACATAAGTTCTTACAAAGGTAGCTAATACTGAAACGACACAACGCACTGACTTAAAATATTATACGCCATGAAGGAAAATACTGAATTGGTTCACAGGAACTTCATTCTCAAGCATCTGGATATACATAAAAAGAGGTACAAACATGTTAAAGAAAATCTCTCCGTCAACTATTCTCTTGATCATGGTATCTTCTATCTGCTCTTGTAATCCAGGTAAATTATATCAACATATTTAGTCTTGAAACAAATGTTTGGGAAACAGTATCCTTCAAAATTTCCAAATTAAGCCTTTTATGGAGATCATTCATCCGAAATTTATCTACCATCCGCTTGTTAAATGTTAATTTTGTTCTAGGCCAATCTCAAATGTTAGATTCATGAATACTAAATCCCCACTCCCTCAATACACTTTAAATTTTTCATAGAATTTTCTAAGGTAAGGTTGTATTAATGAATCAAGGGTTGTAAGATGTTTGATACGTGGAAATATACTCAATATCTACAAAGAACATCCGAGTAGAGTCATCAAGAATTATTTTATGCTCATTATAAATGATAAATACTTTCTTATAAAAGTTCAGAATGGAGACACTGGAGTTCATTGATGGATTTGTTTCCTCACCCACAGCCAGATATATTGGAATGGAATGTAGTGTTGAAACGTCAAAATAATCTAGGGTCATACTTTTTCTAAGAAATAAGATACTGATTTTGAGAGATAAAATTTCTATTTTTACGCTATGGAATTATTCAGAGCTTCACTATAAAAGCAAGAACTCAGCAAGACCATACCTGTGGTTTTGTCTGATCTGAGGGCTTTAGTACTCATGATTTTTTATTTTTTAACTCAAACATGCTACTGATCTAATAGAATATGTATTCACATACCTTAAGATATTTCTCAATATTTTTTGAAGATTTTAACTTAAGTTTGAGTTACTCAGTATTTCTCATGATATTTCCCTGTATTCAAACATGCTACTGATCTAATAGATATTTCATTTTGATGATTACATTTCTCCATTAAACTTAATATTTTTCTACATTATGACATTGTAAAAGAATGATTATTCCACATTATCACATGAATGCGTTTTGAAATTAACTACATAATTTTGTGTCTTTAATGATTGTGTTATGAGATTTGACTGGAAATTTTTATGGCACATGAAAATAGTTTGGGGTACTCATCATTAGTTTCTTGTACTCATGATTATAGATTTTTTTCTCAATTGTGGATAGAAAGCATTGAACATTCTCACAAAATTTGAATGAACGTCATTCAATCTGACTCAAACAATCCAGTTTATTTGATAAAAAATCAAAAGAGGAAAAACTTGGGGGAGGCTATTGCAAAATAAAGAAATTTTAAGGCTAAGATGAAAGAGTAAACAACCATGGAATAACATTTCATAGGTATGGGTTCTTCTATAGTTTTAAACATCACATAAAAAGTATCTCCAGTTCTTTTGCTATCTGGATCAGTGGAACGCCAAATATTTACAAACAGTTAAAGGGAATAAATTCATATTTTTAGACTTTAAGGATAGAAGAATCAGTTCTCGAGGAACTGCTTCACAAGAGAAACTTGCAAATATTTTCATATTATCTTCTGTTGTAATATTATGTAGTTTTCTTTGGGGACAGACTAATAACTTTTTGGTTTTAGTTTCAAACTACAAAAAAAAAGATCAGCACAAAAAGAATATTCAGATGGAAGACTGATAGAAAGTTTTTAAGCATTTCTACGGTGTAGTCAAACACAGATTCTCACATGCGGTTGGTTGATGAGCTGATGCCATACACAATCACATTGGATGAATTCTCACCTACAACTTAAATCCTTTCTGTATTTCATCTTGAATTCTCCATATTCCTTAGGTTTAGAAGCTAAGAGATCTTGAACCAAGATAAGTGAGAGTCAGTTTGTCTAATTTCCCCTCAAATTCTCCACAGATACTATGTATAATGTCAGTCTAAACATAATTTTAAGGGCCTAATAAACATCATATAGTGAGCAGATTCTGATTTTCGTAGGAGGTTCCCTTAAGTCTTTTAATGGGTACTCAACACACTAAAGCTGCTGGTTCTGTGCATAACATTGTAATAATGTTGTAGAATTTTTCAAAAGCTTGCATACTTACTTTGCATGTACTGTTCTGTTGACCTGATGTCACCTCATAAGATACTACATTTTTATGATTTTTTGCAAAGAAGCATTTCACCCAATACTAAAAAAGTAACTGTCATAAACACATTAAATGTGGACTTGACACCAAATTGGTGATCTATTTGAAGGCTAGTCCAGCTATGCGATTCTTCAAGAGTACTAAATCAAAGTGAGGATAAGAAGATCTCCTTGACATAGTCCGTTGATAGTTTTTTACCAGCTCCTACTGAACTATTCCAAGAAATAGAGAAGTTCCACTTTGTGAACATTTGCTTGGCAATCTCATATTTCTTTCACAAACCAAGTTTCTGTATAACAACAAAAGAGGAATAGTCATGAATCATGATTTGCTGATTTCATAATACTATACTGACCAAAATTCGGTCTAGAGTTTTCTACAGAAGCTCCATAAATGTCAATCAGTTAGAGATGTTTAATATCACCAAAGGATCAATGGAATGGATATTGAAAATTATTTTTAGAGGTAGGATTCTCCATAATGTGATCTTGGGATGGGGTGATTGGTGCTGGGTAGAGGAGAGCACTAGAACAAGGGAATAGACGAAGTAGCTAGGGGTCAGGTGACAGAAATTGTTATGTTCTATGTCAGCCAAAGTAAGGGTTCGCAATAACTTGGTATTACGCGCTGCACCTGAAATGCCAGTGTTATCTAAAAAATTGATTTATTTTAATGCAGATAATTTTTCCATTTTCAGGTCTTCTAAATTGTATGATTTTTTCAAATTTATTTTACACTTTTGTATGAATAGCCTTATTAAAAATTAATATTTAAAGTGAAAAAAAATCAAAATAGGTTTAACCAGGTCTATTTGTATAAGGTTATCATTAGAAAAATTCTTAAAAAGGAAGATAATCTACTAAGAGCTCACCCCTCAAGGATAAAAGGCAAGAGTAATTAAAAGAAGTGGACAGTGCTTCCACAAATAGAACCAGGAAGAAAGTGTTTGGCTCTTATGTTGAAATCTTGGCACTTTGGTAACAAACTTCCCTCTTAAAAATGTTAGTCATTGATTTAGATGTGCTGATGCCTCAGTAAGAAACACAATGAAAACTTTTTTCTTGTTCAATCGAAAATTCTATCCTAGTTTTTACAAAGTATGAATACGTAAGTACTTTGACAGTCCAACTCCCCAAAAATAAAAGGGACAAAACCTGAAATACCCTTTTTAGTTGTTTAATTAATTTTTTCCAATTATTTGGTCCCCTCTATATGCAATAAAATTCCCATATTAATTTTTTACTAACTAATGGAATATTTAAATAATCAAGTGGTTTTATCATGTCTTAACTAAGCATTCTAAGCACATTGATTTAGTCTTCTAGTACTCCTTGAATTTTTAAGTTATTGAGGATCTACCTTACCTTTCTCTTTAACAAGGCTTGCCAACTATAATGAGTTCTTGACCACCTTTTCTAAGATATCTTATAATGGTTTACAAGTAACATGGCTGATTGAATCTTTTTGTTCATTGTAAAGAAAATTCAGCAAATTTAAAATTTATAAATGCTGGGAAATAAGCTAATTTAGAATAATTTAACTTTTTAGGGGTTTTCTAGGTCAAGAATAATGAAGATAAAAAATGAGTTAGTTAAATCTATACTTTCTAATTGATAGATAACTTTTTCAAATTATAATTTTAAAAATTAATAAAATTACTTTAAATGGAAGAAATGGGGGATTTTGACATTAGCGAATGTCAACCCACAAAGAACATCCCCAAATTCAAGTTGTCAAAAATATGTCGACTTGTATTTCTAAAAATCGAGCTATTCTT